TAGAGGCAGTAAATTAAAACTGTAAAAAATAATTAAGTTTAAAATTGTGTTAAGATTGTGGTCTCTTACCGCCTAAAGAATTGATGACGTGGGGGTTTACCTCAGCTTCACAGTGCAGGACAATCAGGAACTCTTGGAACTCTTCATGGAACTTTGCAAGGAACTCTTCCTTGAGAACTGGGTCCAGAATATCATCACAGGAAAGCCATGACCTTTCCTCAGGTCCGCAACCGTTTCAGTCTATCAGATACTCAATCCCAAGCATAGCAGTGGGTAACCCGGACAAGGGAATTCATTTACAGAACTTGGAGAATCTATCAACTATGACAGATATGCATTTATTACCTCCAGATGGGGGAAGATCTATCGTGTAATTCACTCCTAGATGTGACCATATGTAATGGAGTTATATTGTTAATTGTGAATCCTCCTGAATTATGCAGCAGTTATGTGTGTTTTATAAAGTAAGGGCGCCTTCATGTGGCTTGTTTGGGTACCGCAGACATACAAGTTAGGCAGGAAGTTACCTAGCGCAGCAGATGCTCTGAGACAGCCATGCTGTGGGTAGGTGTTTTTCGTGCTCCGTCTTAGTTTATCAATATTAACTTAAGAAAGTAGCGATTTCACACATTTAGTTTATAATTCGGTTATATTATCATTAAGCATTCATTGTGACTTGTGACGTAGTTTTTGTAAGTTAAATGGCTTTTTATAAATGTCTACTGGATTGTGCTTTTTAGCAAGGCCATGCGGTTGATTTGATTTTCTATTTTATTTAGATGTAGTATGCCTGCAGCAAGCAATTAACTTAAAGGGGCTGTACTGTTTATTATTTCAGGCATGTCAATGTTAATTTGTTAATTGTGAATGTTATGTTTTATGCAAAATGTTCATATGATTATCAGTTCATATGTGGATATTAATGATGTAACAGGCAGATGCTGTGAGACAGCCATGCTGTGGATGTTGTATGTCTGCAGCAAGCAATCCACTTAAAAGGGCTGTACTGTTTATTATTTCAGTATAAAAGATTAATCAGATACTGTGTCCAGGCCTTCATTAAAGAGTATTACACACAACGCAGAGGAAAAAGAAGAGTTGAAGTACAGGAGACGTAACACATTTGCGATTTAGGATGGGGGAGAGGTACAAGTTTGCCTGCAAGAAGATGCCATGGAGTTTTGGACATGGCACAGTCCTTGCAACCCTGCACAAACCTTCTTACATCCTGGGCCATCTTGGGCCACAAGAATCAATCTTTTAGTGGTAAGAGGGTCTCATTTGCCCAAGTATGAATGATTTGAGAAGCCTAGGGCAATCCATCAAATGTTGGGGACAAACTGGATCTCCAGTGGACAGCCCAGCGAATTCACAGGGTGGTTCTGGTTTGAGGCTGGAGGGGATGCCCACTCAATGGGACTCACAATCAGATGACAAGGGATGATGGGTTTCTTTTCTGGGAGAACTTCTTTGAGAAAGGGCATCTGATTTCACATTCACATTAAGAAGTTAGTTTCTCGATAATTTTAAACTGTGGTCATTTAACATAAAGAAGAGATGTTTACTCCCCTCCAGCCAATGTCCCTCCTTCTCCAGGGCTAATTTAATAGCCAAGAGTTCCTGCATGCATATGTTGTAATTGACTTCTGCCAGTCTGAAATTGTGAGAGAAAAAGACATATAGATGGTGTTTTGATGGTACCCCTGCCACTGTGATAACACTGCTCTCACTCCTGTAGTGGATGCATCAGCTTCGACTCTGAAGGACAGTGCAGGATCCAGCTGTATCAGGAGTGGGGCTTGTGAGAAGGTCTTCAGTTCCTCAAATGCATTGCTGGCTTCAGGATTCCAGTATAGGAGCTTGAGTTTCTTTCTGAGGGGATTAGTGAGATGGCATGAGATTGTACTATACCCATGTATAATCTTGTGATAGAAGTTAACATACAGATCAGCCGAGGAACCACTAAAGCTCCTTAATGGTCTTGGGTTGTGGCCAGGATGTGAAGGCTGCCACCTTCCCCTTGTTTATTCATACCACTCTTTCATCCAACTAGAAACCTAAGAACTGGACAGCAGGCTGATGCAAGGAACACTTTTCGGTTTTTAGGCACAGACTATACTCATGAAGCCAGGTGAGAACCTCTGCAACATGATGTTGATGTTCAAACTAACTTCAGGAGTAGATAAGGATATCATCAGTATAGACCATTTATGTTTTATACAGGAACTCCCGAAGCACATTATTCATGAAGTCTTGTAACACAGAGACGGCGTTAGCTAATCCATACGACAAGACAAGGTATTCATAGTCTGTTAGGTGTGAGGAAAGCTGTCTTCCACTCATCCCCTTCACATATTCTGTTGAGGTTGTATGCATTGCAGAGGTCCAACTTCGTGAACACCTGAGCTCTACAAAGATGATCCAGCTTTGTTGGGACTAGAGGAGGAGAATAGTGGTTCTTAACATTGATCTTGTTCAATGCTTGGTAGTCGATACAGGGTCGGAGTCCCGCATCTTTCTTGGATATGAAGAAGAAGCTAAAAGTGGGAAATCACATAGAAAGATGGATGTATCCTTGGGAATGAGTCTCTTCAATGTACTCCTCCATTGCCTTTTGCTTGGGGATAGATAGGTGATAAACTTTTTCATGGGGCACTGGGTTTGCCTTAACAATGTTGGTAGCACAGTGCCATGGCCGATGTGTTGGTAACTGGGTAGCTCTCTTGGAGCAGAAACTGTCTTGGAATTCCTTGTTGCAGGGATCAATTTCGATTGATTGTTGATCTACGGGGCTTTCAACTAAAGTATTACATACAAATAATCAATTAGACTTCTTTTGAATCATTAATGACATAATGGAAAAGCAGTTACGAAAACATTCCTTTCTCCATTGTAATATTTCACCTAACCCCCAAGAGAACACCGGATTGTGTTTTACCAACCATAGCCTTCCCAGGATGATATCAGTGGTGAAGCCCTCCAGAACCAGTAAAACAATCTTCTTGTTATAGAACAACCTAATTTGATTGGCACGGCATTCATGATGCGGATACAATACAGATCATCATCATGTGGTGATTCACCACACCTGTTGCAAGATTAGGGGGCATACCCCTTTAATTACTTTTAAAGCATATAAATCGGTGTTGCTCTGAGCTTTAAACCATACGTCTGGGGAAACCTCGGGGGACGTTCCAGTGTATCATTTTGTCTGAGGGCCGTGTGGACCAGGAGACTGGAGAAATTGTGCATGCAAACAAGGAAGTGAGTAATTGCGTAAAGCTTATGGTATCCGTAACGCATTTTCTTTGTGGCTTAGTCCCTTTATTAATCTGGGGTCACCACAGTGAAATGAACAACTAACTTAACCAGCATATGTTTTACACAACGGATGCCCTTCCAGCTGCAACCCGTCACTGGAAAACATCCATACACACTCATTCACACACATACACTACGGACAATTTAGCATACTCAATTCACCTTTACCACGTTTTTGGACTTGTCGGGAAAACCGGAGCACCCTGAAAAAAAACACGTGAACACAGGAAGAACATGCAAACTCATGCAAATGCACACAGAAATGCCAACTGACCCAGCCAATGCTCGAACCAGCGACCTTCTTGCTGTGAGGTGATTGTGCAACCCACTGTGCCACCATGCTGCCCCTAAAGAGGACTACTTTATCAGAATAAAAGGTTACCAAAATGTTTTAAACTCAGATCTTAAAGTGTTATATTTTTAATATTCCTGCCAGACTAATTTCAGAATAATACAGAGGTCTTCCTATATTTCAAAACAGATTTTAAACAGATTTCACAACATTTTAATTTGAATCAGACTTAGTCTGAGCTTTCAATTTTTTATGATGAAAATTTAAAGCTGCATTTAACACAATATGCAATCTATACAGTATAAACATTAGGTAAATAGAAAGTCACCATAAAACATGACAACTAAATGTGTGTGTGTAATCAAGTAAAAAAAAAACAAATGTCTGGCTGCCTTAGGTGGATATGTAAAAAGAAGCACTTCACACCAGTTATACTGTATGTTGTCAATAAAAATAATAAAAATGCAACTGCATATTGATCAGAGACAAAAAGGCTTTTCAAGCATCAAAACAATAAACATGTACAGAATTTATTTATTAAAAATGTACAGTTTTTTTTGTAGATTTAAATGCATCCTGTTTATTTATTTTTATTTGATATTTACCATGATCCACAGAAGCTTCCCACTAAAATGTCACTAAAATGTAACTAGACAAGAATCTTGACAGGCATATTTAGAATAAAAATCATTTAAAAATACAGCCCCAAAACGCCAATTAATTGAATTCCTAAATTATTCATACTGTGTCATTATCCTTCAAACCATTAGTTGTAAGCCATTTGTATGCAAATATATATAACAATTACAAACTATATATTATACTGAATGATGGTGACAAATTATTCATGCTATGACATTTTTAATAGTTATTTGAAACATTAAAGTATTCAATTTAATTGCATTAATATGCTTCATGTACACTTGGAGTCAGAATTATTAGCCCCCTAACCCCCCGTTTATTTTCTCCCTAATTTCTGTTTAACGGAGAGAAGACTTTATTTCAACACAATTCTAAACACAGGTTTTAAATAACTCATTTCTAATAATGGATTTCTTTTATTTTTGCCATGATGACAGCACATAATATTTTACTAGATATCTTTTAAGACACTTTTATACAGCTTAAAGTGACATTTAAAGGCTTGGTAAATTAGGTTAACTAGGCATCTTAGGATAAATAGGCAAGTTATTGTATAATGATTGGTTAGACAATCGGAAAAAATATATAGCTTAAAGGGGTTATAATTTTGACCTAAAAATAGTTTTAAAAAAAAATTCTAAACGGCTTTTATTTTAGCCAAAATAAAACAAGTAAGACTTTCTCCAGAAGAAAATATATTATCAGACATACTGTTGTGATATAAAAGAGACCCAAGTGCAAGGGAGAAGTTAAAGCAGATTTATTAAACAGAAGTGTATCAAAACTCTGCTCTTATTAGGGCAATAGGGGAGTCACTCAAAAATATAATAGAGAACAGAGGCAGTCAGCGATCAGCCCTCCTCTGGGCGATGATGGACTGGTCAAACAAAAAGACCCTCTTGGTTAAACAGTCGAAAATAAAGGAACAGAACTCAGGGAGCCGAACTGGTGGATAGACTTCATTTGAGCGCAGACTGTGGCCAAAGCAGAGGTGAGCCAATGCACAGATGATCGAACAACCAGTGGGTAGAGACAGAACAGGATTGGATGAGACAAAATACGAAAGGTTTTATCTTCTGATAGGGAAGGACTGGTAACTCAGATAACTCACAGACAAAAGAAAATTATTATCAAGCACAGAACAAGGGAGAAGGGGAGACTAAATAGCCAAATAATCATGGAAAACAGGTGAGAGTAATGGGGACGGGGAAACGAGAATTGCTAACTGGTGAAATTGCACACAAATAACTAGACACAGCCCCCCCCCAACACATACTGTGAAAATTTCAATGCTCTGTGAATAATCAGAAATATTTAAAAAAAGAAAAAAAAATTCTAAGAGGGGGTAATAACTCTGACTTAAACTGCATATTAGTTATATTTCAAAAACCTTTTGTGCCCCCATGTAATGATTTATATTGTGCCGCTCTTGAGTAAGTCTTCCATCTCTGCAGTTTGCTTCTGTACTTGTTTAAAAGAGAGAGGAAAATTTGTCTCAGGACTACTCAAGTGACGCCAACGCTGTCAAAAAATACAGAGAAGTGAAAACAACATTAGAATTTTAGGCATATTTACTTTTGGTTATATATATATATATATATGTATATATATATATATATATATATATATATATATATATATATATATATATATATATATATATATATACAGCAGTTCTGTCTGTTTCTTGAATCTGATTGGCTGATAGCCGTGCGATATTCTGCAAATAGCAGCACTCGTACAGCCTCTTTACCCTTGTGTACAGAGGACATGCTACAGTTTGACAAATACTCACAAATATTGTACTTTTAAAGCTTTTTTTTAGTTGAGAATGTAGTTATTTAGATTGCAACTGTGCAGTTTATTTATGAGGATAGTGCCTATTTTAAACATTAACTAATTTTGGAGCATTGGATTCAGTGCATCGGCTGCCGTTAGCCTGTCTGAACAGATCAAAGAAAGTGACGGTTGACGTTCCGCCACAAGATGGCGACAGAGACCACATAATAGGTCTTAAGGGGAGGAAAACAGCATTTTCTCAGCGTAAGTTTCAAACTACAGCTGAAATCCTTATAAATCAGGAAAGTGACATTCTAACTCTCTCTCTCCTTTGTATTTTGTAGTGCTCAGTTTATACCCTAGAATCTGGTAGTGTTTGCTTTGTTTTGGCTTTTTTGGGGTTCATTTTTGTGATCTACCTATTTTAACAGGGAAATACTGGGAAATCTCTGTAGACTGATGACATTTCATGCCATTCAGACTTATAATCCTAAAATGTGAGCAAAAATGACATGTCTTGTCATCACTTTAGACATTAAGCTAGATAATCATTCAAATACTAGCTCTAAAGTGACAAAATCTCAATGGCTTGTTCACCTCTTGAAGAATTATGGGTAAACATGTTCAGTCTCACCTGTTTCAGGCTTCCTTTACCAGCACACATTTGGCCCAGCGCCCATGCAGGCACCAGCAGAATAGAGGACAGAGCCAATAACCAGCCGAGTACATATGCCCAGTCCGGGTATATGTACCAGCGGTTAAAAGTCAGAGGTGTGTACCTCACCATAGAATAAACAAAAGACGTCTGGAAATAAACAGAGGAAAAAGTGTTGTGAAAAAAAAGGTAAAGGAAAACATGAGTATTTTGTTACAAATAGTGTACAGATATTGTGGGTTTCTATTTTGTCATCAAGCATAACCATCTGTGAAATCTAGCTATAGATACAAACCAGAGACACAAGAGGAGTCAAGTATTTCCAGCACAGCATGAACCAATAGTTGGGTCGTGACTCTGTCATGTCCTCGATTATGTCAAACATTTTCTCAGCCCCTGTGTCACAAAAGAATTAAAAACAAAAACTACCATTGAAGTTATACAGTCTTTATATAATGTTTGGTAGTTTGTTTGACTCTCACCGAAGATCCAACCGATGGCCAGAGACTCAAACACAGACAGGAACAGAAGACAGGCTCCATTACAGGCGTAGTTATCAAACAGCTGGAATACATACATCCCACCCTGCAGATCACAATGCAAAAATTACAACTAGATATAGAGGAAGATTACTCTCATATTAACTGTGTTCTAGACAATAGTCTTTTTTCTGTGTCGAGTTGCTTAAAATATACTTTATAATATACATTTTTCGGGATGTGGTATTTCTATGGTTCTTAAATACGAGCGTGAATAATGTGTCAACCTGGGCATTTTCTAAATAAAGGATTGTTAGGCTGCATTAATCAGACTCTAGAACACGTTCCAAAAAACGATGCCATTTTAATTGCACCAACACTCATGTTAGTCTATCTGTCTTTATCTCGAGGTTCACATAATCTTGGATCTGGCCTGTATCCAGAGCAGATGGTTGGAGCACTAATGATGAACTTAGTACAGTCCCAGCATTATATGGTTCTGAAATACTGCCAATGACTGAGAGGGGCGCAGATCTAAATAAAAGTTGCTGGATTTCTCAAACATTATCTGCTTACTTTTCTCAGAGAAAATATGACAGCGTGGTCAGTCTATGGTAATCAACTTTCCTCTCCATACACTATCAATGACTTGTGTTATTTTTTATTTAATCATCAGGACCTCCATTAATACTCACCTCTCTCATAGTCACATTGTCTAGTCTTGACACTTGACCCTTGATACTACTTAGTCAATAACACCTTACTTAGATTATCCCTACTTTTTCCAACTAGCATTTCCTACCAGACATCCACCTGCTTGCTGTTGTTTGTCAGAGGTAGAAAGAGTAATAATATATATATATATATATATATATATATATATATATATATATATATATAAACTATAAAATATTCTACTCAAGTACTGTTACTTAAATACAATTTTATTGAAGTAAAAGTAAAGTTACATGTCTATAAATCTGATCAAGTAAAAGTAAAAATCAACTCAGTATTTGAGTACTTTTTGAGTAACTATTTTTTTAAACAACTAAGGGCAGTGAAGATGGATGATTCTAGTGTAACATTAGTTCCAAAATGACAAGGAGATATAAATCTTTAGTTGCTTTTTTTGATTGAGCAACTTTAATTTAACAATTAAAGACCAATAACAAAAAATAAATAACTCTTCCTACTCAAGTGTGTCGTGCAGTATTTTCACTCAGGTTTGTGAGGAGTCTCCATGGGTGTAAAGTATTTTATAAACAGCTTACAAGCGGGTTGTTATATGGCCCTACCCCTAAACCCAACTCTCACAGGAAACCTGTGGGAAAATTTAAATGTGAAAAGAGTTAAGTATAATTATAAGCATTTTAAATTATGAGGACACAAGGCATGTCCTCTACACCACCTCAAAGTTGTAATTCATTGGTTATACCCATGACATTATGCAAATTTCAGTCCTTGTAAACCACCAAAACCTGAACAAACAGCCTGATCTCACGAGGAAACGTAAGTATTTTACATTTTGCCAGTTTAGTGGCTAATTCGTACGAGTTCAGTCGTACAAAATTAAACGATTTTAAAAAGGAGGCGTGGCACCTAACCCCACCCCTAAACCCAACCGTCATTGGGGGATGAGCAAATCGTACTAAATTGTACAAATTAGATCATACAAATTCATACGAATTAGCCACTAAATGAAAAAGTTACGAATTGCCGTGAGATTGTGTTGGAACAAACAGTCACAGACACACACACACACACACACACACTGCTCTGACCTCTGTAACCATGATGAGTTGTCCAAAGAAACACGTGAGACAGAGGAGCAGGACTAAAAGTTCTCGACGTCCAGCTCTGCGCAGCACCTCAGGGAACAAGTCCATCACTGATGTAATCACACACTCTACTGAAACAAACTTTGAAGAATACAGCAGTAGGTTAATTTAAATCTTGAACTCATGATAAAAAGTCATCTAGCACATGCTATAAAATAGTTATGATAATTTGCTATAACCTGTTAACTCATCATTTAGAATAGACTGTTTGGGCTGACACATTTTGTGATAGGAGTTTGAAGGCCATCTACGTTTATTTTATTTTATTTTATTTTATTTTATTCTGCAGCTGAGGTCAAAGATTTATTTTAAAGAGTATTTTAAAGAAGAACTCAGACATTTATATAAAAGTTAAATCCTCATTCAAGACAAACGTGTAACTCATGAAGAACTAAAACTTATATTAATGATTTATAAATGGGTAATAGTTGTTAATGTTTTGTAATGTATTAATTCTCTACTAACATAAGTCATACTTTATTTTGATGGTCCCTTTGTTACACTGCATCTACATGTCAATTAATTCCCATTAGATTAGAAGTAGACTGCTAGGTTGGGGTTAGGGTTAGTGTAAGTTGACATGTACTTGCAAAGTTACTTATAGTCAGTTAGATGTCTGTTAAAGGAGCAGTATCAACAGATATTAAGCAGACAGTCTACTAATACTCAAATGGAGCATCAAAATAAAGTGTTACCCTAACATATAGACAGGCCCGGCCCTAACCAATTTGGTGCCCTAGGCAAGATTTCAGGTGGCGCCCCGTCACATCGCAGTAAATTCCACTGTTAGAGTACATATAGTCATAAGAAACTAAATAGATTTTTGATCGATTGCTACAAGCTGGGAAAATGTCAGATGAATATGCCAATGTAATTAACATTATAACACCTAATGCTGCTGAATAGATCTAATATTTACACATTTTCTTGAGGAAGGACTGATGAGGGTAGTTACATTACTATTACCATTTTCCATAACATCTATGCCCTTCCATAACATTAGCTGACGTCAAAACTAACAGATAGCACTATAACTATTTATTGATTAGCAATGTTATGCCATATTTGTCAACGTTGGAATGTAAAAAATTTGGGACAACAAATAACTTCAAATGATAGAATGCATAGCAAAGAATAGAAAATATTGACAATAAAATTTTATTTTATTAAAATCTATGGTCTATACAGAAATTAAATAAAGCTATAAAATCTATTTAACTTTTAATTGTATTTGCATATTGATTAAAGTTACTATAGTTATTTAGAGAAGAGCAGCAGATGAATCTCTCATTGTGTTTTGTTTGATAACAGAGGTGTTAATGTAAGAATGCACAGATCTATAATGAATGAATGAATGAAGCGTTCGACTACTTTAGTAACTGTTGTGCTCATTTAAGAGAAAATTAGTTGTGTTTAAAATAAAACAAGCAGGATAGAGCAAAAAAAAGAAAAAAAGAAGCACTTTTCCAACGGTCCCTTACTGAGAGCTTCACTCCGCACGAGCTCTCCCGGCTAAACGCATATCTCTGGCTAAACGGAGCAGTGCTCTTTATATCGAGCGAAACCCCCCCCCCCCGAAAAAGACAGCTGTGAAACATAACCAGCTTTGTGTTTTTGTAGGAAACACACTTTAGATCTTTTTAGGCTAAGAGGTTTTTGAGTTATTGCCATCTATCACTGAATGTGTCAGGAATATCAAAAACTAAACCAACTTATCATTTCTGGCGCCCCCTGGATGTACAGCGCCCTTAGCATTTGCCTATACTGCCTATGCCACAGGTCGGCCCTGCATATAGAGACCCCCTAGTTTTTTGCGATTTTGCGATTACCGCTGAATCCAACACAAATCAACAAAAAGTCTATTTTTTTTTGCAATCCTGCAAAATTCTTTATTTAAATGCAAAATAATCATAAACAATGTAAATAATCTCATAAAGCACCCAATTCCAAACCATAATAAAATTATATTTATTTCAGTTTGCAGTTTTACATGACTTAATAGACGTGTATATGCTGTATCTGTTTTCAAATTTTTGGGAATTATAACCCAAAAATCAATTTTTTATCGCCAAAAATCACAAAGATTTTTACAAAAAATTGTGAAAAACTAGGGGGTCTGAATATAGTATTAACTAATAGTATAAATGTAGGTTTTGGTTTCCCCAATAGGTGATTAGCTAATAGTTTGCTAACATGTCATTGTGTTATGACACAATGTCATAACATATTGTGTTTTTTTTTTCTTCACTCTCATCAGGTGAAGTTTTTTTTCCCTCTCCGCTGTCGCCACTGCCTCGCATGGTTCAGGATTGGTAGAGCTACGCATCGATGAATTTGCTCTTCAGTGTTTGAACTCTCAGTAATGATTAAATCACACTGAACAGAGCTAAACTGAACTGAACTTAAACACTAAAACCTGAACCACACTGTTCCAGTTACTGAACCACACTGTTCCAGTTACTATGACCATTTATGTGAAGCTGCTTTGACACAATCTACATTGTAAAAGCGCTATACAAATAAAGCTGAATTGAATTGAATTGAATTATGACTTACTGCGGCTCAGATAGGACTAACTAACTTCTTACAGTATATAACCAATTAGTTAACATTCCTGTGCCTGGGCACACATTGATTCATTTTCTTTTCGCCTTAGTCCCTTTATTAATCCGTGGTCGCCACAGCGAAATGAACCGCCAACTTATCCAGCTGCAACCCATCTCTGAAAAACATCCATACACTCTCATTCACACACATACACTACAGACAATTTAGCTTACCCAATTCACCTGTACCGCATGTCTTTGGACTGTGGGGGAAACCGGAGCACCCCGATGAAACTCATGCAAACGCAGGAAAAACATGCAAACTCTTCACAGAAACGCCAACTGACCCAGCCGAGGCTTGCCATGACCCAGCGACCTTCTTGCTGTGAGGTGACAGCACTACCTACTGTGCCACTGTGTAACCATATCATAACAGTTGCTTCCAATCTTTAGCTAATAATTACCTAAAGCAGACACCTGGAAGTTGAAGTACATTATTTTGTGTAATTTTAACATATGAATTTACATAATTAGTCAATATGATATGTTATAAGGGAATAAATACATCATGATGACTCATTTAACTAATAACAGTTCATTGATTGTTTAATGCTTGAATCAATTAGAATGCTCATTGGTTTCTCATGCAGTAATAATTGATAAATTGTTTAGGTCTTCTTATGTTATATATTAACTGATAATTATCTGTGCATTAGTTAAAGATACTTTAATGTATATTTCTGCACCTGTAAAGTGTTCCCAGAAAATTGTACAAAACATTTGACGGTTATTAAAATCTTTGTGCTGAACTATCCCTTTAAAAGCTTCTTGTATTGCTCTGTAGTGTGATTACGATTTAAGTATATATTTAACAGCTATGTTTTCGTTTACATGTAGATAATACAGACAGTTGAACATATTCAGATAAATGTCATTCAGTTTTCATTTTATAAACTTTAATTTAATACACTTCCAAATGCTTTAAAGAAACATTAAGGAGGTTAGTTTCAGCTTACCTGTGTGTCTAGGCCAAGCAAAATAATCATGATGAAAAAACAAACAGCCCACAACTGAGGAAAAGGCATCATAGCTACTGCCTGTGGATAAGCAATGAATGCTAGTCCTGGGCCTAAGAGAAACAGAGAGATCTGATTTTAAACATTTCACATTTATAGTCATTAATTTTGTTTTCATATGTGCAATGTGCAATACCAGATTCTGCTACTTCTTCAATTGGGACGCCTTGCACATGAGCCATAAAGCCCAAGACTGAGAACACAGCAAAACCAGCCACAAAACTGGTGCCACTGTTCAGAAGGCAAAGCCAAAAGCAGTCCCTGATGGATATAGATTATAAAAAGCATCATTGCAACAGATTCTGCAAATAATTTGATCTTTCCAAAACATCAGTACTAACCTATAGCAGTTGTTGTTGTATTGATTATAGCTCCCAAGTGAAATTAGAACACCACCAATCACACTATAGGAGAAGAAGATCTGAGTTCCTGCTTCCATCCAAACCTAAACAAACACACAACCTTAGAATGTATTTATAATTTTTTTTAAAATCATTACTAAAAACACTTCTGCAATCAGAATCTACAGCTATTGTACAAAGTAGTTGTGGTTAAAACAGTTGTGTTAAGCAAAAATGTTTTGAAAATTACATTTTTATTTAGCAGTAATGGAAAATTATGATGGCAGAGTTGTCCTCACAGTAGTTGTGTTTTTATGTATTTATGTTCTTATATGGGCAATAAAGTAATACTACTTAAAATAATACAACTCTATCCTCAAAGCGTCTGTTATTATGGCTCTTTTTTGAACGTTTTCAATAATTAATTAGCTGTAAAATGCATTTTTACTGTGGTGAAAGTGACAACTCATGGCATCCTGCTCTTCAGTATCTAAAAAACACACAATGTTTAAATATTGTGTAAGGCTTTAATCAGGTGAAGATTTTCACCTTTAAAAACAACTTTAAACAACAGAAACTTCACACACATCTGTGGCAGGTAAAATTACAATGATCTGTTAATTAAACTATGCCGCTATTTAATTCGTTAGTTCATTTTCCTTTGGCTTAGTCCCTTTATTCATCAGGGGTCGCCACAGCGGAATGTATCGCCAACTTATCCAGCATATGTTTTTCACAGTGAATGCCCTTTCAGCAGCAACCCAGTAATGGAATACAGACTCAATCACACAAATACACTACGGCCTATTTAGTTTATTCAATTCACTAATACTGCATGTCTTTGGACTGTAGAGTAAACTGGAGCACCAAGAGAAAACCCACGCTTACTTGACACAGAAATGGCAACTGACCCACCCAGGACTCGAACTAGCTACCTTCTTGCTAACTACTGAGCCACCGTGCCTCCCTAGTCTTATTGTATTTTAATATACTTTTATATTTTATATCGAGGACAGATGTGGAGTTACCTGTGGGTCAGCAAGGCGGGCTGGTTCAGGATACAAGTAAAACACAATCCCCTGCAGAGCTCCAGGTAGAGTCAACCCACGAATCAGCAACACAATCAGCATCACATAAGGAAATGTAGCTGTGAAATACACCACCTACAAGTGCAATACAACAAATAATGATACTGACAGAGCAGAAAATCAACTGTGAGTCACTGTGAGTAATCTCACTATTTATCATTTCAGAGGTGGGATTGACAGCATCTCAGTGGTCACCCATTGCTCACGTTCCCTGTTGGGAGCACCCTTCTGATGGACACTTATTCTGTAGCCTAACTTATTGTAAATTAACTTATTAATCACATAATCGCAATTAATTACATTTAAAAGACTGAAACTGAAGGTTGTAATTTTGCCTATTTAATTGTAAACTTAATGTAAAAGCAAAACAAAAACTATTTAAACTCAAAATATAATTGTTTATTCAAATTTTTGTTCAACTTGTAACACAGACTTCTTCATGTAAACAACAAACCCACAATAAACCATAAATTTAGAACCATAGAACCATGTAATAGAACCATCCTGGATTTATTACAGAAATTAAAACACAGGCATGTACAGATGGTCAGAATTATTAGCCCCCTCTTTGAATTTTTTTATTCTTTTTTAAATAAAACAGAGCAAGGACATTTTCACAGTATGTCTGATAACATTTTTCCGTCTGGAAAAACTCTTATTTGTTTTATTTCGGCTAGAGTAAAAGCAGTTTTTAATTTTTTAAACACCATTTTAAGGACAAAATATAAACCCCTTTAAGCTATATTTTTTTCTCGATAATCTACAGAACAAACCATCGTTATACAATAACTTGCCTAATTACCCTAACCTGCCTAGTTAACCTAATTAAACTAGTTACGCCTTTAAATGTCACTTTAAGCTGTAAAGAAGTGTCTTGAAAAATATCTGGTTTAGAAATTTTTTTTTTTTTATTTAAAAAAAAATTAGGTTTAGAAATGTGTTGAAAAAATCTGGGGGAAAAACAAGCGGTCTAATAAATCAGGGGGACTAATAATTCTGACTTCAACTGTAAATGCCATCTGAATTTCAAAACAATCAATGCCAATAAAGAAAAAAAAAAACATTTGCATGTTGGATTCTAAGTGGACTATAAAAAAAATCCAAAATACAGGCATTGCAAATTTTGTAAATTTAAGTTCATTCAAGTTCATTTATTTATAAAGCACATTTAAAAGCAGTCACAAAACTGACCAAAGTGCTGTACATAAGACAAGATAAAAAAATTAAAAAGACAGAATATAAAACATAGAAATAAAGCAAGTGAAACGTCTGTAAAAATGTAAAAAGTTTGCGGTAGAACGAACTATTAAGATAATCTTAAAAAGCCAAGCTAAAAAGGTAAGTTTTAAGAAGTGATTTAAAAATGGATAAAGATGGAGCCATTCTAATCTCAAGGGGCAAGGTGTTCCACAACCGAGGACCTGCCATAGAGAAAGCTCTGCCCCCTCTACGTTTCAGCCTAGACTGTGGAACTGAGATTCTGCTCACTTGACCTAAGAGATCTCACAGGAGTGTAAGGATGAAGCAGCTCTGAGAGATAGGATGGGGCTAGATTATGGAGGGATTTATAAACCAGTAAAAGCACTTTATAAATCAATTCTGGATTTCACAGGCAGCCAATGAAGGCCTCTTAGAGAAGGGGTAATGTGGTCATTTTTTCGGCAATTGCATATAAATCTAGCAGCAGCGTTTTGGACCAGCTGAAGGCAAGAAACCTGGGATTTTGACATGCCACAAAAAAAACACTTTAAAAAGTGTTTAACTTTAGACAGCAGAGGTAGTTGATAAAAACTGGAGCCAATAACCGAACTGATCTGTTTGTAGAGTTTCAATGACTCATCAAAAATGACACCCAGATTGTGGACACAGGGCGATCTGAAGGCAGATAAGCAGCCCAAATCTAGGCAAGAGGCCTGAACGTTTTCAGTAGGGCTGAAGACAATGAACTCTGTTTTATCCTCATTTAATGATAAAAAATTGTGGGACAGCCATATTTTGATCTCGTCCAAGCACCTTAGTAAAGTACTAAGTGTGAGAGGGTCGTATAATTGGAAAATTATAATATTAATAAAGTACTAAATACAAACAATTGTACTCATTGTAAAGTTGTATCGCTGTGAGTTAAGAAAATTAATTATAAAGTAGAAACAATTTTTCTTAGTCCTTCTTTACATTCAGCCAGTTGCTAAGCCAGTCCAGTCTGTTGACATTATCGGGGGACAATGTCGACCTTTTCTTTTGAATGATGTGAGCTGAGAGTGAGAACAGTCTTTCACACATACCTAAAAGTACAAATGTGTACTTTACAGTTCCTTTAAGGTTCAAAAGTATAGGCTAGGTACAAAAATATTATTTTAAGATGCAAATGTGCACCTTTAAAGTAGAAACATGTACATTTTGAAAAGGTACTGCCACCGTGACAGCTTTTGTACCTTTATTTCTGAATGTGTAACAGACACGGTATATTATCTCTTTCGTTCGAAAGCTTACTAGCTATTGTTCTACTAAAACTAAAACTAATGTTCAACTAACTCATTTTTTCACACTGATCCATTCTTTGATCGAATCTCTACACTGTATGAATATTCTAAAGTGTGCTTGTTTGGATGCCTCCAAATTGCCTCTGGCCACCCTAACTAACAAATTCTAGCTCCTTCACTGGTAATGCAAAAATAACTCTGTTGATTTACTTCTGATTATATTTTATGCCATTGCAAGACATTAAAATACTCCACAAGATGCTGTGAAATCAAGTATTTATTCTAAAGTGGTGTTTTTGAATTACAACGGAAGATTTCCCTTGGCTATAAATATAGTCAACTTCAGATCAATACATGGAGGAAGAAAGTAACATGGCCCTGGTTTGAAGGAGGTGGTACCGTCTTTAAGGCGGCACACAATATTTGGGCCAGATGAAAAACATAGTATTTGGCCCAGATTTAAAAATTTGATAAGTGGGCCATGTGAGTTTGGCCAGTCTTGACCCACATTTAAAATACACTAAAATAATTTTTGAGTAAAGAAAAAAAAAATCTACCAATCAGGTCACTTTAAGAAAAAGCGTGCCCATAGTGTGCCTAAAGAGCATCACTCCATAGGTTTATCAAATTCATTGCAATCGTGACACGCCAATCTATCTGGCCCAGTTCAGGCCCAGTTATGAGTTATTAACTTGGCTGAGACTTGGCCCAGATATGGTCTGTGTTTGGCCCTTGTCTGGAAGCCAGATTTGGTCCAGTCATGTACCGTAATTCACTGCGGCATGTGGGCCAAGCAAAACCTGATTGTGTGGGCCAGAGCTGGGCCAGAGAAATTTTGCTATGTGGGTAGTTCTTCACTCAAAAGTGTGCTATATTTTTTTTTTACCCACTTGTGGAATAGGCTGTTGTATAAACGCAATATTACATGAGTAGCATTGCAATATGGCACAGCACAGGGGCAATTAGGCCAAATCACAGCAGTGTGATATTACCTTTATACAACAAAAGTATATTAAAACAATAATTTTTCTTGAAAACAGTAAGTGTACATTTAAATCTAAACATATTTCAAAGTTTGTGAGACAAAAAATATATATTTCATATAAATATTATATTTATACATTTATTATACTTTTATATAAATACAAATATTAGTTTAAACAACTTTCTATCAATATTCTTACACACCTTGCCTGTCGACTTGACTCCTTTCCAGATGCAGAAATAACATATGATCCACATTGCAATGAGACACAGAAGAATCTCCCAGTTGATCTTGCCGATGTCCTCAATACCTCCAGAGAGAGACAGAACTCTGCGTCTGTACAGTGGGGCAGTAAAGAGAGTAACCGTTGGCTATTGTGCTATTTTTATCCAAAGAAACCCCAAACATTTAGAGTTATTGTATGGCATTTAAATGTATTGTAGTTTTGTGTTTATGTACTCCCAGAACTCGGTAGCTGCAGATGTTGAATTAATCAACATCTGTGTTGTCCGGTTGAAAGTAAGATTTCCTGCAGCAAGATTTACACAGTTGTCTAAAAGAGAGAGGTAGAGAGAGACAGGGAGAGGGAGAGAGAAATAAAGAAAGAGAGAGAATGTTTCATTTTAGAATGTTTAATACAGTGATTCTTAAAAAAATATTTGTCCACTGGGTCCAAGACAACATCTCCTGCAAATTATATGTAAGTACGTAGGTCGTTTGTCATTTTTAACACACAAACACAAAAACCTATAAGCATTTATTAAAATAGTGCTGATATTCATTTACATTTACATTTACATTTAGTCATTTAGCAGACGCTTTTATCCAAAGCGACTTACAAATGAGGACAAGGAAGCAATTTACACAACTAAGAGCAACAATGAAGAAGTACTAAAGGCAAGTTTCAGGTCTGTAAAGTCTAAGAAGGGAAGTGTTAGTAGTTTTTTTTTTTTTTTTTTTTTTTTTTTTTTTTTTTTTTTTTTTTTGTACAATTAGTGTGATATTCAAAGAGGCAATTGCAGATTAGGAAGTGAAGTGGAGACTAAATAGTTGAGTTTTTAGTCGTTTCTTGAAAATAGCGAGTGACTCTGCCGTTCTGATGCAGTTAGGGAGTTCATTCCACCAACTGGGCAGATTGAGCGTGAGCGTTCGCGAAAGTGAACCAGGATTGTATAGATCGATTAATGTGTAACATTGTGTGAACACTTTTATTACAGAAGACATACACAAGTCTCTGCAAACCGACAAAATTGAATGTGGTATTAGCCGTTAGCATTAATAATAATCATTGCTTACATTTATATAGTGCTTTTCTGGACGCTCAAAGTGCTTTTACACATTGGGGAGAATCTTCTCATCCACTACCAATGTGCAGCATTTACCTGAATGACATGACAGCAGCCATATTGCACTAGACTGCACACTCTCCACCTGATTGGTGGAGAGGAGAGAGAGTGATGAAGCCAATTATAATATGGGGATGGTTAGGAGGCCATGATTGAGGGAGGCCAGTGGGCAGATTTGGCCAGGATGCCGTGGGATTTTTAACAACCACTAAAAGTCAGGACCTCGGAGTAATGTCTCATCCAAAAGACGGTGCTCCCTGAGCAGTATAGAATCTCAATCTATATACTGGGGCATTAGGAACCACACAAACTGCGGATTGAGAAACCCCTGCTGGTCTCACTAACACCACTTCCAGCAGCAATCTAGCTTTCCCATGTGGTTTCCCATCCAGGTACTGACTGCTTTGCTTCAGTGGGTGACCATGTGTGAGTTGCAGAGAGCAAGCTAATTGGGATTAATTGGGAAGTATTGGGAATGTATGATGCTTAGACAATTAAATTACTACAATTAAACAGTATTATGCTACTATGGAATACATTTTGGGCAATATTTCACCAAATTAGTCATCTTCCAGCAAAATATTACAGAAGACATACACAATATTACAAATAAGTTGAGACAGTTACTAATTCATATCTCTAAAGCTATATTTAGCTATGTTCTGGGGTGGAGCTGCTGGCATACCTCCTTTTGAAAGATGGTACAATTTAGCCAAATTACATATCGATGCAAAACATAATTACATTGCTACGCAAATAATCTACTGTATTACTAATTTGATACTTCTCTGTGTTTGTGTGGTCTTTGTAAATACATGATAGTAAATTTAAAATATACCTGACTTGACATAAAAAAGATACAGTTTTCTATTTGAAATCCCATAATATTATGTGCTTTGACAGGAAAAGCAAGAAAACCTTGTGTTTTTACATCTTAAATTCACATTTATAGACACAAACACAATGTTTTGCCCCTTTCTGCTTATTCTTTTTGTTTGCTTGTGTACATTCATTGTGTTTCCCCCATTTTTTTTCTCCAAATGTAGACATTTTGAACTGTGGGCTAATTAGGTTAGTAATTCTGTTAAATTCAATGGAAATAAAAACAGTAAGACTAGAAGTTATTTATTTGTATTGGTTTAACTGCCATTGGTTTAACTGCATATTCAGTTATATACAATAATTTGTACATTATTCTCACCTGTGTTCCAGATGTTGTCACAGCTGGCCCACGGCAGTTGTGAGCTGAAAGAGGAGATGAGATAGAAAAGTGCCCAGGCCAGAATGATGGTAAAATACATGCAGCTGTACAGCACTGTGAGCTGTCCTGCATAGCCAATACCTGATAAAAGCAAACAGACACAGTAACTAGAAGAGAATCAACATTGAAATGAAAAGGTTATTAGTTAACACTCATTGTACCAGGAAAAATGCAATTTGAGAACTTGAAATATTAACTTTATTATATATTTAAAAACAACATACAGCCAGTAGAGAAGGTAGTGGAGCTAACGAGTTACATGACACCTGATTATATGCACAACGGCAAATATTGTTTTAGCAACAAGACAAAATGTCATAAAATGTTCATAAATCATATTAGACCTTTACAAAGAATTATATATTCATAAATAATTAAATAACATTTTTATGACTCTGACCCTGAGCCAGTGGACAGAGGCGATGCCAGCATGTAATGCCCCCTTCATGTGTGAACTGCCCCATAGCCGTCTCCAACAGGAACAGAGGCACCCCACAGGTCACAACAAACACCAGGTAAGGTATCAGGAACACCCCTGAGAACACACCAGTTTAAATGAAGATAAATAGAGTTACAGCACTAGAAATAGGGGCTCTATTTGAACAAGTTAAATGTGATGTCTAAAGGGTATGGCGCAAAAGCATTAGGGGTATGTCCAATTTTAGTTCCCACTTTATATTAAGTGTCCTTAACTATGTACTTACATTAAAAAATAAATACAATGTACTTTCTGTGTTTATAATGTACTTGAGCACACTAGTGGTGCTTTTGAGTTGGGATAGAGGTTGGGTTATGGACAGGTTTGGTGGTATGGGTAGTGGGTTAAGGTGTAAGGGATGGTCAACAGTGTATTTACAAATATAATTACAAAAGTTAATTACAGACGTAGTTACATACATGTATTTTATCAAGCATAAGTACACATTAAATACATGTATTTACTCAATAAGTACATGTAACAATCCAATACATCCTGTGTAAGTACATATTAGCTAAGGCCACTTAATATAAAGTGGGACCCAATTTTGTTATTTTAAGAATGGAAAAAATATGGTCTGTGTGCCAGTGCCTGGTCTTAAAGGGTTGTGCTTATTCTCTTAATGAGTCATGGTGTAAGATTTGAGATACCACAGATACTTTGATGTACTTGAAAATACAAGCATGAGCTGGCTCCACAACCCACCAGGTGGTAATGCGGGAAAGTTCACTCTTCTCCTTTCCTTCATTTACATTTGAAGCATTTCCCGCAACCCCCTGTTCATACCCTCCTCTTCATCTCACACAGAATGGTCATCTCAATATATGAATGTTCTATATCATTCCAAGTGACTATCTATCATCATTTGAAATGTCTCACTGCGACTGGTACTATAGTCTCATTCCCTTAGAAACAGACATAATCAAAACAATAGATGTATAACTTCAGGTATCTTTTGAACCACAGCTAAGGGTGTGTCTTTACTTAGGAGGCTTCCATTGAAATTATGATTTGTTCCCTACAAGCAGTAACTCTTCAGAACATGCCACTAAATGCAAATGCCTTTTGCTATTCCACACATACCCCTCCTTGAAGGAGATTCTTGGTTTGACTATTTAAGGGGAAGTGTCAAGAGGTTCAGGGCGATTCTGTAACCAGATCAGCCCATAGTGTGGAGCTCTCATGCTCTACACCAGGGGTGTCCAAACTCGGTCCTGGAGGGCCGGTGTCCTGTACAGTTTAGCTCCAACTTTCTTTAACACACCTGCGTGGAAGTTTTTAGTAAACCTAGAAAGAGTTCGATTAGCTCGTTCAGGTGTGTTTGATTGGGGTTAAAACTAAAATATGCAGGACACCATCCCTCCAGGACCGAGTTTGGACACCCCTGCTCTATACTAAGTATATTTTGAAGTCAGGTACAGTATATGCATCTTTTGATCTTGGATCTATCTTTGAGAATTTGATGTCTTGTATTGATTGTTTACATATTTACCTGACTAATAAATTGTTATGCTTGAACGGATTCCGCTTACTCTGTAATTGTTCATTTTAGTAGATTAAGCTGTATCCTTGTTTCCGCACTTCCTGCGTCAGGTCAACAGACGGACTAAAGTCCAGTTGAGATGGAGCTTTGGGCACACTAACTGTATTTTAGGGATCTTACTGACTCTTTGGCTGTTTCTCAATATGCGTTCTTCAGTGGTCTTGTGTCCTCGTGTTCTCATGTAACATGTCATCATCAGCAGCCAAAGTTCTGTTCCAAAACTCAAGACCGCAAGAACAGAAATGTGAAAACGTGAAACTTCCCAGATGTGTTCTTGATATTGAGGACGCAACAATGCAGAATTAAGCACTGAACTTGCTCTAGAAGTCCCAAAAGTCATTGCGACTGGAGGTGGGAAGCACAGCATTACATATGGGTTTTGTTATAAAAGTTCCGAGATTTAACTTATTTACCTCAGGAGCTTCCCTAAATGAAACGGTGAATATAAACATTACCATGGACATCTTACAGTTTTTCTGAGTCACTTTGGTGCATTTCTCACAACACTATTTAAATTTATAAGACCGGTCTTCACAAGAATGCGAGTTCATTCTCTGCGTTCTTGGAATTGAGAAACAGCCATTATATTTATACTTATTTCAGTCTAGGGCAACAAGATGTTGCACGACCGACCTAGATAGGGTGCCTGACCCTTGTCTTAAAGTAATAATATTGTAAATCAAGTGTACATGGAAAACCATGGGCTTGGCTAAACCAAAATTATTATAGAGAACAGTAGTCGGTTTCATTTTTTATAATAGCTTTGACCTCTGATTAGAAATGACATTATCTTTACTGTGTACATCTAAGGGGACTAATCAAAAATACTTTAGAATAAGCAAGCATAGGAGCGGCCAACTAAAAGTATTAGTCAATTACCTCTGTTTAATAATCAAGACTGACGAGAGTGTGACCATGAGGGACGCCATCGGCCGAAGCAATTCCTCTGAGCGACGTGAGCACCGGAATGAAAAAAAATGTAATAATAAGTGAAGACAAAAGGTTCAAACATTTATCTAAATTATATATTGACATAATCTTCTTAATGTTTTATTATTAAAGTCAGATAAAGATGACAGATAAATATATTACTATTCTAAACCACCTCATATTAAAAATGGAGTCTGATACTGTATGAGTTAAAGTTAAACTGAAAGAACATTGTGCACTGGAAGGGCCGAACATGCAGTGAACCTTCATCCACCAGTGGACACCTTCATTGGGCCTTGGGTAGAACTGGGTGGACTTTGCAATGTGTGTGTTATGAGCATAACCTGAATTAAACCAATCAGAAAATGATTAAAATAAGCTACTGTTTAAATTTGGCTAATAATAAGGCATTATTCCAGAATAATTAACTTTTGTTTATTTTTAAATATTAATTATTTATTAATTATTATTAATTATTAATTTTAACCTTAAATGATATTCATTCTTTTTTTTTTTTTTTTGTAAATAACAAAATATGCCAAACTAAATTTGTTCAAAAAGAGCATTGTTTTCAATTAAAAAATATGGTTATAAAAATAATTAAGTCACACTTTATTTTGATTGTCCATTTGTTGAATTTAAGCTACATTGCATCTACATGCCAACTAATTTTCATTAGATTATAAGTAAACTGTTAGGGTTTGGGGTTAGTGTAAATTGACACGTACTAACAAAGTTTCTTAAAGTCAATTAAATGTCTGTTGAAGGAGCAGTTAATTGTCAGTATCAACAGATATTAAGCAGACAGTCTACCAATACTCAAATAGACCATCAAAATAAAGTGTTACCAATAATTATCATGCCCTCATGACAAATGAAAAACAAACAAACAACAAGTATTAGTATATTAAAACTGAATAAAAGAGCAATTTTAAAAATACAACAGTTTCCCTTGCGAGAGAGCAAATGGGTGTGCTTTGATGCACCTTCTGTCACACTCTGTTGTTTAAAAATATGTATTTGTTAACACTGGAACTACCTAAATTGTAAGGAGCACTTCCTTGATGTTGCCAGTTTACAGAATGATGTTTCCAAGCACTTTTCAGGATTAGGTAACAGCTTTTTTAATTTGTATTAAATTGCCTATATGCCTGTTTAATGTTTGTGGGTGAAGGGCAGGTTGTAAAAATGGGCTATGGCGGGTCAAATAACTTCATAAAAGCAACCCGCGAGTTGTAAAAAAATTACCCTGATTCACCCATCACTAATACATAAATATTTAGGTAACTAATGAGCTCTTTAAATAAATAATACAAAAAACATTTTGTGCCACTAATTTGAGATTAGTTTTTTTGGGGGGGGTCTAAAAGTAGTGTTGCTTCAACAATGTGCAATAACACATCTCCTTTTTAGACCAGCATACCCATGAGTCAATAAAGTGGCGCAAACGAATTAGCTTTTTACACAATCTGGTGCAAAACATGACAATGATAGCTGCGCCGGTCTGAAAATAGCAAAAAATCATGTGCCCCGTGTCTTATCACGCCAAGTGTATGATAGGGATCTAAGTTTTACAGCATTACAATTAAGGAGTCCAGTCAGTTAATTCAGTAATGTGTTCGAGAGTGACAAAATGCCAAGCGCTGAGTACCTATAGTAGTACAAGGATTAAAAACAAATAGGCAATAGGCAAAAAATCTGGCACTTTACAGAAAATAAACAGCCACCTGTTAAATGTTAAATGTTATAATTCTTAGATGTAGACACAATGATCTTTAGCAACTCAGAATGGACATTTAGAAACCAATTCTAATTACTGAATTTACAATATGAAATCTGTATTTAGGCTTTATCATACCTCCTCCATTTCTGTAGCAGAGGTAAGGAAACCTCCACACGTTACCCAGTCCAACCACATTTCCTGCCACAGCCAGAAGAAACTCTGTTTTTTTGCCCCAGAACCCTCGCTCTTCGATTTTTTCTTTGATTGTGCTCATTTCTTCTCTCCAACACTTCCAGTTTCCAATGATGCTTCTGTCTGTGGCAACTGTACAATGGTGGAGGATGACAGATATAATTTGAAAAAAGAAAAAAAGAAAAAAGGATTTGGCGAGTAACATTGAAAGTGTTAATTGTTCATTAAGATGGTCACCCTATGATAGAATATGTAACTACTTTGAGAACACTTAAATATGCAAAAGGTACAGCACTTAGCTGATGTTCACACATTAGCTGATGATTAATAATAAAGGGTATTTGGCATGCTGTCCTGGGAGAGAGCCCTGAGCTCAGAATATCCTCAACAAATCTCCTTCCTGCTTTTAAGGCGAAAAGGGAGTTTGAGCTCAGGTAGTTTTCGAGAACTCCCCTGCTTGTGAACGCTCTGAGATATTGCTGGCTAAGAGATTAATTTAAGATGCTTCTTTGGAGTATTCAATTTACTTATGGTAAATGTCTTTGGACAATAGGAGGAAACCGGGAAAAACCCATGCGAGCACGGGGAGAACATGTAAACGCTGCACAGAAATGTAGACCGGCCTGGTAAGGGGCCGAACCAATGGCATTCTTGCCGTGAGGCAACAGTTTTAACCACTGGGCCACCATGCCGCCCTATCAGGAGAAGCGCATGAGTAGAGGCAGAAGGGGAGATCCTTCAAGACGAAGATGACTTGAGTGGAAATGTCTGGTTATTCATAGTGTTTGAATAGTGTAGTGTTTGTATTATGTATAGTGTATTTATACTGGTTATTTATATTTATCTGATTGGTGCAATATACAGAGCTGATGCAGTAGCAGCTGTGTTCAATCATAAGCACGTCATCCTCTCGAAATTAGTTTAAAAATAAACCACACTTATTACTTTAATTATTTTATTCCGATTAACACTTTCAGTATTCACACCCAGTGGTGTATTGTTTTAGTTAGAATGTTTTTCAATTATTCATCACACCAGAGGGGTATTACACACAAGTACAATTAAGAAAGCCAATAGGGTATATGCGCAGCTAGTGTTTGTTACCATACAGATAAACTTCTGGTGAATGGTTAATGTGACTTTTTACAATTTTATACGGTTCCTTTTACAGCATCAATGATGTAATGTAATAAAAATTCAATCAGTTAAATAGACTTTATTATTCATTTAGTTGTTCAAGCGTAAAACAAGATAAAAAGCTGTTTACATGCACACGCCAGTCAGGAACAGCATGCTAGTGGAGAAGCTCCATTGAGAATACTGGGGAAAAAATAAATGTTCATATTTTAAAAACATGGTAAATTTTTTTATTTTTATTTAATGCAGTGCTTCTGGTACATTCTGAGCCCCACTTTCTATCGTATATCAATCAGGCAATGAAGATCGTTGATTTTTATAGAAAACAGACCTTAAATACACCTATTTTGTAACCGTACACCGTTCACCGGAAGCGTTTAACTTAGGTTATTGAAAAATGAAAAGTCCTCCTGCGTTCTTCTGCATGAACCCAATATAAAAGAAAAAGTGAAGCTTGATCTAGTTTAATCATTATATCTTGGTTTAGTCTGTTGAAGGTTTGCTGATCCAAGACAAGAACGTATCGCTATGTCAAGAACATTCTAGCCAGGAAAAGTGCACGTTCACAGAATTCTTAAACAGACCACGGAATTGATCATAGAATCGATTATGGAACTGGACAAAACCTAATGTGAACCAATATGGTAATGTGTTGAAACATGCCCCTCTCGCCCATTGATCTTGTGATTCTCACTGATTTAGGAACTCCCGTTAATTTCATGCAGAGACCTAATGGAAACATATGAGGGGTGAAGTGTATCAACAAACAGTTGCTTGTTTTGCCTTAAATGTGACAGGTGGAACTCATTTAGAAAATTGATCATGAAGATTAATTGAAAGCCCAACAGTCCACATCTATATTTTTTTGTTTAGTCAGTTTTATTAGGATAGCACAGCAAGAAGCAAGAAGGTTGCTGGTTTGAGTCCCAGCTGGATCAGAAGGCCTTTCTGTGCTGAGATTGCATGTTCTTCCCGTGTCTGTGTGGTTTTCCTCTGTTTTCCCTCTATGGCCAAAGACATGTGGAATAGATGAATTAGATAAAATGATTTGCCGTAGTGTGAGAATAGTAAAGTGTGTGGGTGTGGGTCACTAGGCAATATCATTAAAAAACAGAGTTAGCTTCCACTGTTATGGTGAAGATACACAACTTTATATTTCCTCTCAACCAGATAATTTGTATAAATTTACAGATTGTATAGCAGATATTAATAATTAAATGGCTAATAACTTATTACTAAATTCAGACAAAAATGAGGTATTGCTTATTGGACCCAAAAAACTCATATGTAAAAACCTAGAACACTGTCTAACCCCTGATGGATTCTTAGTTCAGTCCTCATCCTCAGTCAGAAATTTGGGGGTGATTTTTTAATAGCAACCTGTCATTTGAAGGCCAGATTTCAAAACTGCATTTATTTCATCTTAAAAATGTTGCCAAACTTCAACATATGCTATCAATGTCTGATGCAGAAAAGCTTATTCATGCTTTTATGATCTCTTGGTTGGACTATTGTAATGGGTTACTAGGCGGTTGCCCTTTTGGCCTAATTAACTGCTAAACTTCAGCTAGTTCAAAATGCAGCTGCTAGAATGCTTTCTAGAACAAAGACATATGATCATATTACTCCAGGGTAGGGATGGTATACAGTTTGACCCAAAGAATGACCAGTCTGGTAGATGAAGAGCCGGAGTCAGAGATTTAAATAAATAAAAATCAAGTTTACTGAAGATAGTTTGCAGTTTCATCAGCAGAAGCCAGCTTCAACACTCGCAATGAGTTCCTAGATCGCTCTGCCTTACCGTACAACAATGCAGCAATTATACTCTTTACACAAGTCCAGAAAAGATGGGATCCAGGTAAACAGTTCTCATTGTATAGCAAAAATAGACCATTCTAAATGAGTGCATCAATGAAGTTTGGATGGCCTAATTGTGTGCATCACAGGAGAATTATATCTAACTCCAGATATGGATGGCGACATGGTTCCTGCGGATTAGGTCGACCCTAAGTTCTTAAGAGCTGATCTCTGACCTGTGAAAAGCTAAACCAGGGGCACAATAGATGCAAGAGACAATCTGTGGTGGAAACTCAAGGATGTTTCTTGTACGTTCATCTGTTTAATAAAACTGGTTCAAGACTGTTTCCATCAACAGTCTGCTACAATATCCTAACCACACACAGTGTATCTACCTACAAAAGGAATTACTTTAATAAGAATTAACAATCAAAACAGATCAATCAAACAAAGCTAAATTACTGTAGACAATATCAGTACAACTAGAAAAGGTCTTTTTCTTTTCCACTGGTAATCCCGTTCAGAGGGAGAGAGAGAGAGAGAGAGATCTCCATGACCTATGACCTGGTTTTTGTGTGTCTGCTGCAAACAAAGTTAAAATAGACAGGCAAAGAGAGGAGCAAGGACACTGAACAATCTTACATTAAGCAGCTTAACTTATTCATTAGTTAAATCAATTCAAAGTTGAATAATCATTCAAATAATTGTATTTAATAAAAATAATGAGAAACAAGATGATGAGAAAAGGATAAATGTTGATTCATGCTGAGATGGATTGGAAGGTATAAATCCGAACTGTTCACCAGCGCTTTAATCATTGCATTGGCTGTCAATCAAATATCATATGAATTCAAAAAAAAAAATTATTGACTACCTAAAAAGCCCTGAACGGCTTAGCCTCCCAGTATTTGAGGGAGCTCCAGGTGTATTGAAGCCCCTCGCGTCTACTATGCTCAATTAATTCTGGACAATTTTTTATTCACAAAATATCAAAATCAACTGTAGGTGGTAGATCTTTCTCATATCTGGCACCTAAACTGTGGAAAAGCCTTGCTAGCACAGTTCGGGAAGTAGATACTGTCAGTTTTAAACAAGATTAAAGACACATCTCTTTGCAATGACTTAAAGATGGTATACTTAAAGAAAGTTTTGGGAAATATTAATGATACAGCTTCACGTAAAACTATGAATGATGTAACCTCAAGAAGGTTTTTCTGCCCAGTTCTTTAAATGAAGCATCTCTTGTAGCTATGCAAATATATTCTTACTGATCAAAAAGTCTCTCTCAGCTCACTTTGAGTAAACAGAAATGTATTCATTTGCAAAATGAAACACGGACCAATAAAAAGAGCATGGCAATATTAGTTCTAGAGATGGATCATACATCTGAGCGCGCAGAAATCCACAGATTTTCAGCTCATCATTAAGTCTATGTATTCACTTGTGTATATGTGTATAAATTTATACTTGTTCAGGTTTTAGGTTACTTTCACTGATATCACTGTGCTATAATAGTAATATTAAAATGTTTATATGATTAATTTACAATACTGTTTGTAAAGTAATATTTTCTGTCTTTTAGTTGATATATGAGAGACTTGCTTTGTTTACCAAACAAGTAGATCTAATTGGATTTGCATTGTAAACAATAAATAAAAGTTAAAATTGTATTTTTTTAAATTTTATATATTAAAGTGTTTAGTAATGATACAGTTGATTTCTTTTGCATATAATGATTTACCTGTGTTCCAGATGTTGTCACAGCTGGCCCATGGCAGTTGTGAGCTGAAGCAGTAGATGAGGTAGAAAAGTGCCCAGGCCAGAATGATGATGTAATACATACAGCCGTACACCACTTTTAGCTGTCCTGCATATCCAATACCTGACAAAGGAAACACACTTATTAATAAAATCAACAAATTAATTTATCAACTTAAATTTTTGAGAACAATTGCAAATATGAGAGTTTAAAATATTTTTATATTTGCATATTATACAGCTAAGGGGAAGCAGCTGTGGACCTAACCAGCATTATTGCAATAATGCACATATATTATTAAAGGTAAATTTAGTTAGGAAAGAAAAAAAAAAAAAAACACATTTTAAAAGATTTTGAATTAATTAATTTATTTAAAAAAAATGTATGTGCCTCACGCCCAGCTAGTGGACAGAGATGATGCCAGCATGTAATGGCCCCTTGCTGTGTAAACTGTCCCATAGCTGTCTCCAGCAGGAACAGAGGAACCCCACAGGTCACCACAAACATCAGATAGGGTATCAGGAACGCCCCTGAGAACACACCAAATTAACAATGATTTCATCTTGATTTTTAATCATTTAATTAGGACCGTAAGGTATGACTTTGCTTAGACAAAAGTCTCGTCACTTAACAGAAATAATGTACAGTATAGAATATAAAGTCATGGTGCAGTGGAAAAAGAATTAATATTGTGTATGACTATTATGAGCTTGGAGGACTGCATCCATACATGCCTGCAATGACTCAAATGATAAAGTCATCTGGAATGACAAAGAAAGCGTTCTTGCAGGGCTCCCAGAGTTTATCAAGATTCTTTGGATTAATCTTCAATGTCTACTCCATCTTACACCAGACACGCTGAATAATGTTCATATCTGGTGACTGGGCTGGCCAATCCTGGAGCACCTTGAACTTCTTTGCTTTCAGGAGCTTTGGTGTGGAGGCTGAAGTATAAGTAGTGATACACTGCTGAAGAATTTGCCCACTCCTGTGGTTTGCATTTTAATGGGCAGCACAAATGTCTTGACATCTCAGGCAGTTGATGTTGCCAACCACTCTGCAGATCTCTCGCACACCCCCATACTGAATGTAAGCCCAAACCATGATTTGTCCTTCACCAAACTTAACTTATTTCTGTCAGAATGTTGGGTCCATGAGTTCCAATAGGTCCTCTGCAGTATTTGTGATGATTGGGATGCAGTTCAACAGATGACTCGAGGAAAAATCTACCTTGTGCTACTTTTCCAAATGATCAACTAGAAGTCAAGTTATTATTTGCTGCTCTTACAACTGGGATCAACGACAAGACTTTTGTCAGGTAGTGTATGCTGAAATGAACCATACTATAAAAGAGAAAAGCCAGGTTTGAACTACACTAGACGGATTGTAAATGCATAGATATCTTGAACAGAGAGAACCAGTAGCACACGTAGCTCTTTGAACACAGAATCAATTAAAAAGCACAGAACGAGGGAAAAGGGGAGACTAAATAGCTAAATAATCAGGGAGAACAGGTGAGAGCAATGGGGAGGGGGAAACAAGCGAATTGATAACAGGTGAAACTGCATATAAATGACAATACACAAGAGGGAGACAGAGAAGTAAGAAAAAACCCAGACAATACTGAACCATGACACCACTGTGTCGTATCGAACCGAACCATGATTTTTGTGAACCGTTACACCCCTGATATATATAAATAGTGAATAATTATCAAGAATTTAGTTATGTTCTTTTAAAAATGTAGTAAATAAATATATTTAAATTATTAGTTCTGCTGTTGTTTATACATTTGATTATGTACAATGAAGATGTTTTCATGTTTCATTTTTTCATACTCTGTGCGCACCAATGTGTAGTGAACCAAGCTCATCACTGTCCTTACCAGTGCCTCAATTCATGCACACGACCTACTGATGAACGACTTTAAGACTAAACAGACCATTTTGTTTGTGTGATTGGGAAAAGGTGGGGCACAGAGCCCATCTCTACCTCTAAAATGGGAAATGGCAGAAAAGATTTGATAAACCCAGAACTAGAGGAATCTCAGAGGGTCAAAACTCAAATGTAATTGCCATTGTGCAGCAGAAGCCATGGCCTAGCTCAGCTATCATCATATCAAAGCTTATAAACAGTACATTATTTAAAACTGAAATATTAAAATGCAAAAAAATAAATAAAATTATGCTGTGGCAACCCTTTAATAAATAAATGACTAAGTCAAAAGAAAAATGAATGAATGAAAGTGCAACATAAGCACACCTCATTGATCATCTCATTAAGATGATGCAGAAGATTTCAAGAAGAAAGTTTTTTGGCCCTTACATGTACAGAAGCCTTATGAAAATATTTTGCACAATACAAATAAAACAGATATAAATATGAATTTTAGCAAATAAACTCCCTTAATGTACCTTTATTAGGATTATGATGTGAATGTGTACTTTCAGATTCTCATTTAGGGAAACTCCTGATAAAAAGGTTATATCTCTGAACATTAATTATAAATAGGTAAATAAAATACTGAGCCACTGTGCCACATATTTTAATAAATGATATAGCTCATGATCCACAAATGTTTTGACATTCAATAAAACTTTTGATTTGCATCATAGGTCTTTTATGTTTGTGCTCTATCGCTTATGTTTTTACCTCTTAACATTAGCTTTGTAGGTTTATAAGCATATTTAATAGTTGTAAAGGATAAATGATCTGCAATGGTCATATAAATTACAATAAAACGGTAATGAGCTTTTATGTTGTGTATGGCTTTATTTTCAGATTGATCTTTCCCACTAGACAGGCTACATTTCAAAACTTCACTCTGAAAGGTAGCTACTATAATGTTTTTTTCTGCAATTACTATACTTATTTATCTATTACAATTATTAGTTTATTTGAAACTTACCAAAAATTAAACCCATGGCTAAAAACTCAAACATATAGAAGAAAAGACAAAGTGTCATCCAGAAACATTATAGCTATGGTTATTTTATCATCACTTTTTTTTGCATCATTTAGTTTTCAGGTACATAAATGTTTAGTTGGAATAGCTCCTGGCTGAGTCTTCCATCTCTGCAGTAAAAATTTGTTTGTGTAGGATTACACAAGTGGTGCCAACGCTGTCAAAAACAGACAAAAGAAACAATATCAGGGTTTTAGACATTTATTTTTGGTTTGGTAAGCTTGCTTTGCTTAAATTGTTAGTTTGCATCTTTTGCAGAATTCCCTGTTTAATTCCACTAGGAATGAATGAAACAATTACCATAAACGTTAGATGTGTAATCCCGATAAATGCATGAATGTGCTTTCATCCTCAACTGTTTCAGGCTTCCTTTCCCATGCAGCAAACATTCAGCCCAGCGCCCACCCAGGTATCAGTAGAATAGAGGACAAAGCCATTGACCAGCCTAGTGCATATGCCCAGTCTGGGTACACATACCAGCGGTTAAAAGTCAAATTATTGGTAAAAAACTGTACAATTCAAGAAGGAGGGGTTTGTGGTTCCCTGAAGGTGGAGTATGAATTTCTGTACAAAGTGCTTGTCAGTTTAACTCTGAAATAGATGGGAGGTACAGTAGGTTGTTTTAAATGTTAAAGGACCCAAGAGTTATATCCACTGATGCATTACAAATTACAAAAATAAATGTGAATATGTGCATATTTTAAAATATATAGTTTAAATAATTTAATAATTTAAAATAATTACATCCAAAAAAGAAATAGAACTAACTAGGCCAGTAATTTAAGTTAAGTTAATGTTTAAAAATATTAAGGGGCCTAATAATATTGATGTTAAAACTGATTGATACACATTTAAAAACTGGCAGAAAATACTGTGAAAATATCCTTGCTCCATTAAAAACATCCTCCATTCCTGTAGCAGAGGTAAGGAAAACCTCCACACGTTGCCCACTCCAACCACATTTCCTGCCACAGCCAGAAGAAACTCTGCTTTGCTTCCTCTGAACCATTGCTCCTCTATTTCTCCTTGAATTGGGTTAATTTCTTCGCTTCCAGTTTCTACTGATTTCGATGTCGACTGTAACTGTATAGAAGTGAGGAAGGATGAATGATGACAGAAATTTGTAAGGTTGATGGACAGGTGAGCTTTAGGTAAAATATGCTTTACTAAATAATTAGTTTAAAAAAAATTTAAATATGTAAAACAAATTCTCTGGAGGCAGCTTTAAGGTTTTACTAAGGTGTATCCTAACAGCACTAACCCTAGATAGCTCATATTTATGTTCTGATATTTTGATAAGTTTGATACAAGTTCCTTTCAGTGGCGTAGCGGACGGGCCTGCGTCGTCGCGATTTTCAATAATTGAAAATCCGGCAACCGCAATAATCAAACTCTCTGGAACAACTGTGGTCGGAACCAAAGTTCACAGGTCTGTGTTCTCTAAACACCTCTCAAGCGGTGGACTACTTCATTCCGATTGCTTGCCGCCAATGTTGCCAACTTAGCGACTTTTGGCCACTTTTCAGACCCCCCTAGCAACAAATCTAGCGACTTTTTTTATGTTATTGGAGATTTTTTTTTAGACTGTCATTTGTCCATACTGTACCGTCCCTACTCTTCTCAAAGAGCTGCGTGTGATGCCACCGGCCCCTCCCCCGCCTCACAGCACTGACAGGCGGCCCAGTCAGTCCTCTACAGCAGCCCCTCCCACCTGCAGCCTGAGAGCAGATCACCCCTTTGCGTACCGACGACAAATTATTTAGCACAGGCAGTGTGAAGGTATTTCCCTTGTACAGTCAAACCGATCTACTTCTCCTTTATTTTAACAATTTATGTGGACCGTTTATTCTTTCTTTGTTCAAAATCACAGATATTTTAGTGACAGTTTCTTGTCTGAGTTTATTACATATGAGAGATTACTGCACATTCACTAACGTTACACATCTATGATTATATAATGTATTCAAACAGCAATAAATTTAGTTAAATAAACATGCTTATATAAAGTGTAGTGCAATTATAAATACCCCTTTATTAACCATAGGCTGTAAAAACAAACAAATGGTAGAACGTGATGACGTCAGTGATATGCAAATTGACGTATGACGTATCCCCCCCCCCCGACTTCATCAGGGGGCCCCGTCAGCGATCCCTGCAGGGGGGCCTCCGCATTTTGCGCTACACCACTGGTTCCTTTTTGCTACAAGTGACATTACTTCGAGCAAAATCTGTTTGGAACAAAGTTCATTTTGAGTTAGTTTCCATATTTCGAAACAGTTCACCAAAGCAAACTTTCGGGGGAGTTTGTTTTGGCTTTTAAAAACCCTTGGACTACCATTGGTCCATGGTGATCATGCAATCACAACTATATGTGTTATGAAACTCCCCATGAATGCACTGGAGCAACACCTGTCCTCCCTTGAAAGGGTGCCAATGATGAACATTATCTTTTGTAAGCTGTTTGGACAGAACAGTGTGTAGGTATAGTGTGTTCACAGTCATACTGGGCTGATAAAGACAATAAGTCTTTTATTAAAAGTTTCCTGATGTTAAAATAGGATCCAAACCCCTCCCATTTTGAGGCTGACCGCAACATGACGTAGGAGAAAAAGTCATGTTTAATTATTGGCCCTCAACAATATTTTTAGCGAATCAGCTTTCTTACGTTTACAATCACTCTCATTGGTTGGTGATTGTTTCACACACAGTGAGCAGTGAAAATAAATAATGGCATAAAGGCCAACCTAAATAATATTTATATTTTTAAAATGGCAAAGAGGCAGTCACACATTTTTTCATATGTTAAAACCACAAGAAAATCTGATAATAAGCCTAATCAAACAAGATATTGAGAAGATGAAACTGCGATTATGGATTAGGATATCGAGAGACAGAAGCAAAGCGAGTCAAGTTAGACAGAAAACATTACAGAGAAGCTAACAGTGGGCTGTTCTTGAAAATTAGACTGGGTGTCTTTTAATTATTATTTTTTTCACTTGACACATAATAATGAAGTCAACTGAATAATGATTTTTCATACAATTAATGTTTGTAGCTACATGTTTTTAATATCCATGACTGACCTATAACGTTATATGGCACAAAATAATATGAGACAGAAAATAATTAAAGTTCAGAAATGTAATGCTCTTATCAAGGTTTAATGACATCAAGAATGACGTCAAAACTGAAATAGTTTGGTGGACATCGGACACATTAACTTTTATTTCCTGGTATTGATCTGGGAATTATTCATTTGCAAATTAAGCACTGCACACACCCAATTAAACATTAAACTGTTAAACTGATTTAATCTTGATTTGTTATGCAGTTTAGCTTTGGTTAAAGAAATACACATTCCTTGACCCGATTAAATCTCAAAAGCTTTTTTTTTAAAAAATTACATATCATAAAATGGATTAGTACCTTGCGAAACAACCAGTAGCCTATATACAGTCAAGAAAATGTCTAAAATGATGTACTGTATCAAAATGAAGTTACCAAAACAGGACAGAATCATATAAGATTAATACAGAGGTTTTTATTAGTCTTCCAGATTTCAGACAGATTTATAAAGGACACTGGTAGCTAAATTTGAGCCTTTACATACAAATCATTAGGTCTATTGGTCTATTTGCCCATAACACATGAACACAAAAAGTGTGTGTGTGTGTGTGTGTGTGTGTGTAACCAGGTTAGTTTTATTTCTGTGGTTTAATTTTTGAGCAAAAATATAATTATTATCCAAAACTAATTTATCGTGATTAACATAAGACACCCACTAAAATGTCACTCAATTTAACAAGACTTTATATACAAAAAATTCTTGACAGCCATATTTAGAAAAAAAAAATCTATATAAATAGTTCACACTTAGATTTTGGTCGATACTATTACCAAGTTCGACATGCTGTCCAGGGAGAGACCCCTGAACTAGGAGATAATTGAGCCCAGGGCTCCCTCCTGGTTGAAAGGCATGTAATACAAATTAATTGTGTTTTTAAGATATTTATACTTTCTCATTCTTCTTTGAAACACCTTGTGTAAGCTATTTGAATGCAAATATTTAACAATTAGAAACTGTATATTGTGTTGATTGACGGTGAAAAATTACCCATGTTATGATATTTGTAAATAGTTATTTGAAACATTTAAGTACTCCCTTTAATTTGATTAATAAGCATCACACGCGCACACACACACACACACACACACACACACACACATATATATATATAAATATATATATGTGTGTGTGTGTGTGTGTGTGTGTGCGTGTGATGCTTACGTGTGTGCGTCTGATGCTTACGACACAATGGTGTCATGGTTCGGTACGTTTTAGATACAGCAGAAAAGAAAAAAGCTAGAGGATTTCTCTGACTGAAATTTTTTAATGTATTAAAACTAACATCATAAAATTATGATCGTTTTTTTTTTCTTTTACTTTAATCAGATAGAGCTATACTTCTGGGGTTTCTGCTTAGCAGCAAATAAAACAAATCCTTTATTCTCAAAACCAAAAAGCCGCTTTTAAAAAAATAAATGTAATATTGCAGTAGTTAAACAAATAAAAAGAAAAGAACAATTTAGTTTTTATATGGAACTCAGTTTTTTTTTTATATTCAGAAAGATGAGTGTCCACCTTCTCTTCAGAAAGCACAGATCTGCTTGATTTTACTCTCACCTGCCATTTTAGTGGATCTGAAAGCAGGAATTATCTGACCCAAATGGGCTTATGAAGGAATAATTTAACGGGGCTCTATTACATTTAACATTTTCTTAAAACCCGAAATGTCCACTACCGATTTTTTCTTGGTAGTACTGGTGCTTTTAACTTAAAAAATTTAGGTGCACCAGACAAAATTTAGTCGCACCCACCAAAAATGATGAGCACCAATACTACACGTTTTATAATAACAGATTCTATTATATATTAACACTCTAATTGCAACTAACAAATAAACAAAAATCTGCTGTGCTCACCGGCCCTGCACGCACTGCTTGACGTGAATGAGATTAACTGAATTAACAATAATAACTGTGCACTTCTTACGGTTGAGAACATTATAACTTATTCTTAATAGTAGTACCGGTCTTTTCATGAGCAGCAATATTAGTTTCTTCTCAGTGAATGCATGCTCTTTGGTGATAGTGAACTTGGTGTCGCACGGTTGACAGCACCATGATGATTAAATGAAGGATTTAATAACGTTCCAACATCTCGTGCTTAAAATTTGTAGATTCAGTGGCAAACACAGTTAACGTTACCTGAAAACTCTGTCCCACCGCCTTCACGGTGAACGCTTTAGTCATTTTTATAGTGGACTTTAACCATTGGAAGTCTATTATCCACTCTTCGAAAAGTGTAAATGCTGGATTGACATTCAGCACATGATCACTAATCAGATGCGTCATTAGTTGTAACTCCAGCTGGTTTCTAAAACTAAATCTGTCAGCGTTGTTTTCATTTTCTTGGATCCAGCCCTTTACATTTTCGCGCCTGTGGCACCCTGTCATCGGAACTGAGTGATTGACAGCTGATATTAACCATCCCTTTGCGTTCTGTTCTAGCACAATGGGCTATTAAAAAGAGCTTGAAGGCGGGGCAAGCATTGTGGGCTTTTTTGTACGTATTTTTTCTTATCTTTTTAATAACTCGTTTCTAATAACAGATTTATTTTATTTTTGCCATGATGACTGTAAAAAATATTTTACTGGATATTTTTCAAGACACTTCTATACAGCTTAAAGTGACATTTATAGGCTTAAATAGGTTAATTAGGTTAACTAGGCAGGTTAGGGTAATTAGGCAAGTTATTGTATAACTATGGTTTATTCTGTAGACTTACTGTGAAAATTTCCTTGTTCTGTTAAACACAATTTAAAAAATATTTAAAAAAGAAAAAAAAAATCTAAGATGGGCCATTAATTCTGACTTCGACTGTATGTGTGTATACACACACACACATATATATATATACTAACATATGTATATATACTAACACAACATTTGTTATTTTTCAGAAACTTTTTGTGCTCCCATGTAATGCTTTATATTGTGCTGCTCCTGACTAAGTCTTCCATCTCTGCAGTTTGTTCCTGTATTTGTATAGAGGAGAGCATGAGATTTGTGTCAGGACTACACAAGTGGCCCCAACGCTGCCAAAGAATACAGATTAGAACATTAGAATTTTAGGCACATTTACTTCATTAAAAATAAGTATCAAAATTAATATAATTATTTTGCTTGATTGGGTAAAATAATTAATTTGCAAAATTTCTCAGACTTTCAGATTTCCTAAATGTTTAAACCCAATGGATGGATAAATGTTCCGTGAATGAAACAAGTTCAGTCTCACCTGTTTCAGGCTGCCTTTACCAGTACACATTTGGCCCAGTGCCCATCCAGGCACCAGCAGAATGGAGGACAGAGCCAGTAACCAGCCAAGTACATGTGCCCAGTCCGGGTACACATACCAGCGGTTATAAGTCAGAGGTGTGTACCTCACCATAGAATAAACAAAAGACGTCTAGAAATAAACAGAGAAAAATGTGTTACAAATACAGGTTTTACATTTATATTTATGCATTCAGTAACATTTTATCCAAATAAACTTAAATGAATTTACAGCATATTTTGGATAAAGTGTTACCCATATTTTTTTTTGGTTAGGGGTGTGGAATAAAGCCTGGTTTATACTTCTGTGTCAAGTGATTGCAGTGACCCACGGCACATGCTTTGCACGTAGTAGCTGTGCATTTATACTTCTGTTGCTGTTAATGTTGCTCTGCAATAACACATTCAAAAAAATTTTTTCTAAACGCTACCTTAATGTACAAGAAGCTAAAACTCGCTCGGAACTAGCAGATGTGCAACAACTTAAATTAAAGGATAAACAAAAAACAAAAGTTTCCATCTGAAGCTACCAAGCCGACCAATAACAGATCTTGCACTGCATGTCGTTGCGACATGTAGTTAAATTTTTTGAGAGGTGAACATCAGCACCAGCCACCGCGTGTTACGCAACCATTAGCAGACTGTGCTGGACCATACATGTGTGCGTAATGCAGAAGTATAAACCAGCCGTTAGCATGGACGGAGATGATGAGTTCCCACCAATATCCACTGACTACAGGAAATGCCGTTCCCAACCAGTAATTTAATTAAATTAAAATTTAACTGTCAACATTAACTTAGATATGCAGACTTTTCTTGCAGTCTATGGTTAAATCACGTTTTACTCAAGTCTTACTGCCCCCCAAAAAATATGAATGTTGTGATTGCCTGTGCCTTTCCCTGTTGTAATGTGAGATGGCTATGTTTAGATGTAACAGCAGCCAAACTGTGTGGCGGTTTTCACTGTACAAGAATATGGTGTGTGATGTGGTTCACACATGCAGGTGAGAATGGCGGCAGCAAAAAAAAAGAAGGTGGACATAAGGAACTTTAAAAAAAAAGGTTAAGTCACATAAACTTTAGTTCGCTACTCAATGAGTTCATGATAATAATAGTAACGTTAATGCTAGTGTTTTTTTCTATGCTAGGGCTTCATAGATTCTACCCCCTTGTTATTGGTTCAAGCATGGTGTTTTTGTTGAGAATAAAATCCATGATGTTGTAGTTTTTAATACCATTCTTTACTATTTGAATGACTACTATTAAAATAAACTAATGGTTCATTTTGTGATCAAGCAAACATCTGTGAAATCCAGCTATAGATACAAACCAGGGACACAAGTGGAGTCAAGTATTTCCAGCACAGCATGAACCAGTAGTTGGGTCGTGACTCTGTCATGTCCTTGATTATGTCAAACATTTTTTCAGCCCCTGTGTCAGAAAAAAATGAGCAAAAATAGTTAATGCAGTCTCTTAACATTTTGTATTGTTAGGTTTACTGTGTTGTTTATATTCTTTTAGTTATGTAGTCTGTAAATTATTTTTGCCGCCTGTTTGACTCTCACCGAAGATCCAACCGATGGTCAAAGACTCAAACACAGAGAGGAACAGAAAACAGGCTCCATTACTGGCATAGTTATCAAACAGCTGGAATACATACATCCCCCCCTGCAGATCACAATGCAAAATTACTAGATATGGAGGAAGATTACTTTGATATTAACTGTGTTCCAGACAATAGTCACATTTCTGAGTTGAGTTGTTTAATAGATGCTGTGTAATATGCGTTTTTCAGGATGTGGTAGTAACATGGTTCTTGAACAGAGGTTTTCAAACTGTAGGGCGCACAGGGAATAATATGATTAACGTTATCTCCACAGCTAATTATCAGGCACCTGTAAAGTTAATGCATTCCAGTAATACACAAATAAAATGGAGCAGGTGCTTTATAAAACTAATGACAGAGTTTGAACGAAAGTTAAACCGGTGAGCATCTGACAAAAAAGTGCCTTCTGAATCAAATCACAGGATGGCCTACTGGATGTTTCACTAACTTTGAAGACACTACTGACTACCCTTACATGGTTATCAGTAATAGTTATTTGCCTTAATCTATACGACAATAATATAATTACGTAAGAATATTTAATTCATGAGAGAAATGGGGTATTTGACGCGAATATGAAGGACTGGTGGAAGAGTGTTGCTTTTATTGATACCACACGTTGAATGGAAAGAAAAAAACTCAGCATTTTGTGATGCGTGTGTGTGTGTGTTTGTGTGTGTGTGTGTGTGTGTGTGGTTGTGTGTGTGTGTGTGTCTGCAGCCCTTTACTTACAGCTGTGTGTGTGGATCTTGTCACAAAATAGGCCTATAGTGAAAATATACTCCACATATCTTAATTAATTTCTGTTTAGTTCAGTTTAGTCGGATTAAGGTGATAAAAAATTGCTGATTACACGGTAGGCTCTTAATCAGAGTATTGTCTTAATGGTATAAAATACTTAAAAGTATTGTTGCCTATGTAAACATATTTTACAAACATGTTGTCCTAAAAGTTCGAAAACACCTGCTTGAAGACTGGCATGACTGCTGAGTTTCAACCTGGACTTGAGCAATAATCAGGGCTACCAGACCCTAGAACAAAAAGACACTACAATTTAAACTGCATCTACGCTCATGTTAGCCTATCTGTCCTTATCCTGAGGTTCACATGATTTTGGATCTGCTAACCTTTTCCCAGACAAAAATCATAACTGTTCATGTGGACATGGTTAGCCTATGGTAATCAACTTTCCTCTCCCTGCCTCTCCCTCAACGAAATGTGTTACAATTTATTTCATTTTCAAGGACTCATTAATACTCACCTCTCTCATAGCCTCATTGTCTAGGGGTCTATCGGTTTGTGTCAGTATAAGTGATTTATGAGGACTCTACATAGACGTAATGTATTTTATGTGGTAAAAACAGCTTATTAAAAGGCCCAAGCCCTAAATCTAACCCTCACAGCAAAATATCGTGATTATAAGCATTTTAAAATACAGGAACACAAGGCATGTCCTCATAAACCACCTCCATGTTGTAATACGTGGGTCACACCTATGACATTATACAAATTTCCGAACGAACACACACACACACACTTCTCTGACCTCTGTAACCATGATGAGTTGTCCAAAGAAACATGTGAGACAGAGGAGCAGGACAAACAGTTCCCGACGACCAGCTCTGCGCAGCACCTCAGGGAACAAGTCCGTCACTGATGTAACCACACACTCCATTGCAACAAACTTTGAAGGATACAAAAGATAATTCATTCCAAATGTTAGAACTTATGATAAAAAGTCATCTAGCACATGCTATAAAAAAAGTTACTATAATATTTACTATAACCTGTTAAATTTGCTGTAATTATTTATAATAGAGTGTTAAGGCTGACACGTTTTGTGATAGAAGTTTAAGGGTGCTTTCACAACTGACTTATTTAGTTTGGTTGAATCGCCATAGAGTTTATTTTCCCTCTTGGTGCGGTTCGATTGGGCAGGTGTGAATGTAGCAATCGCACCCAAGTGTGCACCAAAAGCAGACCAAAAAAGCGTACCAAGACCTGCTTGAGAGGTGGTCTCGGTACAGTTTCAAACGAACCCTGGAGCGGTTCGTTTATGATTAGAATGATACCACAAAAAGTACTGTGCCTTTTGGACTAATCCAGCTGTCATAGGCTGATGCACTGTGCATTATGGGATATGGAGGAAAAATATTTGTTGACAGCGCTTTACCAACAGAGAGAGAGAGAGAGAGAGAGAGAGGGAAAAACATTACCTGATGGATCATTGGTAATATTTCCGCAAGATGACCATGTCGCAGTTTAGCTGAATTAATTCACACCTCTTCCTGAAGTGACGTGCAATGCATTAAAACATTGTTTTCCAGCCGCAGCCGCGCTTCATTCTTAAAATGTATAGTTTGTCTAAAGCAGGGATACAATCAGTCTGGGCAGTTGTTGCTACATAATAAAAAGCTACATTTTGTGTCTGCTGAAGTGTTTACTTGCAGAAGTTCATTGGCATTTTTCCGCATGTGAATTCTGACTAATCGATAAGCAGTTTAGGAAATATGTTCAACAACATTTAGCAAATGAGAGGTGTGGATTTTGTCACATGACTGCATTTTGGTTCTTTTCAACTGGTTAGGACCAAAGACAGCAGTGTGGTGTGAAAACGACCCAAAGACGACAGAAAATGCAACAATGTATCATTTATTGCTCTTGGTTCGGACCAAATGAAGCAAACTACAGATGTGAAAGCACCCTAAGAGACAGATATCTATGTTTATTTTATTTTATCTTATTCTGCAGCTGAGATCAAAGAGTATTTTTAAAGTAGAACTCTTTCAAGACAAATGTACAGCTCATGAAGTGCTAAAACATATATTAATAATTTAGCAATCTATAAATTGTTAATATGTCATAATGTATTAACTCTTTAATGCTACTGCATATAGTATAATAGTATAAATTAATGTGTCTGTTGCCACAATAGGTTGGTTAGCTAATGATTTTCTAAGATATAATTAAGTTATGACTTGAGGCTCAGACAGGACTAACTACCTTCTTAGAGCACATAACCAGTTAGTTAACAGTATTCAACATTAGGTATTTTCAAATCTTTAGCTAATAATTAAAGGTGCAGTAGGTGATCTGCCAAAATGCTAACCGGTTAGCATAATATCTTTGAAACACAGTTCCTCCCCTGCCGTCTAAAGTTACGCCTCCCAACACAAGAACGTGCACGGTAAAGATGACAGCAGACCAACCAGAAGTTCATGTCATTCACCAGCTAGAAATGTAGTAAGTGGTTGACCGACTGGGTACAGAAAATTACCAATAGCTGTAAGGGAATTACCAATGACTGTAAGGGAATTACACTTATTAATAAGCCATACTTACATGCTATTTCAGAGCGAATATTGAGAGTAGCATGGTAAACAATATAGGGAGCACGTCACAAGCTGTCATTTTTCAAAAATGAATCAATGTGATATGAATATAAAACTAACTTCAGCTCAGTAAAGCAGGCTAGGGGGAATAGCACTATTTACTGATGTTTTGTTGTTAAAATAGAAATCTACATTATCGATGCTGTAAAAGGGCCCTTATCAAACTGAAAATAGTCAAATCAGTCTTTTGCCAGAAGATTTCAGTGGCTGAACATCACTTCTGTGCATGTTACCCATACATTACGCAACACAATCTACATCAACTCTGCTTGACTATGAGTTTTAAACAGAACATTACCTGCACTGGTACAAATCTACATTTGCTGACAGACAGTTTGGGCCATGTATTAGAATTAAAGGAAATGTCAGCCTGACAATGTTTAATTGGGTGAGCATTTTTTAGTCTTTTGTCTCACCCAGAATATAAAAATACAAACAAATACATTTATATCATTTACTGTAATCATTACTATTTGAATGTGAAAGAGACTTTTAACCAGCACAACAGAAAATGTTTCTAAAGACAATCACCTACTGAACCTTTAACTAAAGCAGACAACTCAATGTTAAAGTACATACCTTTGACTATTGTGGTAATTGACGTATGATTTTACATTATTAGTGAATATGATATGTTACTGGGAATTAATACATCATGGTGACTCATTTAACTATTATTCATAGATTGCTTAATTGATAGATTATTGGTTTCTCATGCAGTAATAAGTGATTGATAAATTGAAAAACTATTGATAAATTGTTTAAGTTTTTGTGAGTTATACATTAACTCACAGGTGTCAAACTGGCCACAGCTCTGCACAGTTTAGTTCCAACCCTAATTAAACACACCTGATCAAACTAATTGAGTCCTTTAGGCTTGTTTGAAACCTACAGGTAAGTGTGTTGGAGCAGGGTTGGAACTAAACTGTGCAGGGCTTCGGCCCTCCAGGAATTGAGTTTGACACCCCTGCATTAACTCATGATTATCTTTGTATAAGCAAAGTCCCTTTAAGGCAGGGGTGGCCAATCCTGTTCCTGGACAGCTACCTTCCTGCAGATTTCAGTTAGTACCCATATTAAACACACCAGAACCAATTAATTTGGACCTGAACACCACGTGATAATTACAGGCAGGTGTGTTTGATATGGGTAGCAACTGAAATCTGCAGGAAGGTAGCTGTCCAGGAACAGGATTGGCCACCCCTGCTTTAAGGCATAGGTCTCAAACTAAATTCCTGGAGGTCCGCAGCTTTTGCTTCAAGCATACACAGCTGATCCAACTAATCGAGGTGTCCAAAAGAGTCATGAACACCTTCGTTAGTTGAATCAGCTGTTTAATCAGGGTTGGAGCAAAACTGTGCATAGCTGTGGCCCTCAAGGAATACTGCATCAAGGAGTTTAAGAACTATGGTTTAAAAGTCATTTCACTCGGTGGCCATCTTTGAAATGCCTCTCAGGCAGAAGGCTGTGCTCGAGAATTCTGTCTAAATGTCTAAACTGTTAGCCAATCTGACAATTACATTCCATATTTGGAATCACCAATAAAATTAAAGAATAACTGTCTCATAATTTTTATTTCAGCATGCGCAGTTGAAAGGAACGAGATCATGACACCAAACTAATTAATGGCTGTTCTACACATTATCATCCACTGGTTAATGTTTCATCAGATTGCGCTAGTCTTCTCAAGTAATTCACATCTTCCTTCAAAAATCTCCTTCAGTAGTGACTCTTTGTTGACAAGTTTGTAGAAATTTTAGTAGTTGCTGTCATGTGATGTGTGTTTGACAAGATAGACTGTACCTCACGTTCGTTTTATACAGATTACAAATCCATCTATTACATATACAAATTTTAATATATTTATGTCTGTGAAGTAAGAATTTGCTTAGATTTCAGTGAAATTGTTGACCACAAAAACTGTCGTAAAAGCACATGACTGATCCGAGCTTCTGTCCCAGAGGAACATAAGTCCATAGCAATTGATGATTGGCTCCTGTACTAGTAGACAGGGATTCATTTGCCATATTGATCATTACACTTTTCTCCATTTAAAACAATATGAGTGTTATGTCTTGCGTTTTCTATGACCTTCGGTATTACTGATTTTTTAATGCACATTAATGCAGTTGTATAATAAAGTGGTACCAGAAAGTGGTACAAAAATTTAAGGGTCATTAAAATAAATCTTTGGGGTAATCTATTTCTTTAAAAGTTATTTGTAGTGCTGTAGTTTGATTACGGTCTACAATTTAAGTGTATATTTAACAGTTATATTTTGGTTTGTATATAGATAGAACAGACATTTAAACATAATCATATAAAAGTGTAATTAAGTTTTAGTTTTATAAACTGCAATTGAATACACGTTAAAATGCTTTAAATGGACATAGAGGAGCTCACCTGTGAATCTAGGCCAAGCAAAATAATCATGATGAAGAAGCAAACAGCCCACAACTGAGGGAAGGGCATCATGGCCACTGCCTGTGGATAAGCAATGAATGCTAGTCCTGGACCTGACAGAGACAAAGGGAGATCTTTAAACATTTTACATTCTTAATCCGTAGGTTTGTCTTAATATGTTATAAAGCCTCCTGTGTTTTTATGAAATAGTGCAATACCGGATTCTGCTACTTCTTCAACAGGGACGCCCTGCACATGAGCCATGAAGCCCAAGACTGAGAACACAGCAAAACCAGCCACAAAACTGGTGCCACTGTTCAGAAGGCAAAGCCAAAAGGAGTCTCTGATGGACATAGATATATATAAAAATTATTATAATTTCTGCATTAATTAATCAATTCATTCTTTTCATGGTAAATACTAACCTGTAGCAGTTGTTGCTGTATTGATTATAGCTGCCAAGTGCAATGAGAATACCACTACATAGACTATATGAAAAGAAGACCTGAGTTCCTGCCTCCATCCAAACCTAAACAAACACACAACTTAGAGTTTATTATTGACTATTTTCAAAGCTTCAAATTTGTGCATTCATTTTATTTTCATCATAGTCCCTTTATTATTTGGGGGTTGCCACAGCTGAATGAACCGCCAACTTATCCAGCATATGTTTTACGCAGTGGACGCCCTTCCAGTTGCAACCCATCACTGGGAAACATCCATAAACACTCATTCACATTCATACACTACGGCCAGTTTAGCTTACCCAATTCACCTGTACGACATGTCTTTGGACTTGTGGGGAAGACCAGAGCACCTGGAGGAAACCCACACAAACACGGGGAGAACATCCAAACTCCACATAGAAATGCCAACTGACACAGCAGAGGCTTAAACCAGTGACCTTCTTGCTGTGAGGTGATCGTGCTACCCACTGCGTCACCTTGACACCCAGCTTCAAGTTTTAAATGCCATTAATAAAAAACCAATGTCATAAATAAAAAAAGCAATCAGAATCTATAGCTATTGCAAAAAGTAGTTATGGATAAAACAGTTATTGTGCTTACCAATAACCTTCTGTCAATAACATTTTTATGTAGTTGTGATGAAAAAAAGTAGGTTTTTTTTATGTATTAAGTAGTTACATTCTTGTATGGGGTGGCACAAAAACAGCATACGTTAATGCTTTTAATTTATAGTATAGGTTATTTATTAAGTGTAACTGTATATGACATGGGCCTAGTGGTTAGAACATTTCTGCTGTGGTTTGCATGTGTCAAATTGTAAACATAGACTTTAAAAAAATAAATAAATAAATAAACAATATCCTACTTAATCATCATCATCATCATCATCATTAATATTATAACTATTATTAAAGTAGGATTTTTTCATTTTCTAATAAATAATAACTATTAAATTTCATTTCTTTATAAATAGCCTCATTATTTCTTTATTTCTTTAATGTATATATGATATTAGAATATGTGTTAGCTTTTGTAAGTGATTTAATGTTTAAGAATAGAATATGTAGTATTCTCATTAATATTTATATAGGAAACATAGGCCCTATATCTGCCATTTACTTATATTTCAATTAATATGAAAAACGAGTGCATATTTTTACCAAAACCAATATTGGATTTTTTTTTATCTGTGTGTGTGTGTAAAACAATATAATTTGCACAAAGAAATGGTGCTCTTCTCTAAAGAAGTATAGTTACTCCACCCACTTTAGAGCATCATTATGGGCATTTTACATTATAACTAACATGGTTTAAATGATGGATCCGCGACAGAGAAACAACGGGTTTTGGGAAACACTCGTCACTACAATGTTCTATTCCCAAACAATGCATCGTACTATGATAGTTCAGCCACAAATTACATCGTTGGGAAAGGCACCCCTGATTAGCTCAAAAAAATAAATAAATGAACATTTGAAATGAAAACAAAAGTTATTTAATGTCTTGTTACAATTTAAAATGAAGATTGAATACTGATATATAATGGGTTATGAGATCATGATGGAGTTTCACACAATGTTCTTAAACTAGATTCCTGGAGGGCCACAGCTGGTTTTGCTCCAACACCAATCAAACAAAGCTGATACAACTAATCAAGGTGTTCATAACTACTAGAGACTATTAAGCGCATGTGAGTTGAAGGTGGTTAGAGCTAAACTTTGCAGACCTGAGGCCCTCCAGGAACTGAGTTTGAGACCATTGGTCTAACACAAATTTGGTTTCAAATGAGTTCTTGTTTATTTGGTTATAAGGTATCCTGGAAGTAGAGGGCTGATGGTGGAGTTACCTGTGGGTCAGCAAGATGAGCCGGTTCAGGGTACAAGTAAAACACAACCCCCTGCAGAGCTCCAGGAAGAGTCAACCCACGAATCAGCAACACAAGCAGCATCACATAAGGAAATGTAGCTGTGAAATACACCACCTACGTAAAAAATAAATAAATTAATAAATTAATTAATTAAATTATATATATATTTATATTGCACATAATTATATGTATATGTATATAATTTTACACATACACTTTATCCACAGATGTACTTCATTAAACATGTTCACAGACATCACCTATATAAAATTGCTGGTTAACTATGTCTGTATATTCATTCCTTCATTTTCTTGTCGGCTTGGTCCCTTTATTAATCTGGGGTCGCCACAGGGGAATGAACCGCCAACTTATCCAGCACATTTTTACGATGCTCTTCCAGCTGCAACCCATCTCTGGGAAACACATTCACACACTCAATCACACATACTCATACACTACGACAATTTAGCCCAATTCACCTGTATTGCATGTCTTTAGACTGTGGGGGAAACCGGAGCACCCGGAGGAAACCCATGTGAATGCAGGGAGAACATGCAAACTCCACACAGAAGCGCCAACTGAGCCGCAAGGTTATAATATTTTTGGATTTTTCATTAATTTCATTAGTTTTTATAAGTTTTAGAGGCAGATTTCCTAGTTTTTATTAGTTTCTATATTTTAAAATGTCTTAGTTTTAGTTTAGTTTTTATTAATTTCAGTATTAGTTTCAGTTTTTTCTAAATGAGAATATTTGTTAGGTACAATATTCAAAATCAACAGGATAAATATTGTATAATAAAAACGCAGTCATACATTTTTTGAAACATGTATTCAGAGGACACATGAACACTATCATCTACCACAATCATCTACCCATCTTCAAACTGAAATACAGCAGCCCACAAGATAGCAGCCCTAAATACAATATGTATGCAAGGCTGCTTGTGAGGTTAGACACACAGTAGTGATGAGCAGGGCCAAATTAATCAATGGACATTATGGGCACAGATCTATTTAAGCCCTCGGTTTACCCGCGCTGCAGTTGTTCCAAGTTCAGTTCAGTCATACAGCAGGCTGTACTGGTTGTGTTTGGTTCACTGAATTACGCATGCGCAGTATTATCGGTTCACCACCTCTCGATGTAATGTTACTGTTCTAATAATTGAATGAGAGCGTATATTGGATTATTTAGAGTCAGAGGGGGGTATTAGGCTTGTTATTAAGTAAGAAGTGGGTGGATAAGTGCTTACTGGAGACGCGAATTGTTTCAAATAATTCAGTTCGATTTGGTGAACTAGTTCAACCGGTTCACGTAAGATCTGGTTAAAAGATTCGTTCGCGATCGCGATACAGAAATAAAACCCATTATTGGGCTCACGTGTTAAAGTAATAGTTTCTGTATTTAATGCTGTCACCGTGCTGCTGTAATGTCCACTTGTTGTTGTTGTCGCAGGAGCAACAGAAAGGATGACTCGAGGAAAACCGGCTCGATCTGGCCAGTGGCAGCAGGAGACTCTGAGGTGCGAAAGGGTCAAACACAAACATCTGCAGGGCGGATTATATTTACTTCTAAAAGGCTTACAGTAAGATTATGTATTAAATACCTTTACAAATACGAAAACGAAGGAGGTTTTTGCTATAATTCTAGTTAGTTTCAGTTAGTTTTGTATGTACACAATACAGTTTCAGTTAGTTCTAGTTTTTGAAGAAACTCTCGTTTTTATTTTTATTTCAGTTAACGACAATTATTTTACATTTTAGATTTCGTTTTTTTTGCTTGTTTTCGTTAACTATAGCTAATAACCAGGGAGCCAAAGTTCGAACCAGCGACCCAGCAATTTTCTTGCTGTGAGGCGACAGCACTACCTATTGCGCCACTGCGTCGCCACATCTGTATATAATAAATTATATTTGATTGTAACTTTACCCTAATTTAATTTCAATGCAATAATGTGCATCATCTTTTTTAAAGCTGCTTTGATATATATATATATATATATATATATAAATATATACTCTCTATATAAATATATACTCTCTATATATGCTCACACCCATATTTTCAATTGGAAGCTATACAGTATTATACTTTGCATATACAGTACATTAGATTAGTCAGTACTGAAATAAAAAATCCAGTACACCCAATTGTATATGCTATAGAAAAATATTAAATACAAAATTTAAAAAAATATTTTGCTTGAATTTAATTGTATTATCTTTCAATTTCTAAATATGTTTGGTGACTAAAATGTTATTTAAATAAATAAATATGTTCAAGAAGCCTGTTTGGTTTAAATACACCAAAATATATTGCCTATATACACTGAGAAATGGATAATTTTTTTTAAATGGGGTGAACTCAATTGTGCTAAGCACTATATATATATATATATATATATATATATATATATATATATATATATATATATATATTAGTAAAATACAATACTGTACCCGTATTAGATGCCAAATAACATTTTTTTAACAAAAAAAACTTTTTTTTACACACTTGTGGCATCAAACTGCATATATATTTAATATATCATGAGTAGCATTTAAATATGGCTGTATATCATACCTGTCAACATTGGAAATTCATTGATTCATTAATTTTCTTTTCAGCTTAGTCCCTTTATTAATCCAAGGTTGCCACAGCGGAATGAACCGCCAACTTATGCAGCACACTTTTACGCAGCGGATGCCCTTCCAGCTGCAACCCATCTCTGGGAAACATTCACACACACTAATACATTATGGAAAATTCAGCCTACCCAATTCACCTGTACCACATGTCTTTGGACAGTGGGGGAAACCGGAGCACCCGGAGGAAACCCGAACGCAGGGAGAACATGCAAATTCCACACAGAAACGCCAACTGACCCAGCCAAGGCTCCAACCAGCGACCTTCTTATTGTGAGGCGACAGCACTACCTACTGTGCCACTGCGTCTCCCTTATTAATATTATTATTATTATATTTATTATTAGTAGTATGTGTATATGTCTGTTCAAACTGGGGATGTCCACTTTTTCTCCACTTCAAACGAGTGTACAGAGTCCGTTTGAGAAACAGCATCTATTTATCAGTATGGAGAGCGTCTGACAGTCACGCATCGCTACATGAACTGACTGTTGTGAGGATTGCATTGGAAAGGCAATAACGCCTGTAATGGAAAGGAAGGGAGTCCCACGTTTTTTTATATTTCAAAGTGTTTTAATGCCTTAATAAAATTAAAGCAGTAAACAGATTCACATTTAAGAGCAAGACCTCTTGTGGTTCGGTGGTATGGGTTGCGTAGACAGAGCATCAGCTTTTTAATGTTTATTGCCACCTTTCATAGACAAATTAAAAATACAGAAAAATACCTTTGCGAGATCATAACTGGAAAAAATTGTGAAATACAGGAGAATCCCAGGAAAAACAAGATGATTGACAGGTATGCTGTATATCAGCAGATGTAATTACCTAAAGCCAAATCACTGCAGTTTTGATACACAGCCATATCACACTGTTACTTCTGTATTATTGGTAATGTTAAAGCAGGCCTTTATCTTGAAAAACAGTAAATGTTAATTTAAATCTAAACATTTTTCAAAGTTTGTGAGACAAAAAAAAAAGAAAATAAATTTGATATAAAAATTACATGTATATGCATATTTCAAATATTATTTTAGACAAATTGCTTTGAATTAATATTCTTGCACACCTTGCCTGTAGATTTGACTCCTTTCCAGATGCAGAAATAACATATGATCCACATTACGAAGAGGCATAAAGCAATCTCCCAGTTGATCTTGCCGATCTCCTCAATACCTCCAGAGAGAGACAGAACTCTGCGTCTGTACAGTGGGACAGTAAAGAGAGTAATGGTTGGCTATTTTGCAATTTTCCCCAAACTGTTTTATTTACCATTTAACAGTTTTTTTAAGCATTTAGATTTGTTCTTGTATGTGTTTATGTACTCCCAGAACTCAGTAGCTGCAGATGTTGAATTAATCTGTGTTGTTCGGTTGAAAGTAAGATTTCCTGCAGCAAGATTTACACAGTTGTCTAAAAGAGAGGGAGAGAGAGAGAGACAAATAAGGAAAGAGAGAATGTTTATTACAGTGTTGTTTTAGAATGTTTATTACAGCGATTCTTAAAATATATTTATCCACTGGGTTCAAGACACCATCTCCCGCAACTTTTATTCATTCATTCATTCATTTTCTTGTCAGCTTAGTCCCTGTATTAATCTGAGGTCGTCACAGCGGAATGAACCGCCAACTTATAAAGCAAGTTTTTACACAGCGGATGCCCTTCCAGCCACAACCCATCTCTGGGAAACATCCACACATACACACTATGGACAATTTAGCCTACCCAATTCACCTGTACCACATGTCTTTGGACTGTGGGGGAAACCGGAGTACCCGGAGGAAACCCTTGCAAACGCAGGGAGAACATGCAAACTCCACACAGAAATGCCAACTGAGCCAAGGATCGAACCAGCAACCTTCTTGCTGTGAGGCAAACGTGCTACCCACTGCGCCACTTCGTCACCTGCAACTTTTATGAGTGTGTAAATTGTTTTGTCACTTTTTAATAAAAAACTAACAAACAAAAAAAAATTGCATTTACTGTGGACTGTGGGGGAACCTGGAGCACCTGGAGAAAACCCACGTCAACACGGCGAGAACATGCAAACTCTACACAAAAATGCCCACTGACCCAGCCGAGGCTCGAACCAGCAACCTTCTTGCTGTAAGGCGATTGTGCCACCCACTGCATCACCTTGTTGCCCCCTTGTTCTTTTTGTTTTGCCATTGTTTTTTCCAAATGTAGAAATTTTGAACTCTGATTTGGGCTAATTTGGTTTGTAAATCTGTTCAATTAAGTGGAGTAAGACTGGAAGTTATTTATTTGTACTTGTTGGCCTCTGTTTTAACTGCATATTCAGTTATACACAATAATATGTACAACATTATTATCACCTGTGTTCCAGATGTTGTCACAGCTGGCCCACGGCAGTTGTGAGCTGAAAGAGAAGATGAGATAAAAAAGCGCCCAGGCCAGAATGATGGTAAAATACATGCAGCTGTACAGCTCTATGAGCTGTCCTGCATAGCCAACACCTGATAAAAGCAAACAGACAAAGTATCTAGAAGAGAATAAACATTGAAATGAGAAGGTTATTAATCAACACTGATTGTACCAGGACAAATGCAAATTTGGGAACTTGAAAAATTACTTTCATGACATATTTAAAAATATATTTACTGCCAGGGGAGAAGCTAGTGGAGCTGACAAGCCATATGACACCTGATTATATGCATAAACATGGCAAATACATTTTTGGCAATGGAAAAAAGTTTTAAGTGTGCCAAAAACAAAGTTTGAATGAAAACAAAAATGTCATAATATGTTCATAAATCATATTAATCCTTTACAACATATTATATTTTCATAAATATTTCTTAAATTAATATTTTTATGACTCTAACCCTGAGCCAGTGGACAGAGGAGATGCCAGCATGTAATGCCCCCTTCATGTGTGAACTGCCCCATGACTGTCTCCAGCAGGAACAGAGGCACTCCACAGGTCATCACAAACACCAGATAGGGTATAAGGAACACCCCTAAGAACACAACAGTTCAAATTGAGATGAATACAATTACAGTGTTAACTATATGGCTGTATTTTAACAATCAAAGTGCAATGTCTAAAGTGCATGGCGCAAAAGCATTAAGGGCATGTCCAAATTCACTTTTGCTATTTTAAGAACGGAAAAGGCCAGAGTGTGGTCTAGCAGGGTGTTTTTTTATTCTCTTAAAACGAAGTAATAGTATTTGTGACAATTTGCATTTGTATAATCATTATTATTCCTATTATTAGCATTATAATTATTAGAAGTAGTAGTAGCATTTATTAAATTATATTTGTTTTAATAAAAACAAGTTTAGATTTGTCTACCTGTCGCGTTTTGGGATCAACATATGGGGCAACAGGAAGTGTGTTTGGAAATAACTGTTTTCTGACCACACTTCATTATTATTGTTCATTTATTTATTTTTTTTTCTGGAAATTAGAACTGAATTTAGAAATAGTTTTGAAACAAATCTTTGGACTTAAACTTACAAAATGATCTAGGCTAATCTTCAGTGGAGTGGGTTTCCACAGCTTCCTTACTCCACAAAAGTAAAGCCCTGCTCACATTGGGTTCAGCCACGATTTTGTCATCTGAGATAAATTTGGGAAATCCTAAAAAATTCCTGAAATCCTGCGCTAAAATCTGTGATCTTTAATCGTTAGTTTGACATGTTCAAAGCCAGCCTGTTATGCCTGTTATAATTAGATTTGTCCTTCGATTAAGTACTGGCAGTGTCAGAAGATTTCAGACACTTTTCAGCAGTGTGACAATAGCTGCATTGAGCGTTAATCCAAGAATTAATAGGAGCTCTGAATTTGATGACGCGATTCATGTGACAATTAAAATGACCTAAATGTCAAAACAGTTTTTTTCTTCCTGGTTTTATCATGCTGTGTCTTAATTATATGCTTTTAACACGCTACAGATCACGCTACAGTGTCGCGGGTGGATGACGTTAAACTCTGGGAGAGATTTCTTCGGTGTTTGCAACGTCTTCATTGTCATTCAGTCTGACATTATGATGGCTGAGATCATACAGTGTGACATGAGAGCCATGTTTGTGCAGTCTAACATGCTACAATCATCCAGGATTATTAAAAAATCTCACAGTGTGAGCTGACCTTAAAGGAGTAAATTAAAGAGTAAAAAGAAAGTTAAGAGAAAGTAAAGAGGCTGAAAAGAGGAGGCCTGTTCATTATCCTTGAGCAGATTATCTGTTTACTGTTTTCTTAGGAATGGGAGATGAGACTCTGATTGATTTAATGCATGTTATGTTAAAAACACACCCATAACTTATTAAGAGAAAAAGCACAATCCTTTTTAGACAATGTGCCACAGCGCAGATCATATATTTTTTGTCCTTAAATCGGACATGATTGCTTTCGCTCCATGTGCTTCAGATTTTGTGCTTAGATTGTAAAATAAAGCCCCATCTGCATAAAGATAAAGAATGAGCCACCTCCATTCTTGCTCTTTCTGTTTACTCTTTCTCTTTACTTTACTCCTTTACTTTAATGGGGTAAAAAATTGGTGTACTCACTTCACTGAAGACATCCATTAGTCTACATATTTAATTGTTTTGTTAAGCGCAAATTTTTTTTTCAGAACTATTTCTAAATTCAGTTCTAATTTTGAGCAAACGAATAAATGTACAATATTAAGGAAGTGTGATCAAAATTTATTTGTTTATATCCAAACACACTTCCAATTCCTATATATATCCCCTATATGGTGATGTATACATTTTCAAAACCAGTGACGTAGTGCAAACTGCATGGGTTTGAATTCAATTCATAAATTCAATAAAAATGTAATCAAAGCATTTCTTATTCTGGATTCAATTCTTTGCAAAAAGGCAAATTTGACAGCCCAAACAGAAAGACAACAAATGGCACTGGCAATAGGCTACAATGACAAGCAAAGGTGGTGAACTGAGTTCTGTATTTTGTTGTCCATTGTGGAATGATTAACTGAAAGAGCTCATATACTTGTTTGCAAGTTGTGTTGTTTGAAGGTAAAACTAGCTTTTGTTGCATATTTTAAATGTTTTGACACGGTATGTGCCTTTTGCAAGCAAAATGTGTCATTTTGACCATGAGTGCCGCTGTTTAGGCCTGTGTGTTAACTGTTTTGAAAATGTGGAGTTTCAGTTGACAACTACATCCAGGCAATCGAGAAAAACTGTAAATGAGAAGGAAATTTAGATTTGACACACGAGTGAACAGTTTTGGGAAATATATGAGCTTTTGCAAGTGTGTTGTGCTAAACTGTAAAACTGTTTTACAAAACAATATTAGAGTGTTGAGAAAGTAAATGTTTCAAGAAATGAGCTAAACCAAATGAGAATGTAAAGGTAAACAGTTTTGATAATATTAACTGATTAATATTAGTTAAATATGAAAAGCATCCTGTTTTTACAAAGCATTTCCCTCAAATCTATGTGAAATATAACTTTTTACAGTCAAGCATTTCTGTTTAAAAACTATCAAACTTTTTAATCTGAACTTTTTGATGATATACACTAAAAACTAACTGGATCATAAAGCATTTCTCACAATCATTTAGAATTTCTCTCAAAATAGTTAATCATCGAAAAAGCATCATGCAACAGCAAACTTAAAAGAACAGCTAACATAAAAGCATCATTGAACAGAAAACATAAAAGCATCATCAAACAGCAAACTTATTACATTTTTAAACGTTCTTCTTAAGTGACATCAACATTAACAATTCTGAACATTTGCTCACAACATCTCATTCAATTCCTTATTTAAGGGTAAGGGACAATTTCTTTACAAAGAAAAGCATTGCTGTTCTGAAAATATTACATTTGGAAAGTCTGTCCTGGCTCATTGTGGGAAAACAACTAGATCAAACGAATCAAAGTGAAACTGCGCTGGCACTGTGGATGATTTTGTTATTAACCGCAAAAAATAAAAAATAAATAAGCTATGATAGGGTCTAATTTTTGGTCAGTTAACAATAAGACATTGCTTGTAAATATTTCACTTTTATTTAGGCTAACAGTATGTGCTTTGCTCTTTTTTTGGCTGTTGAACAGAATTAATTTAAACTAATAAGCTATGTTTCTTCTTGTTTACTTTGTTGAAAACTGAACAAAAATATATTAAAATTAAGATACAAACTACACCAAACCAAATTTGTTCCAATTTTTTTTTAAATATAAAATTATAAAAATGATCATGATGCCCTTATGATAAATTGGAAAACCAACAAACAAAAAACAAGTAGCAGCAGTTATGCCACTGTCTATGCCAATGTCCAAAACTCGACAGGTGTGGACGAATCTAAACTTGTTATTTTTATAAAACAAATATAAATATGCCTATAATAAAACACATCTAATAATAACAACATTAAACAAATACAAACTGTCATTAATAAACTGACTGCAACAGAGACAAATTTCAGGTTCAGAAGGCAAAGGAGGAGGTAGGTTTTTATATTCATGTAGTAAACAATCATTCTTTAACATTTTAATCCTTTAATGTTTTTCATATGTAAAGATGTGTATTGCAATTTGCTGTACATTATGTGTACATGTTTTGGGCCTGCATTAGGCTTATTCTGCAACTAAGCATGGAGTCCAGCCAATGAACTCAGTTAGGTGTTCTAAATGAGGGTGACAAAATGTAGAGCAGTGGGTACCCTGTACCAGGATTAAAAACCACTTGTTTAATGCATACAATAAAATGGGCACAAGCTCACAGACTATTGACTAAAGTGAAAAATGCTTGCGACAATGTTTCACTAAAAGTCTTTTAAAGAACTATTTCCGATTAACAAACTCAGGCTTTACTGAAAATAAACAGCCACCTAGTAAATGTTACAATCCTTAGATGAGGACACGATGATCTACAGCAACTTAAAACTGTTATTTTAATTACTGTATTTAGAGTATGAAATCTGTTTTTAGGCTATATCATACCTCCTCCATTTCTGTAGCAAAGGTAAGGAAACCTCCACACGTTACCCACTCCAACCACATTTCCTGCCACAGCCAGAAGAAACTCTGCTTTTCTGCCCCAGAACCCTCGCTCCTCTGTTTGTCCTTTAATTGTGTTCATTTCTTCTCTCCAACACTTCCAGTTTTCAATGATCTTTCTGTCAGTGTTAACTGTATATTGGTGGAGGCGAGTAACATTGAAAGAGTTAACTGTTCATTGTGATTGTCACCCTCAGGTAGAATATTTAACTAAATTTCGAGAGCATTTATTTGAAAGGTACAGCCTCTGGAAAAAAAAATCCATTGACTCTACTGCTGCTACTCTTGTTGCTGCAGTTTTACTGAGCTGCTTATGTGCTTATGTTCTTTTTATTATTTATTTGACACTATTTAGATTAACACTTCCGTTATTCACACATTGATTTTTATAAATTATTCATCACACCAGGAGTATTGCACACAAGTACAATTAAAGGGCCATGAAACCCCCTCGTTTCAGCAGGGTGTTTTCACACCTCTACTTTGGAAAAAGTCAGAAAAGTGGGCGTGTCCAGCTCTGTTTAGGGAGGAGTGTCGGAGGAACTAAAGTGGGAGGGTGTGGGAGTGTCTATTTGGGCACGCTGAGTTTCAGAGTCAAAATACACACACAGGAGAAAGTGATGGTGTTTAACCTACATGGACATCTGTAGTCGAATTATTTGCCAAATTATTAAATGTTGGACTTAAACTGCAGTTTGGCTCTTTCATTCACGGAATTCATTCATGCCCCTCGCGACAAACGAGATATTTGATTCGAGGAACTGCTCTAAGCATGTATTTTTCATGCAATGTTTGATACCGCACAGCGAATGAGAGAAAAAAACCCTCCGCATTTCCCGGAAACTTAGATGCACACGGCAGGTAGCGTCAGAAAGCTGCATGTGGTTCCCACCAGTGCCGATATACAGCCATATCACACTGCTACTTGAGTGATATTGCTCATATGTATATATATATATATATATATATATATATATATATATATATATATATATATATAGCACTCAGTTATGTGTAAATGATTTAAACTTTTGGATATCAAATGCATCAAATAGTCATGCATGTAGTTACACTTATTTTTATTACCAAGTTTTTTATATGCATACATGATTTGCAACAAAGTTAAGTATTTCTGATATAAATAAAAAAAATTACAATATAAAAAAAATAAAATTTATTTTAAAAACTTTTTTCATGTCTTTTTGCTTTGAAGGAGAAGAATACCTGATGTAATAACAAACATACATAGAAAAAGTAAGCATTGTAAATTATGTTTATGCCAGTCGTCTTTTTCCAGTAAACTGTGTTTACGTCCAGTCTCATGTATTGTTTTAGTTTGTGTTGCTCCTGAACAAGTCTTCCATCTCTGTGACAGGGGTCTTTTCATGTCTTTTATTTTGTATCTTACAGGCAAAATGTGGATTTGTATCAGGACTACACAGGTGACTCCAACGCTGTCAAGACAGACACAGTGACACAAGATAAGTTTATTAGATACGTCCTTATGATATATCAAGGGTAAAAATGTTTAATCTCACCTGTTTTATGCTTCCTTTACCAGCAAACATTCGTCCCAGCGCCCATCCAGGCACCAGTAGAATGGAGGACAGAGCCAGCAACCAGCCAAGTACATATGCCCAGTCCGGGTACACATACCAGCGGTTAAAAGTCAAGGGCTTGTACTTCACCAAAGAACAGACAAAAGATGCCTGAAAATGGGCAGAGGAGAAAAAAAGAGTTGCAAGGAACAAGATGATGGAAATGCAAGAATTATAGCCATGTATGCATAGTGCAACTAAATAATGATCATTAATAAATTAGTTGGGCCTTTATCAAACCACAAAGCTCAAACAAACCAATGAAATGCGTAGAGACACTCACTAGGGACACAATAGGAGTTAGGTATTTCCAGCACAGCATAAACCAATAGTTGGGTCGTGAGTTTGTCATGTCCTCAATGATGCCAAACATCTTCTCAGCTCCTGTGGTGTGTTGGGAAAAATTGAGCATCACTGGCTCTCAGACACGTTTATTATTTTTTATTGCTTACATTGTTTAAATTATTTTAGCATAAATGTTTTTTTGTTTTTTTTTTCTGAGCTGTGCACCAGATTTAGTTGGTGCTAATGTCTTAGTTGAGCTGGCCATGATTTCATGCTAGACTTTTTGCTATTAACAATGCTTAAAGGAAATAGCTTTTCTCTGCATATTATTTTCAGCCTTTAAAAGGTCATGAAACCTCCCTCTTTCAGTTCAAGTATACCTCAGAATTAAAAAAAAATGCTTGCTGTTTGCGGACACGGTCTCACCCAGTCATTGGGTCTCACTGCTTGGCAGGTCTGCCTTACCTCTGGAAAGCACGTCCTCTCATGAATAATTAATAAGCAATATCTTCTCATAGGATAAGTAATCTCTGCTATGAATAATAATGAGAAACCGACGCGTCATCACTCCACTAGCAGATTTGCGCTAAGTTACTAATTTTGATCCTGCCACAAAAAGTATTTTAAACCCGGAAGCTGAAATTAGCTGACAAAAGCTCAAAATTATCCAGTTTTTCCCTCAATAAAAGCTGACAGGTGCTAACATTGTCTTAACTGATGTTTAACACACACAAATCTGTTGAAATTATTAAATAAAAAGAACTCGAGGGTGTCTTGAACCTTTAAAGTGATGTCTTTAAAATACTTTTTTTTCCTTTTGGAACGTTCACATTTCTGTAGCTTCTGTGCAACTTACCAAAGACCCAACCCATGGCTAGAGATTCAAACACACAAAGGAAGAGAAGACAGGCTCCACTGCAGGCATAGTAGTCAAACAACTGGAACACATACATCCCCCCCTGCAGATCACAATGCAACATTACAACTCAAGCAGAACAAATGTGCTAAAGGGATAGTTCACCCCAAAATAAGGCCCAATCCCAATTCTATTTTTGTACCCATTCCCCTCGGCCCTTAAAACTGAGGGTGCAGGGGAATGGCTTTAAAATTTACCCCTAAGAATTGGGACAGCACTACAACACCTGCACACGTCTTCATGTCATTGCGATCTCTTGCTTCATATGAGATCAGACGATGGCAACTACTGTAGTGATTCCAGTTATGCTATTTTTGGTGTTTATCTTCAGAAAATCACTGAAGGGATATATCATGTTGTCATAACGATATAATGTGGCAAAAAGATTGTAACTTTAACTGTGCATTTACACAGTGGCCATACTCATCAATGTAAACACACAAAAAGAACATTAAGATTATAGCAGACACTGTAAAAAGTTTATTCCCAGCCACTAGACTTTTCTGACAGAGTATTTGAGTGTCATCAAGTGACAGAATGTTGTGGGACTGCTATACAGGAGTTTTTATTGGGGATTATAGATGGCAAAATGTTTTTTTTTTTTTTTTTTTAAAGAGCCCATATTATACATGAAATAGGGTCATATCTTGGTTGTAAGGGTCTCCAACAACAGTCTAATATGCATGCAAGGTCAAAAAACACTTTCATGGTCTTATTATCTGCATTTATTTTTACCTAATTATCCCAGCGATTCCTGTATGAATCGTCCAGTGATTCATTTGTTCCCAAACCCCTCCTTAGCGGGAAGCTAATCTGCGCTGATTGGACCGATGACAGCCTGTTGCCATTGGTCGACTGCCTTCAGTCAAAGTGAAAAGCCAAACAGCTAATCAGCAATATAAAAGTAATCACAGTTCATACACGCTCCATAGTGTAGGCGTGAATTTTAGCTGCCAGTGGGTCGATGTAAATACAGTCGATGAACTTGAAAATTCAGACGACTATGTTATTGAGCAAAAACTCCAAAAACTGTCGAGGAGATCACATAGCTTGTTTCACTCTGCTCTTTTCACAGACACAGACACACACACACATTGCCCTCGTCCTTGCGCGCGCGCACACACACACAAACACACACACACACCTCCGGACGACAATGTGCGCGCACACACACACACAAACACACACATACCTCCGGACGACAGCGCACGCGCACACACACTACCCTCGTATGAGCTCCGTAAACCAAGCAGCACGCGTCGCGTTTTTAACGTGACTTTGCACGCGATAAGAGAATATAGCCAGTTAACGTTAACCTGATACAGTACACGCGGTTACAAGTAACAAATCCCAACTAAATACATTTGCAAGCTAGAGTCAGCGAGGCAACAACTTTAATCGCACGTACTTACACTTGAGAAATGGAGGAAGAAACCCATCCTGACGTCCATCAGTAAGTTACTCTTTACTGATCCTTCCTTTAACAAACGCTGATGAAGTATTCTTTGTAGCATGTAGTTAGCAGAAGTTTCCAGTAGTTTCCAACTGCTTGGTTATAATGCTGATGTTTCATCTTTGGGTAGAACCTCGATAATATCCATCTGCAGTGTGACTTCAATCGAACGGCATGTTTGTGTGTGTGTGTTTGTGGGTGTGTGTGTGTGTCTGGGTTTCTGCGTCAGAGGGCGGGGCCTCAGGTTTGAAAACTCCCGGGTTTGCGCGTGCACGTGAATAACTTGGTTTCGTTCGTACGTCATGGCGAAACACCTAGTGACTCGGTATCAAGGCGCTTCGTTTGAAGCACTATAAGTCGACTCTTTTATAGATGAATCAACCGTTTTAAACACTGTACTCTTACAGATTTCAGCCTTAGCTGGATACTTCACTTCACTTAGAGCTGTGTTATACACTACATGGAGGGGAATTTTCAAAAACCCATAATATGGGCTCTTCAAGCATGACGGTAAAACACATATGCGGTTATGAATATATTAAAACATGTGCTTGTTTGTTGTAAAATTCGTAATAATGACTAAAAATGCTAATTTGTGCATCTCCTTACCACAGGGTGTAACTATCCTGTCGTTGTGGCTTTATGAGTATATGTCTTGTGTTGAACTAAGTAATAAGATGAAATACCGTATTTTTGAAGAAAGCTGAAAACTTATAACCATTGACTCTCATAATAAGAAAAAAACAAATACTAAGTCAATGACTATATATTTTTTTCAAAATATTTAAAAACATTTTCATAAATGTTATTAACAAGTAAAGAGTGAGTAAATGATGACAAGATTTTCAATTCTCCCTTTAAGTAGGGATGTAGCTACAGTATATACCATGTTTGTTTGCTGTGGGGGCGGAGTTTAAAGGCATGGCAGTAGCAATGCTGAAGAAAACTGGTTCACATTTAACTTAATATTAATAACAATAACTTAATCTAATACAAAGTATTTAAAAAAATAAAATAAAGTTTATATTTATTTTAAATTCACATTTCTCTTCAGTTAAGTCAGCTAATGCAAAGTTCATACTGCATGATTTTAGCCCCAATTTTGACTTGCCGGCAGGTTTTGAGAAATCGCTGACAAATGCCTGAAACCACAGGCAAATTAGTTCTCGTTCATGTGAGTAACAATCACATAGTGTGAACTATGAAAGACTTGATCTGAGAAAATTGCAGATGAGTCACCGATATCCAGGAGATACTTGGCATGATAAATATGAGGACCTGTCGGCGATTAAAATCATGTCGTGTGAAATATGTTCTGATTTAAAATAACATCTGCAATTACCTACAGCCAATGAGAGAGCAGCATCCACTAGTATGGGTATCTGCAGGCCAGCGGAATGTTGAGGGAGAAGTCAAAAGGACTTCTTTTTGGTTAATTTGGACCCAAGAATGGGAAGAAAAACTTGTGGAATTTTGGAAGCAGCACATGTGTCTGTTTGTTAAAAAATTATTATTATTATATATATATATATATATATATATATATATATATATATATATATATATATATATTTTATTTGGGGGTGTGTATAATATAGTGTTTGGTTATAATAATATTACAACACCTGTTATTAAGTCAGTACAAACACTGTATTAATACTGCATAAATTAAAATGAAGGCATGCTATTAAGTAAAAGCAGTATCACATATATTATATGGTGGTGGATGAGGAGATTCCCCCCAATTTGTAATTTTGAGTACCCAGAAAAGTGCTATATATTTGCAAGGAATTATTATTATTGTTGTTATTATTATTATTATTATTATTGATATTATTATTATTATTATATTTACTTGCTGTACATTATTTTTTCTTTTTTCTTTCATACACACCTCTGTAACCATCACAAGTTGACCAAAGAAGCAAAACAGACAGAAAAGCAGAAGGAATATTTCTCGACGTCCAGCTTTGCGCAGCACCGTGGGGAACAGATCGATCACTGAGGTCATGAAAACTTCCATAGCAACAAACTTTGAAGGAAGCAGAAGAACACAAGTGGATTAAAATGTTGTGCTTTTAATGATTCTCTGTAAATTACATCTGTTAACAACTTTACACAAATCATCTTATTAGACGCAGTATTTGTTGTGATTTCGGTTTTCGCTCACCTGTGTGTCTAGACCCAACAAAATAATCATGATGAAGAAACAAGCAGCCCACAATTGAGGGAAAGGCATCATAGCTACTGCCTGTGGATAAGCAATGAATGCTAGACCTGGACCTGAGGGAGGGAGAATATTATCTTGTGTATTTATATTCTCAAGTTGTACTACAGTATTTCATTTAAATAATGTTACAGTACCTGATTCAGCTACCTCCTCAATGGGGAGACCTTGCTTTTGGGCCATGAAGCCCAAGACTGAGAAGACAGCAAAACCAGCTATGACACTGGTACTGCTGTTCAGCAGGCAAAGCCATAAACTGGACCTTGATATGGAAAATAGAGATCCACTAGTTTTATTATCTTTTTTTACTCTGATTATTTTAACTTGCCTAAAGTGAATGAGTGCAGATTAGGGGTGCTATTACACAAAGGTATTTTTGGTTGCTCACTTATGTCCAGTGGTCTCAAGTAAGTGCAATAAAAGTGTTGTTTGCCAACTATAAGTGTCACTCTTTTAGGCTTTTCAGTGTCTTACAGCTCATGTTTTCTACAGTTCTGAAAAATGTTAATAGTCTGTGGATATCTGCTGATAGATAGTAAGCTTGGCAGTTTTGTATTTGCTTTTGACAGGCTTGCATTGCCTGCACTCATTCAGTGTCCTTTGACCAGCATGGCTGGTTGATTCTGTCTCAGCACTAGCATTTTTGCTAACATCTGCAAAAATATGTTTAGCCCGAAGATGGTACTTCGAAGTTCTGCACTATTAAGTGCTTTGGTGTGGACTTTATTAAGAGCTCTGGTTTCATCCAAACTTCCATCTGGAAGGATTTAATAATAAAACTTTCCATTCAGCACACCAGACATAATATCTTAAACCATCATATGGCAGCACTTGCTGTACCCTTCTCACACAATGTTATGTCTGTGATGATGGCAAGAAGTTGGGGTCAGACCTCAACAAATGATTAATTTGCATTAATGAAATATTAATAAAATGTCCTAAAATGTCACATGCAATTACGCATTAACATTGACAGCCCTAATGTGTGTGTGTGTCTGTGTTTAATCATTGTTAACTATGGTATATGACCATATGGCATAAACCATAGTAACTTCAAAAAAAAAAAAAAAAAAACATGGTTTTGAGACCATGGTATTACTATACGAATATTGTAGCACTACTATGATAACACTAATACTATGATAACACTATAGTAATCATAACTGTAGGAATCCCAGAAACAAAGCAGTTTGTATTACATTTAACAAAAGTTATGCAATAAAAAAATCGTGATATATCTTATACATATAAATCATTTGCATCTTATTTGGAAGCGAATGTAAACCGCATGTGTGAAAAAGGTTTACTACTGCCAGGATTAAGATTCAGAAAAATAACTATAGTTAAATAAAAAAGTTCAATTCATAAAGCACTGGTAACAGTTTTTACAATGATTAAAAGAGTTGCAACTAAATATTTACATAGAAACAAACAAACAAACAAACAAAATAAATAAATAAATAAATAAATAAATAAAATATAAATAAATAAAATAAAAAGTAAATAAATAAAAGTATGCTTCATTATGTAGTTACTATGTTTTACTTCAAATGCCATAAAACCAATGGTTAATTTTGCAATATGGTTTTACTTCAAATTTCATAGGAAAACATGGCTTTATAACATGGCTTTTCTTTAAATGCTGTAGTAAAACTGTTTCATTTTGTAGTTGCTATAGTTTTACTTTAAATCCATTAGTAAAACTATGATTTTGAAACCACAGTATGCTCCAAACAAAACAAACAAACAAACAAACAAAATAAAAACAGCTACTAAATAGTCATGGTTCTTACAGTGTTATTACAGTATTACTACAATGTTATTATAATGTACAATGTTTTAAAACCAAGGTTTGCAGTAAAAACATTGTTACAGTCATGAGTTCTACAGTGCCATTATAGTCATTACAGTATTACTCTAAAACATTACTATAGTGAAAGTGAACCCATTGTCTCAAACTTTTTAAACCACAGTACATGTTAAAAGACCATTCTTACTTCAGTTTCACTACAGTGCAACCTTGATAAATTTTAAAAATGGTAAATTACGCAAACATTTTTGCAACTGTTTGACAGCCCTAATATACAGTTGTTGGGTAATATCTAATGTGATTAAGATACTACCCTAAAGATCAACATTTGATGTGGTATTGAAAGGCAGCAGTATATGCAGTATACTGGAGATAAACAAACAAACAAAGAAACAAACAAACAACAACAACAACAAAAGACATTTTAAAGCATTAAACTAACCTGTAGCAGTTGTAGTTATATTTATTGTAGCTTCCTAATACAGTAAGAGAGGCTGTACCCAAAGCATAAGAGAAGAAGATCTGAGCTCCTGCTTCCATCCACACCTACATTTGGAAAGCAAGGGTGAACAATTGGGAATAAGCTCAAAAATGTAATTTATTTAGGCTATATTGATTTCAGCTATTTATCTTACTGTCGTGTTAAGTTTAAAGCATTAATTTAAGCCCAAATTTGTATTATTTTATTAATTGCTCACTTGGTACATTTCTGAACTGTGACTGAGACAAGAACCTTTCTGTATTTGGAGGATGAGGAAGCTCTCAGATTTCACCTAAAATATCTTAATTTGTGTTTTGAAGACGAACACAGGTTTCAGAGGTTTGAGTAATCAATAACATAAGTTTACATTTTTGGGTGAACTAAGAATTGAAGTGTTTTGCTAGGAAAATGCAGACGGAGAAAGTACCTGTGGGTCAGCAAGGCGGGCTGGTTCAGGGTACAAGTAAAACACAACCCCCTGCAGAGCTCCAGGAAGAGTCAAACCACGAATCAGCAACACAAGCAGCATCACGTAAGGAAATGTAGCTGTGAAATACACCACCTACAGAAAAGAGGTAGTAAAATGTAATAAAATTAAATAAATAAATACTAATGTCATATAATGAGGAAAACACTGTGTTGGCAATTAGATTATAACAGATTATTTATCCTCATTGAATAAACAAAAACAGAAAACATACAGGCTACATGTACACAATAATGTTTTAGTCAAAAATAAAAACATTTATGGAAAAAAAAAATTAGCAACATGCATTTAGATAAACAATTCTAGTTGTTTGTGTGAGTTTGATGGAATTATTTTATAAGTTACAATTGTGCGTGAGGGGATTAAAAAAAGTTATATTAAAGGGATAGTTCCTACCAAAAATGAAATTCTGTCATCATAGGCACTCCACCTGTTCCAAACGTCTTTCAGTTTCTTTCTTTTTGTTGATCAAAAGAAGAAGATATTTTGAAGTATGTTGACTGCCAATAGCCATTGACTTCCATAGTATTTTTTTTCAGTATGGAAGTCAAAGTTCTTCAAAGTACTTTTTTTTTGTTGTTAAAAAAAAAAAGAAAAAAAAAGAATGATTTGGAACCACTGAAGGGTGAGTATATGTTGAGTTTTTGTGTGAACTGTCATTCAATATATTCTATTTATAAAAATACAAATAAATAAAAAAGTGCCCTTTATTCCACTTGGGTCCTTGCTGCTCAACATGTCTCTGCATGTGTCTGATGGGTATGTTATGACAGAATTTCCAGTTTTACTGTAGGTGGACTATCACTTTAAACAAGGACCAAGAAGATATGAATTCTAATACTGGGTTAAAACATGTAATCCATTATTTTAAAACTATTGCACACCTTGCCTGTAGATTTGACTCCTTTCCAGACACAGAAATAACATATGATCCACATCACAATGAGACACAGAAGAATCTCCCAGTTGATCTTACCGACCTTCTCAATACCTCCAGACAAAGCCAGCACTCTATGCCTGTACAATTTAACGTGAGAAAGAGCAGCAACAACAAGACTTTACTGTGATTAAAAATTATATATGAAGGATAATTTCATAATGTAGATTGCACTTGCAAAACTGTCATTATAATATGATGTTCTTACTGCCAGAACTCCGTAACGGAAGAGGTTGAATTAAGCAGCATTGGTGTGCTTAGGTTCAATTTGTTTTCAGCTAAATTCACACAAGCATCTATAAAAAGATGAAAATGTTTACATTCCCCTGGAATGACATGTTAATGTTTTATAATTAGCAGTTGTTTATTCACTTGGATTTTGCTTCATATGATCACCTGTGTTCCAGATATTGTCACAACTGGCCCACGGCAGTTGGGAACTGAAAGAGAATGCGAGGTAGAAAAGCGCCCAGGCCAGAATGATGATATAATACATGCAGCTGTACAGCACTATCAGCTGTCCAGCATAACCAATACCTGCAAAATGAAAACCGCACACACCACATCCCAAGCAGACAATCAACATACAGTACATACAGTATGTAAAGCATCAAATACACACAAATGTGTAATGCTCTGCATGGGTTTCTATCTGCAATGAAAATGTGTTTAGTAATTATTATTGTGCCTTGTGTCTCATGTCTGTCACATGCTGCTGCTTGTTAAGTATTGTATAATATATACCTGGATAAGATTATATCATGGATAACAGGGACGCCTGCAGGATTTTTATCCAAGGTATGCACAATCCAGCACCACCCCACCCCCTTCCGATGGCTGTTATTTCAGTATTCATACATTAACTAACTAATGCATCAAGTGAAATAAAAACGAATATTGTTTTAGAATTTAGCAAAATTCTGCTCTTTTTATCTTTGTATTTTTTTAAATTTTTTTTTGTTATTTTGAATATTTTAATGTCTTAATTTTATAAGACAATAATTAATTTTATAATTAAAGCTATAGACAAATTCCTGCTTGACATATAAGAAAATATTTTGCGTAGCTACCCAGTATATATTAAAGATCGCAGAGATAAAAAAAACAAAACAAAAAAAAACACAGAAACATGTTACGTGGCCCCATAAATTTCCAACTTATATTTAATGAATCGTAAAAAAATTGTGAATTGCCAACATTTAAGAATCCATATTTATTTTATTTATTTATTGATTTGACTTGCTTATTGGTGCATAGGCTATAATTTAATTCGTACAACAGTACCTTGGACTGCAGGCGCCACTGATGGATAGCACAATGGATTTTACCCTTAACCTTAAGTAAATTGTTCAATTTATATTCTTCATTATTTCAGTTTTGTCGTCAGTCAATAAAACAATATTTATTATCATAGGACCATTGTTTATTACACATTATTATATATTATTATCTTTTCTTCAACTATTATTATCATTATTATTATTCATATTTCCACATGAAATATTGCACCTATTAAAATTGCTTTCAGTAATTGCAAGACAGCAATTATTTTAACTCACCTTCAGCCAGTGGACAGAGGCGATGCCAACATGTAATGCCTCCTTCCTGTGTGTACTGTCCCATAGCCGTCTCTAGCAGGAACAGAGGCACCCCACAGGTCACCACAAACACCAGGTAGGGTACTAGGAATGCCCCTGAGAGCACACAAGTACGGTATGTTAAAGAAAGCTTTGGTAGAGTATTCATTGTAATTACAAAAATAATGAAATCTCAAATTTTTGCTTATTTGGGGTGTCTCATACCTCCTCCATTCTTGTAGCAGAGATAAGGAAACCTCCACACATTACCCAGTCCAATCACAATCCCTGCCACAGCTAGAATAAACTCTGTTTTACTGCCCCAGTTCCCCCTCTCTTCTATTTGTCCTTTTACTTTGCCCATCCTTTCTGTTTTGACCCGATCACTCTGACCCTGCTTACCAGACTGTTGTACTAGGTAGCTACTTATGAAGCTACTTAATAAATGACTCCTCCCAGTTGAAATAAATAAATCAAAAATACCTTTAATAAATAAATAAAAAAACATTTTGCTTTTCCTTGGGGTTGGGAGCAATCAGAGAGCCAGGTCTGACATGACTGAATACATCTCATCAAGTTAGATACAATCAATAATAATGTGATGAGCACTGCCTTTATTCATCTTGTTTGTCACAGTAACACTGCCCTCAGCCCCTAATGCATGTAATTCTTACTTTTAGCTCAGCAATATTTCAGTGCTACTTTTCCTGGTTCAGAGTTGGTGCTTTGGGTATTTATTGCCAAATAATCCATTTGGAACTAGGCTATGAACCAACACTTAAACTGCCTTGATGAAAAGGGGGTACCAGTGGGTAAATAGTGGCTCAAAATGTGTTTTACACAGTCCAAAGAGTACTACTGAGAAATCCCAAAAGGTGATGAGCTGCAACCTTGGATAAATCAATCTCTTGGCTCATGACTGAAGCTGGGGTGGTTATTGAGACTCCCAAATGAAACCCCTAATGTTAGTATTGGCAAGAAATGGCAATAGGAATTGACAGAAATTGAAATCCAATTATGTTTCACACATTCAGAGCTAGTTCACAACATTCAATAATGTCACAAGAACAGATGTTCGGATGGACATTAGTGGCTAATAAATTGCCCTTAAAAGTTATAATTTAATGGAATTGCTGACTAAGGTGTCTTGGGAAGTTCACCTGGGTAAATATTAATTACAAGTAGGGGTGGGAGGGTTAGGCTACTTTTAAAATACATTTCATCACATGTATAAAAAATACAGGCATTAAAAATAAAAATATGTATGTTCTATCCCAGACGCTGAAAGGAGTGTATCATGTCTATATGTATCGAGTGTGTGTGACTTGTGTGGATCATGTGTGAAGACTTGTTATGTATCATGTGTGTATGTGTATAATGTGTGTTTATTCATGGAGTGTATTATATGTGAATTAACCTCCTGTAGCTCAGTGTTAATGTCAATCACCTCTCATGCCAGAGACCTGGGTTCTATCCCAGACGCTGACAGGACTGTATCATGTATATGCATATGTTTCTGGAATGTATACAGTGTCCATGAATATGTGTGTATGTGTATAGAATGTATAATCTGTGTATATGTTTTTGAATGTATCATGAGTGTATATGAATGATTTTTGTATTTGTATTGAATGGATGGAGTGTGTACATGTAAAGAATGTTTCATGTGTGCATAAGTATGGAATGTATTGTGTGTATATGCATGGAGGGTATCGGGGTCTATCCCAGACACTGACTGGAGTGTATCATGTCTATGTGTATCAAGTGTGTACATATGTATAAAGTGTATAATGTATGTATGGAATGTGTTATGTGTGTACATGTATAGAATTTAACATGTGTGTATCATATGTGCGTATGTATAGTGTATTGTGTGCATATGTATACAATGTACATAGTATATCATGTTTCTATATGTATGGAGTGTATCTTGAGTGAACATGGGTGTGTTCATCAACCTCCAGTGGCTCAGTGGTAATGTCATTCACCTAACATGCCAGAGACCCGGGTTCAATCCCAGACACTGACAGGAGTGTATCATGTATGTGCATATGTATAATGTGTTTCAGTGTGGAACGTATACAGTGTCCATGTGTATGGAGTGTATGTGTATAGAATGTATAAACTGTGTATATGTATAAAATGTTTCATGTTTGCATATGTATGGAATGTATCATGTGTGTGTGTGTATACATGGAGGGTATCTGGTTCTATCCCAGGCACTGACAGTAATGTATCATATAAAGAGTGTGTACATATGTATTATGTAATGTATTACGTGTGCTTATGTATGGACTGTATCATGTGTTTATATGTATGGAATGTATCGTGTGTGTACAGTACATGTATAGAATGTATCATGTGTGCGTTTGTATTGTGTGCATATGTATACAATGTACATAGTATATCATGCTTCTATATGTGTATAATGTGTGTTCATGTATCATGTGTGAACATTGCTGTGTTCATCAACCTCTAGCGGCTCAGTGGTAATGTCATTCACCTATCATGCCAGAGACCCGGGTTCAATCCCAGACACTGACAGGACTGTATCATGTATGTACATATGTATATTGTGTTTCTGTGTGGAATGTATAATGTTCATGTGTATATATATATGTATCATTTGTGCATGTGTTTAGAATGTATAATCTGTCTATATGTATTATGTGTGTATATGTATGGAATGTATCATATATGCATATGTAAGGTATGTATAGAGTATGCATATGTATACAATGTATATAGTGTATATATGCCAGAGACCCGGGTTCTATCCCAGACACTGACAGGAGTGTATCATGTATGTGCAAATGTATAATGTGTTTCTGTGTGGAATGTATAGAGTGTCCGTGTGTATAGAATATGTGTGTATGTGTATAGAATGTATAAAAAAGTGTATATCTATAGAATGTATAATCTGTTTGTATCTATGGAATGTATTGTATGGAATGTATCATGAGTGTTTATGTTTTTATATGTATTGAATGGATTTAGTGTGTACATGTATAGAATGTTCCATGTGTGCATATGTATGGAATGTGTCTTGTGTATGTGTATAGAGTGTATAATCTGTGCATAAGTATGGAATGTATCAGGAGTGTATGGATATATGTATGGAGTGTCTCATATGTGTATAGAATGTATGATCTGTTTATATGTATGGAATATATCGTGTATGTGTATAGAATGTATAATCTGTGTATTTGTATAGAATGTATCATGTGTGTATATGCATGGAATGTATCATGTGTGTATATGATTAAAGTGTATCTGTATGATATTTGTATTTGTATTAAATAGATGGAATGTGTACATGTATAGAATGTTTCATGTATGGAATGTACATGCATGGAGGCTATAGGGTTCTATCCCTTACACTGACTGGAGTGTATCATGTCTATGTGTATCGAGTGTGTACATATGTATAAAGTGTATAATGTCTGTATGGAATGTATAATGTGTGTACATGTATAGTGGATATGTATCGAATGTATCATATGTGCGTATGTATTGTGTGCATATGTATACAATGTATATAGCGTGTCATGTTTGTATATGTATGGAGTGTATCATGTGTGTATGTGTATAATGTGTGTTTATGGATGGAGTGTATCGTGTGTGAACATTGCTGTGTTCGTTAACCTCCAGTAGCTCAGTGGTAATGTCAGTCACCTATCATGCCAGAGACCCGGGTTCAATCCCAGACACTGACAGGAGTGTATCATGTATGTGCATATGTATAATGTGTATGGAGGGTATGTGTATAGAATGTATAAACTGTGTATATGTATAAAATGTATTATGTGTGCATATGTATGGAATGTATCATGCATGTATATGGTTAAAGTGTGTATATATGTATAATGATTGTATTTGTATTGAATGGATGGAGTGTGTGCATATATAGAAAGTTTCTATATATAAGTTCTATAAGTTTGTGCATATGTATGGAATATATTGTGTGTGTATATACATAGAGGGTATCTGGTTCTATACCAGGCACTGACAGTAATGTATCATGTCTATATGTATAGAGTGTGTACATATGTAATATGTGTGCTTATGTATGGAATGTATCGTGTGTGTGTGTGTGTGTACATGTATAGAATGTATCATGTGTGCGTATGTATTGTGTACATATGTATACAATGTACATAGTATATCATGTTTCTATATGTGTACAATGTGTTCATGTATAGAGTGTATCTTGTGTGAACATTGCTGTGTTCATCAACCTTTAGTGGCTCAGTGGTAATGTCATTCACCTATCATGCCAGAGACCCGGGTTCAATCCCAGACACTGATAGGAGCGCTGACAGGACTGTATCATGTACTGTATGTGTATATGTATATTGTGTTTCAGTGGAATGTACAATGTGTATGTATGTAGTGTATCATATGTGTATAGAATGTATAATCTGTTTATATGTATGGAATGTAGCGTGTATAGAATGTATATTCTGTGTATTTGTATGGAATGTATCATGAGTGTGTATATATTTGTATTGAATGGATGGAATGTGTACATGTATATAATGTTTCATGTGTGCATATGTATGGAATGTATATGTGTGTATAAGCATGGAGGGTATTGGATTCTATCTCAGACATTGACTGGAGTGTATCATATCTCTGTGTATCGAGTGTGTACATATGTATAAAGTGTATAATGTATGTATGGAATGTATCATGTGCATAGGTATGGAATGTATTATGTGCTTATGTATGGACTGTATAATGTGTGTATATGTATGGAATGTATCGTGTGTGTATATGTATGGAATGTATAATGTGTGCATATGTATGGAATGTGTTATGTGTGTACATGTATAGAGTGTATATGTATCAAATGTGTATATGCATGGAGGGTATCGGGTTCTATCCCAGACACTAACTGGAGTGTATCATGTCTCTGTGTATCGAGTGTGTACATATGTATAAAGTGTATAATGTATGTATGGAATGTATCATGTGCATGTGTGCTTATGTATGGACTGTATCATGTGTGTATATGTATGGAATGTATAATGTGTGCATATGTATGGAATGTGTTATTTGTGTACATGTATAAAATGTATCATGTGTGTATATGTATAGTGTGTATATGTATCAAATATATCATATGTGCATATGTAAGATATGTATAGGGTTTATTTGTATACAATGTATATAGCGTATCATGTTTGTATATGTATGGAGTGTATCGTGTGTATGTGTATATATCATGCCAGAGACCTGGGTTCTATCCCAGACACTGACAGGACTGATCATGTATATGCATATGTATTTTGTGTTTCTGTGTGGAATGTATACAGTGTTCATGCCTATAGAATGTATAATCTGTGTATACTGTATGTATCATGTGTGTATATGTATGAAATTTATCATGAGTGTATATGTACAATATTTGTATTGAATGGATGGAGTGTGTACATGTATAGAATGTATCATCTGTGCTTATGTAAGGTATGTATCATGTGTCAATATGCATGGAGGGTATCAGGTTCTATCCCAGACACTGACAGGAGTGTATTATGTCTATATGTGTCAAGTGTGTATACTTGTTTAATGTATGTATGGAATGTATTGTGTGCATATGTAGGGAATGTATCATGTGTATATGTATGGAATGTATAATGTGTGCATATGTATGGAATGTGTTATGTGTGCACATATATAGAATGTATCGTGTGTATATGTATAGTGTGTATATGTATCGAATATATCATATGTGCATATGTAAGGTATGTATAGAGTGTATTGTGTGCATATGTATACAATGTATATAGTGTATCATGTGTGTATGTGTATAATGTGTGTAAACATTGCTGTGTTCATTAACCTCCAGTAGCTTAGTGGTAATATCAGTCACCTTTCATGCCTGAGACCCAGGTTCTATCCCAGACACTGACAGGACTGTATCATGTCTATATGTATGAAGTACTTATGTATAAAGTATTATTGTTCGGAATGTATAAAGTGTATCATATATGTATAAAATGTATCATGTGTGCTTATTATGTGTATGAAATGTATCATGTGTGTATATGTATGCATATCTATAGAGTGTTTTGTGTGCATATGTATATATTGTATCATGTTTGTATATGTGTGGAGTGTATGAAGTGTGCATATGTATGGAGTGTATGTGTATAATATGTGCATATGTATGGAGTGTATTGTGTATGTGTATGGAATGTACCAAGAGTGTATATGTATTGAATGTATTTCGTGTGTATATGTATTGAATGTATGCAGTATGTACATGTATAGTGTATATATGTATGGAATGTATCATGTGTGCTTATGTATGAAGTGTATCATGTGTGTATATGCATGGAGTTTATCGTGTGTGAACATTGCTGTGTGCATATACATGGCTGTTTTCATCTATCTCCAATAGCTCAGTGGTAATGTCACTCACCTTTCATGCCAAAGACATGTGTGCATATGTATGGAGTGTGTATATGGTACAACTTTGTAATTTGGGTTTAACAACTTTTACACTCCACACACACACACACACACACACGCACACACACACACACACACACACACACACACACACACACACACACACACACACACACACACACACACACACACACACACACACACACACACACACACACACACACACAAACTAGTAATGGCCGATTCTGGAATGAATTATTATTTTAAACTGGATCTTCAAGGTGGACCTGTTGAACCCGTTCACCAAATCAAACATCAGATGGTCGCGTCTCCAGTAATCCACAAATCACTTTTTAACATCCCTGATACCCCCTTTGACCTGAAATAATCATTCCAGAGTTATTCAGTTACTAGAACAATACAAGGACTAACAAAGAATAGTGGGACATTTTCTACTTAGTAGTTTTTATTGGGGTGTATTAAAGAACAGAGACGAGAAATAGACAGTTTGTCTAAAACAACTTGTTTGGTTTAGGACATACTTTGTTTCTGCAGCTTTGTATTAAATCTTAGTGGCTATTTACTAAAATAGTAATGAAAGGACCGACTGCAAAATAATGACCATTCTCAGATTTCATGTTGCTCTGTGCTTGCCCTAACTAAGTCTTCCATTTCTGTCATGAAAGCCGTTTCCTTTAATTGAGCTCGTTGTTTACAGGTGAGTGGAAGGTCTTTATCAGCACTGCACAAACGGCGCCAGCGCTGTGAAGACAGACAAACACAAGGTTTTAGGTAATTATTACTTAAACGTGAAAGTCAACTAGATTGATTTTCTCTATATGGTAGTTAAATCCTGTAGTTAGATATGGATTTAATCAGTGGCTGTTTCTCAATATGCGTTCTTCAGAGGTCTGGAGGTGGGAAGCGTAGCATTTCATGTAGATTTATTATTAAAGTTCAGAGATATAACTTATTTACCTCAAGAGTTTCACTAAATGAAATGGTGAATATAAACATTACCATGGACATCTTAATAAAGGAATAAACACATTAAGGGTGTTTGTTTGCTGAAATTCGTATTAAAATCTGGTTATTTATATTGTGCGACATACATTTATAATGTGTTTATGCATAGTATAAATTTTGAAAAGGAGAAAAACAACAAATCACTTTATGAATGCTGTAATGTCTAAATAGTTTTCCATTTAAAATGTGTGAAGGTCATGTGACCATCAGGAAGAACGCAGCATCTCATTTCTCACAGGATGCGTTCTCTGTTCTCATGGTTTCGTGCCTGGCAAGACCGGTCTTCACAAGAATACAAGTTCGTTCTCTGCATTCTTGGAATTGAAAAACAGCCATGGTTTTTATCCAAGGCAATGTCTTGGATAGCAGCGATTCTCAATCCTGCGCTTTATCCCCCTACTTCTACATGTACTATTTAGCACACCTAATTTAGATAACAAGCCCATTAGAAGAGAGCTCTAAACACTAAACTTTTGTGTGCAAAATTCTGTTGTACGGCACTGCGAAAAGGGGCGAGATTAAACATGATGATTAGACATTAAAAAAGCGAGAGATTTGCTACATGTTTTTTAATTTTTGTCCAGAAAGGTCATGTTTTGATCCTCAAGCGAGTCAAGCGATTCGATTTCGCAGGTCAGAGATCACTAAGCTTGAACTTTGCACTGCAGCAACCTGCAAAACTTAAGTCTATCGGGAGACAAGTCCAGTGTGACCGGAGCTTAAAAAGACACTGACACTGAGTATATTTACATGGGCACCAATAATTAGATTTATAGCAATTATGACAATACTTAGATTAAGAGTTAAACATGTAAACAGCGATTTTTGATTAATTGAATATGATTAGGGTCATAATCGAACTATATGCCGCCACAAGCAAGATGCTGCCCTGGGTGATCGCCCACATTGCCCATGCCTAAATCCGCCACTGCTCTGAGCCCTGAGAAGTCAACAGCACGTCTGGACACTGTTAACATAGTGTTTCCTTTTGACACAGTACAGTTTTCATTGGCATTTGTGGATGTAACTACATATTTTGGTACTTGGCAAAGGTTTGTCAAAGTAGTAGAGCCATGTGGTGATATCGCTCATAGATGATTGACAATTCGTGATGCAGTGCCGGTTGAGGGATCAGCTTAGACTTAAGCCCTTGTTCTTTGCACTGAAAATCAGATTCTTTGAATCTTTTAATTATGTTATGCACTGTTGAAGGTAAAATATCCAAATGTTATCTTCATCTTTGTCGAAGATTCTGTCTTCGTCATCTTTCTTTGAGGAACATTGTTTTTAGACAGTTCAAAAATTTTCTCATATATTTAATGGTAATGGGCAACGCAGTGGCACAGTGGGTAGCACGTTCGCCTCACAGCAAAAAGGTCGCTGGGTTGCTGGTTCGATCCTCGGCTCAGTTGGCGTTTCTGTGTGGAGTTTGCATGTTCTCTCTGCGTTCACGTGGGTTTCCTCCGGGTGCTCTGGGTTCCCCCACAGTCCAAAGACATGCAGTGCAGGTGAATTGGGTAGGCTAAATTGTCCGTAGTGTATGAATGTGTGTTTCAGTGTGTGTGTATATGTTTCCCATAGATGTGTTGCGGCTGGAAGGGCATCCGCTGCATAAAAACTTGCTGGATAATTTGGCGGTTCATTCCACTGTGGTGACCCCGGATTAATAAAGGGGCTAAGCCGACAAGAAAATGAATGAATGAATGAATGAATGAATGAATGAATGAATGAATGAATAAATGAATGATAGATAGATGGTCAACTCGTGATCCTCATCCCATCTTTGCTCCTAAAGGACTAGACCTTGCTGCTTTTGTACCAAATTATAATTACAATCACCTGTTGACATCACCTGTTTTAAATCACATCATTATTTAACCAGTTTACCTGATTACTAGCCCTAAATGGCTCCTGTCCCAATTTTTTTGGAATGTGTCGCAGGTCTGATTAACAAAAAAGGATGTTTACAAATGAAATGGAGTCGACTGGACAAAACATGAAATTTTTTGTGTTCATGTTGTCTACAATGAAATACAAGTAAAAGTTAATTTGGAAATCACTATTTTGTTTTTTATTTGCGATTTCCATACGGTCCCAACTTTTTTTGATTTGGGGTTGTACATGGACATTAGTAATCAAATTATTTACCTTAATGTAAATAAGGCAATAATATGATTAAGGGGTTTATAGGAGTTGCTGTAAGAATGTTCCTGTTTTACGTTATAGCAAATAGATCAATTAACGTTGTGTCACCATGTTATTCAATGTTTCTTCCTAAGTTTTATGTAATTTCAGGTGTTTCATTTTTTTACTTTAATTGCAATTCGGCAATTTCACTTTCATTCAGCAACAATTTATTTATGCTCTCATGACAAACTCTGAGGTAATAAATGAGAGTATGAAGAACTTGTGGAAGAGGGTTATTTTCATGGAACTTTATACTGAATTTAAAGAAAATTTCAGCATTTTAGAAAAGGTGTTTGGTAATGATGATAGCAGATGTGATGAGACTTCAGAATTTCACTGTGTGTATGTGTGCACTCAGAGATGTGTGTGTCCTGGACTGGCTCAGTAGGTGCAGAGGATAATGTTAAACAGTCATGTGTGTATGGACTATCCAAGTCATAAACAGTGGTAATAGTTTGATTAAGGTGTTTTCTGTACATGTCTGTACTGCCCTTCAATAATATGACTAAAATAGGAATACTCCACATGTCTTAATTCCATTTGTGTTTAATTCAATTATGGCTTCAATTGAATTAAGGTCATCAAAAATCTCAGTTTACATAGGAGACTCTTAATCAGAGTATTGTGTTAATCACATAAAAATCAGAGTATTGGTGTCCATATAAACATGCATAGCGAGGGGCCGCAAGAACTAGGATTGAGAACCAATGTCTTAGTAGCTGGTTTATTTTTTTCAAAAGTCAAAGATAAACATCCTAACCTGTTTTAAACTCCCCTTTTCAGAGCACAGTCGGCCCAGTGCCCATCCAGGCACAAGCACAATGGATGACAGAGCCAGTAACCAGCCCAGTACATATGCCCAGTCTGGGAACACATACCAGCGGTTAAAAGTCAGAGGCTGGTACTCCACCATAGAGCAGACAAAACACACCTGAGTTTAAACAGAATACAAGAGAAAATGGTGAAAAGGGAGAAAAAAAAATTAAGTTTAACTGTGGGGGTCATTTTATAAACGCTTATATATATATATATATATATATATATATATATATATATATATATATATATATATATATATATATATATATATATATATATATATATATAGGTATTTGAACTGTTGTTTATGGAATTATACTTTAGGCTTAATAAATATCTCAAGGATCAGTCAAAACAGACCCAAACCAATGAGTGAAGTGCAGAACTACTCACCAAGGACACAAGAGGAGTCAGATATTTCCAGCACAGCATGAAAATGTAGTTAGGTCGTGACTTTGTCATGTCTTCAATTATATCAAACAGTCTATCAGCACCTGTGGTGTGAAAAGTTTTTAGCTTCAATGTTTTATGGCATTGTGAGCATGTATTTTGTTGACAGTTTGTTATGAGAAACACACCAAATATCCATCCCATGGTCAGAGACTCAAACACAGACAGGAACAGAAGACAGGTTCCATTACAGGCGTAGTAGTCAAACAACTGGAATACGTACATCCCCCCCTGCAGGTCATGATACAACATTACAGATTAAAAGCAACATGGCCTTAGTAAAAGACAACACAAAGTCTTACAGTTCTTGGAGAGTTTTTGCAAAGTTTAAATATATATATGTTTGGTCAGTTAAAACATAAATAAGTTACTATAAACTATGAATAAAATAAAATAACTTAAAAAAATAATTTTGAAAAACAGCACAGTTTGAATTAGGAAAAAGAAATGTGTTGTTGTCTATGCATAGCTGGGGTATTTTTATTGTAGGATAATTTTATTTTATTATTAATACTATATAAAACTGTCATTGCCTACTTTTTTAAAGGGATAGTGAAGGAGTGGATTTACAATCCTCTCCTCCCTTCTGGCATTTTATATCTGCATAAATCTAAATAAACAATTATCCTGTTTTTTAACTCTCTGCCTCCCTCTTTCTCTTTTTAACACACACACACACACACACACACACACACACACACACACACACACACACACACACACACACACACACACACACACACACACACACACACACACACACGCACGCTTCTAACCTCTGTAACCATGATGAATTGGCCAAAGAAGCAAGTGAGACAAAAGAACAGGAGTAAGATTTCTCGCCGTCCTTCTCTGCGGAGAACCACCGGAAACATGTCCATCACTGACGTCACAACAGCTTCCATTGAAACAAACTTTGATGGAAAATTCAGACAAGTTTGCAACATCATGTTGGTCAGTATGATGACAGGTATTTCAATGTTGCAAATAAGTTATGCAAAAATGACCTGCATCAAGGTACATGAGCTGCATCCGAAATCGCATACAGCTTGCATTGGTACTACATTCGATTTTGAATTTCTTTAAAATGTGTACTTCCCAATCATTGGAGATGTATATTCTGTATTGTATTAATGTGGGTAGCAGCATGAATGAAATTTGGGCTTGCTATTTCTACTAACCTTTTTGACATTTTTTAATGGACTACAAAACATTTTGGATAATGGACTACAAAATTACATCTTATTTTGCACAGGTAAAGTGGTGTGAAAAAGTGGTGTTTGTCAACAAACAAATTTACATATTAGTTAAAGATAGCACACGTAACCACAGTATGCAGTTTTTAAATTAAGGTTTGTAGTATTATTTAAGGTTTTTGTTATATGGAACAGTGGATAACCTTCCCAGGATTGGCAGACAGACCAAAATTATCACAAGAGGTTACAAACCCCCCTGACAGCATCCAAATAACTGCAGGTCTCACTTGACTCAGTTAATATGGAGTTAACTTGTTAACAAAGGTTTAGCGTTGAACCAACCCCTCACTTTGTCTCCTTAACCAATCACCTACGTATTTAAAACGTATTTAAGGCAGACCAGCTCTGTACCACTGTTCTTTTTGTTCTTTTGAACCAACCCTCCCTCTCGCTTCCCATTCACAATCCTATAACCCTCTCTTCACTCCTAGGTTGAATCGAACGGTCAAATCACTCTACAAAATATTACAGAGATTGTACCCCCACTCTGAGTCTCTGGGCATCATCGTAGGATGCCTGATCAACCTACCTACCTGTTTACTGTTTATTCTCTTCTCTTCCCATTCATCCCACTGTTCTCTTACCATCCCCTTCATCCCTACAATAATGTTTAGCTCAAAGTGTGGCGTGGTCCATGCTGGTGAAATGAGTGTTCATGACTCCACCATAACAAAGAGACTGGGCAAAAATGGTTTGCATGGCAGAGTTCAAAGATAAAAACCACTGAGTAAAAATAGCATAACGGCTCATCTCAGTTTAGCCATAAAAAATCTTGATGAACATACTCTGTGGGCTGTGTCCCATTATGTGTGCCATAAAATTAGCACCACATTTCAGAAAATGAACATCCTACCAACAGTAAAATGTGGTGGTGGTAGAAGGATGGTTTGGGGCTTTTTTGTTGCTTCAGGACCTGGAAGACATCTGTTAGTGACTTTAAGCTGAAATGAACTTCGCTTCTGCAGCAGGGCAATGATCCAAAGCACACCAGAAATCCACTTCTGAATAGCTAAAGACAAACAATATGAACACTTTGAAGTGTCTTAGTCAAATCCCTAATCTGAATACAATTGAGATGCTGTGGCATGACCCTAAAAAAGGAGGTTCATGCTCAAAAACCCTTCAATGTGGTTGAATTACAACAATTCTGCAAAGATGAATTCCCCAAAACTCCTTCACAGTGCTGTAACAGACTCATTGCAAGTTATTAAATGTTTGATTGCAGTTGTTGCTGTAACCCAAGTGTAATCCAAACTGTTATTAAGTCTGGGGAAAACTATTTTTACACAATGCGATGTAGTTTTCCATCTGATTTTCTCTTAATAATGAAACCCTTAATTTAAAAACTGCATGACGTGTCTTTTCATAATATTTAAAATGGTTCAATTATCTGAAACTTTAAAGAGTGACAAACATGCAAAAAATAAAAAAGAAATCAGTAAGGGACAAACACTTTTCCACACCACTGTATAATTTTTGGCAATACCCTAATATACACTGCATAAGTTATAATCATAGATTTAAGTAATATTAAGTAAATAGTATGCATCATGAAAAAATAAATATTCCTATTGTAAATATATCTATTGTTTTGTTGTACATGTGTTAGTTTAAAATTACCTGTGTATCTAGGCCTAGTAAAATAATCATGATGAAGAAACAAACAGCCCACAACTGAGGGAAGGGCATCATAGCTACAGCCTGGGGATAAGCAATGAATGCTAGTCCGGGACCTGATACAGAAAAAGTGTGATATGTTTCAGTTCATACTTTTAGATGTCTTATAATATGTTCTGTGTTTTTATGAAATGTTGGAGTACCTGACTCTGCTACCTCTTCAATGGGGACACCCTGTTCCTGGGCCATGAAGCCCAAGACTGTGAACACAGCAAAACCAGCCACAAAACTGGTGACACTGTTAAGAAGGCAAAGCCCCAAGCAGTCCCTGATGCACACACACACACACACACACACACACACACACACACACACACACACACACACACACACACACACACACACACACACACACACTCATTTAAATGTCATTTTTTTGGTAATCTAATTGTATTGAAAGCACTAGTACTAACCTGTAACAGTTGTTGTGGTATTTATTGTAGCTGGCTAAAACGGTGATACTGCCGACAGACACGCTGTAGGAAAATAAGATCTGAGTTCCGGCCTCCAACCAAACCTGCATACACAAAACCTTAGTTTTTAGCATACACAAATAAGATATTTGGATGACATCTAAGACCCTTCATTGATGGCAACAATTCATCGAAATCCAAACTAAAAAAAAAAAAGTTTAAAGTTTTAAAAAAACTTAAAATAAATTTATTTAGTTCTCTGTAGCACGCCATTTGGAAATATCAAGTGCACAAGGAGTCTAACAACACCCAGTGCTCCACACAGAGATCTGATCATCATCCAGTCTGTCTGTAATGACATAAAGAAACAGAACAAACTGAGACAGACTAAATCTAGAACGTTTGTAACATCTATAACACAGGTGACAAACTCAGTTCCTGAAGGGCCGCAGCTCTGTACAGTTTAGTTCCAACCCTATTTACACACACCTGATCAAAATAATTTAGTCCTTCAGTCTTGTTTAAATCCTACAGGTAAGTGTGTTGAAGTAGGGTTCTAACTAAACTATGCAGAGCTGCGGCCCCCCAGTAATCGAGTTTGACACCCTGATCTAGAAGATGCTTTAAAAAACTTACCGGCAAAGCTACCTGAAAAACTATGGGCAATTGTTTTAAATGTAAAGTGTGGTCAAACCAAATGTTCATTTGATTTAATTAATATAAGTTAATTAATATTTTCCCAGCACTGGATGGGCATCCACTGCGTAAAACATATTCCACCTGATGAATAAAGGGACTAAGATGAAGAAAAATGAATGATAAAATGAACAAGTTAATTCATAAATAAAATGTATTTATGCATTATTTTTGAGAGCATCCACATTTTACAGCATTTTTACACAAGTGCCTAAAACTTTGAACAGTACTGTGGCTTTACAGGTAGATTTTTTTATTATATAAAGTGAAGTTTTTTTTGAAGCACTAGTCTTGGAGATTTGTATGATTACAGTTAACCACTAATGTCATATGGAATGGTTTCGATAATAGTTTTGGTTTCTTTTCTGCGCTTTGTCTAGGGACCATTGCTGTCTATGGAGTATCAGGGAGATATCAAATTTTAGGCCAACCTTATATACAGTGGCCTTAACTAATATGTACTTACATAGGAAATAATAGTTTGTTACAATGTATTTATTGTGTAAATACATGTATTTACTGTGTACTTATGCTTGATTAAATACCTGTATGTAGTTACATCTGTAGTTAACTTTTGTAATTGCATTTGTAAATACACTGTTGACCATCCCTTACACCTTAACCCACCCTTAAACCTAACCATGCCACCAAACCTGTTCATAACCCAACCTCTATCCCAACTCAAAAGCACCACAAGTGTTCTCAAATACATTATTAACACAGTAAGTACATTGTATTTATTTTTTGATGTAAGTACATAGTAGTTAGGGCCACTTAATATAAAGTGGGACCCAAATTTTAATTAATATGTCTTAATTTGTGTTCTAAAGACGAGAGAAGGTCTCAGTAGATTGGAACAACATGAGGGTGAGTAATAAATAACAGAATTTAAATTTTTGGGTGAACTAACCCTGTAATAGAGCTAGAAAATATATTCAATTACGTTGTGTTTTTAACAAAAACAATGCAGTTAATAGTCAGGTCGATAAATATTGGGACATCGACACAATTCTAAAATGTTTGGCTCTATACACTAACACAATGGATTTGAAATTAAATAATAATATGTGCATTAACTGCAGACTGCAAGCTTTAATTTGAGGGTTTTGGATTTACATCCAAATCAGATAAACGCTGTAGGAATTACAACAGTTTGCACATGTGCCTCCCCCTTGTTAAGGGGCCAAAATAATGGGACAACTGACTTTTCAGCTGTTCCAACACAATCTCACAACAATTCGTGACTTTTTGATTTAGTGGCTTATTCGTATTAATTCGTATGATCTAATTCGTAAAATTTAGTACGATTTGCTCATCACCCAATGACGGTTGGGGTTAGGGGTGGGGTTGGGTGCCACGCCTCCTTTTTAAAATCTTACATTTTCGTATGACTGAACTCGTCTGAATTTGTACGAGTCAGCCACTTAACTGACAAAACGTAAAATACTTACGTTTCCTCGTGAGATCAGGCTGGCTGTTCCATGGTCAGGTGTGCGTTTTCCTTCATTATCCAAATTACAATGAGCAGATAAAAGCTCCAGAGTTCATTTCAAGTATGCTATTTGCATTTAGAATCTGTTGCTGTCAACTCTCAAGATAAGATCCAAAGAGCTATCACTATCAGTCAAGCCAGCCATCATTAGGCTGAAAAATAAAACAACCCTTCAGACCTGGAACAGCATTCTATGGACAGTTGAGACTAAGATCAGCTTGTACCAGAGTGATGAGAAGAGAGGAGTACGGAGAAGGAAAATAACTGCTCATGATCCTAAGCAGTGAAGCATGGTGGTGGTAATGTCATGGCGTGGGCATGTATGGCTGCCAACGGAACTGGTTCTCTTGTATTTATTGATGATGTGACTGCTGACAAAAGCAGCAGAATGAATTCTGAAGTGTTTCAGGCAATATTTTCTGCTCATATTAAGCCAAATGCTTCAGAACTCATTGGATGGCTCTTCACAGAGCAGATGGACCCAATGCATACTGCAAAAGCAGCCAAAGGGTTTTTGAAGAGAAAGAAATGAAATGCTATGCAATGGCTAACTCAATCCCCTAACCTTAATCCGATTGAACATGCATTTCACTTGCTAAAGACAAAAAATAAAGGAAAAATGCCCCAAAAACAAGCTGGATCTGATGATAGTTGCATGAGAGGCCTGGTAGAGCATCACGAGGGGATGAAACTCAGCGTCTGGTGATGTCTGTGTATTTCAGACTTCAGGCTGCAATCGACTGCAAAGGATTTCCAACCAAGTATTAAAACGTGAAAGTTTGATTTATGATAATTATTCTGTCCCATTACTTTTGGTCCCTTAACAAGTGGGAGGCACATATGCAAACTGTTGTCATTCCTACACCATTCACCTGATTTAGATTTAAATACTCTCAAATTCATGACAGTTTGCCGTTAAAGCACGTCTTGTTTGTTTAATTTCAAATCTATTATGTTGGTGTATAAAGCCAACAATATTAGAATTGTCTCAATACCCCAATATTTATAGACCTGACTGTAGCAGTATACTGTATTAGTACATTAAAATATGACACAGTCAGTGTCTTGTTATGTGGAGTTACCTGTGGATCAGCAAGACGGGCCGGTTCAGGGTACAGATAAAACACAACCCCCTGAAGAGCTCCAGGAAGAGTCAACCCACGAATCAACAACACAAGCAGCATCACGTAAGGAAATGTAGCTGTGAAATACACCACCTACAGGCTCAAAATAAAAAAAAAATCTGTTAATGCCATGGCAAAAACAAAAGCGTTATAACTATATCAAGGTTTTCAGTTGTTCTTCTGCCACATAGCTGAAATGTATTATACATTATACATATTTTTTTCATCAGTAAAAATAGCAATAATAAGATTTTAAATACTAATAGACACATGTAAAGCAACATTCTTGCACACCTTGCCTGTAGATTTGACTCCTTTCCAGACACAGAAATAACATATGATCCACATTGCAATGAGACACAGAAGTATCTCCCAGTTGATCTTACCAATGTCCTCAATACCCCCAGAGAGAGACAGAACTCTGCGTCTGTGATGACACATATAAAAAAGCAGCTTTTTAAAATTTAATATGTATAGAATAATCATTTAAATTTTATTTCATTGATTTATTTATATGAAGTTTGCAAAGGCAAAATGTTATTGCAAAAAAAAAACAAAAAAACAATGTCTTATTTATTCACTCCCAGAACTCAGTAGCCGCCGGCGTTGAATTTATCAGAGATGTCCGGTTGATGGTCAGATTCTTTGTGACAAGATTTATGCAGTCATCTAAAACAGAAAAAAATGGATTTTATTTATTTGTTTTAGAAGCTAGCACTTGTTCTTTATGAATTTATTAAGGTATAATGTTAAGGCTTTACTGCACACGTTATGATGGATCTTTATATTAAAAAAGACTGTTTTTCTTAGAATGGCATTACTTGAAGTGCTGTAAAAAGTTTAGGGAATTTTTTTAAGGTACTTTATGATATGTTTCCATATGGCAACAATGTTCAATAGTGAATGTAATTGAGAATTTTCTATTTTATAACTTTCCTTATAATTAATAATTTTGTTAAAACCCATCTCATCCTTACTTTTATCTGCAGAAAGAGCCAGTCTTTTTCTTCTTGCACCAAACAAAGAAGAAGATGATGGTCCTGACTATTAGACTGTTCCCTGTATTTATATCTAATCAAAACTATTGCCATTAAAATTTTATTTTATTCATAATGCAAATTCTATTAACATATGACTATTCAACATTATATTACTAGCATTCATGATGTTATTGCTACAGCTTAAAAGATCACAGCTGACCTTGCTAGCTAGCTAACCTATCGCAATATTGCACAGTCTTGCCATTTGGCAACACATGCATTTGATCCATTTACAGAAAACGAATATGATAAAAAACTTTTTTGAGTTGTGAATATGTCATCATAACTTACTAGAGCTGACGTTTCAGATTTTTTTGTGAATCTGACATGAGTAGGTCTTTTGTTTGTATTGATGTTTTCATTTGCATTTGGCAACTACTTACAATGAATGTTAGTTTGTCAGAAAACACTGCATGTCATGTAACTTAACCAAAGCACATCATTGGCTAAACTAAGGTCTCTCCAACAACAACAACAACAACAAAAATTGAACGCTGGTCTTAAAGGAAATGAACATAAATGTCATGTTGCCATATGGGAACACCATGCAGTAGAGAGTTAATGTAATAATATTACTGTATCATCATTAATGTAGGATGATCACCTGTGTTCCAGGTGTTGTCACAGGTGGCCCATGGCAATTGGGATTTAAATGAGAAAATTAGGTAGAAAAGCGCCCAGGCCAGAATGACGATATAATACATGCAGCTGTACAGCAGAATCAGTTGTCCTCCATATCCAATGCCTGACAAGAGAAACAGACTGTCTGAAATCCACAATTAAAAGATTATTCACCCACTACAGTAAAATGCAAATGTGGTTTTGACGATGCACTTTGAGTTTTGTCTTTTTCCACTGATTATTTATTAAACCAAATGGTTTCTTCCTAGAGTTTTTATTTAGTGAAGCTTTGCTAAATCATTATATACGTTTTCAAAAGGAAAATAGCTAATAAAATAAATGCCACCACAACATGCATATTCAACCGCACGGCATGTTAAAAGATTAACAAACAGAATTTTAAAAATTAAATATTTCAAAACGAGACATTTCTACAACTCTGACCCTCAGCAAGTGGACAGAGGCGATGCCAGCACGTAACACCCCCTTGCTGAGTGTACTGTCCCATAGCCATCTCCAGCAAAAACAGAGGCACCCCACAGGTCACCACAAACACCAGGTAGGGTATTAGGAATGCCCCTGAGAACACACCAGTTCAACAATGCAATGATTAAAGTGGCACTTATGAGTGCATCAGTGTATAGATCTTAAACTGCTGCTTGTCATACCTCCTCCATACTTGTAGCAGAGGTAAGGAAACCTCCACACATTACCCAGTCCAACCACATTTCCTGCCACAGCCAGAAGAAACTCCATTTTACTGCCCCAGTAGCCTCGTTCCTCTATTTCTCCATTTATTCTTTCCATGCTGTGTTGTAATTTTCACACGCTTCCAGGCTGTGCAAATTCTGTAATGGCGGTTGTTGTACTACATTCAAGTTAGTCAGAAGTAAGTACAAATGTCTCAAGCTATTTATTGACAGATCCTCCCCAGCTAACTAGTTTTTTTTAAAGAAAGGACTGTGTAAATAATCTTTTTTGGTCTGATAAAAAATATATATTATTTTATCTAATGAGCAGGTTAAACTTGAAAAAACAAAAACAAAAGTGACTGATATAATTGATCGCTCAATATGTAAAATATAGCATCCATTTCATGAAGACATTAATGCAGCAAGCAAAGGCATAATTTACAGTTGCTGAGAAAGCTTAACACAGTGTAACTTAAGAAAACACGTGAAATCAGGAAAGAAAAAAATACTCCAGCAAATTAAGAAGACATCATTGGTTTGATAGCAAACGCACTGCAGTATCACAACATAAAAACATGCTGCAAATACTTACAACACATACACATTTTAATCTTAATCAGAAAAAAACCAAGTTGATTGAAGTTTGCACTTTGTATTATGTAGTCCTTTCCATGATTAGCATACTAAAAGGCCTGAATATTAAAAAAATTATAATAAATGAATTTAATTTGAATGACACTTGAATATATGGAGTGAAAGTCTGAATATATTGAATGAACCTTGAATATATTGAATGAAAGTTTATTCGTTTCATTCAATATATTCAGATTTTTATTCCATATATTCAGACTTTCATTCAATATATTTAGACTTTTATTCAGTATATTCAGACTTTCATTTAAAATGTTCAGACTTTCATTCAATACATTCAAATTTCATTCAAAATATTTAGACTTTCATTCAAAATATTCAGACTTTCATTCAATATATTCAAGTTTCATTCAATATATAATATATTCAAGTTTCATTCAATATATTCAGACTTTCATTTAATATATTCAGACTTTCATTCCATATATTTAGATATTAAGTTTATATATTCAGACTTTAATCCATATATTCAGACTTTCATTCAATATATTCAAGTTCCATTCAATATATTCAGACTTTCATTCCGTTCCATATACTCAAAATTTCCTGAATGGCATTTCATAATATGTATGTATGTATGTATGTATGTATGTATGTATGTATGTATATATATATATATATATATATATATATATATATATATATATATATATATATATATATATATATATATATATATGTGTGTGTGTGTGTGTATATACAGTTGAAGTCAGGATTATTAGCCCCCATGAATTATTATTAGCCCCTTGTTTATTTCTTTCCCCAAATTCTGTTTAACGGAGGGATTTCTAAACATAATAGTTTTATTAACTCATTTCTAATAACTGGTTTATTTTATCTTGATGACAGTAAATAATGTTTTACTAGATATTTTTCAAGACACTTCTATACAGCTTAAAGGGACATTTACAAGCTTTACTAGGTTAATTGGGTTGACTAGGCAAGTTAGAGTAATTAGGCAAGTTATTGTATAACGATGGTTTGTTCTATAGTCTATTGAAGGAAAATATAGCTTAAAGAGGCTAACAATTTTGACCCTAAAATGTTTTTTTAAAAAATAAAACAACTTTTACTCTAGCTGAAATAAAACAAATGAGACTTTCTCCAGAAAAAAAAAATATTATCATACTGTGAATTTCTTCGCTCTGTTAAACATCATTTGGGAAATATTTTTGAAAAATTAAAGGGGGGCTAATAACTCTGACTTCAACTGTATACACTGTAAAAACCAAAAAGTTAAGGTAACTCAAACCATTTGAGGAAACCAATTGCAACAAACCATTTAGGTTCAAAAAATAATCCAAGTGAGCACCGTGCACTTAATCCATTTGAGTAAAAGAAGCAATTTGAGCACAGTAATCAAATCAAATCAAACTATATAATCAATCATATATAATCAAATCAAACTATATATATATATATATATATATATATATATATATATATATATACATATACATATAAGAGGTAAACAATTGAATTTCGATTCAATTTTGAGTATGCTGTTTTGCATTGGAAACTATTGTGACCAAGTATAAACCAAAACAAACAACATAATATCAAAGGAAGCATGTTTGTTTTCTAGGGAGGTCTGGTTGGCAAAAAAAGATGAATCAAAAGATAAAACCTTTTACAGACAGATTTTATTTATTTTTTTAATATGGCACAAAACCCAATCCATATCACAACTAAAACAGTGGGTACATATGAAATCACATTTAAAAAGACAAACAATATAGAGTGCACTGTGATGAGCAGATTACAGAAAATACTTGAGGAATCCAACATTCAATATCAAATTTCAACAAAGCGTTCAACATCTAGACGAGGACTACATTATTCACAAATGCTTAACTTTTTAAAGAATTATTTTTAGGACTGTCCGTTTTTGTCAAATCTTGAAAAGTGTTTGGTTCAACTAATAACAGCTTTGATCCTATCAACCTGTAAACTGACGTCAGATTGTACTTGATTTAAATATTGCTTTATTTAAATGTAACCAAGTATGACTTTTTGGTTAATTTAGTCAGACATTAAGTACCAAATTTAAAGTCTGGGACAAACTGGTAAGCGATTCAGTGTTTAATTCAGTAATGCTTAATTTTTTTTAATTATTATTATTCTGGCAAATCTGGTGAGCAATTCAGTATTTAACTCAGCAATACTTAGAATATTTTTTGATTCACTAGAAATGTGTAACTCATAACAGCCAATTTTGTGGCTCCACAGTTTTTAAATCACTAAAAAGAACGTCTTTAAGGGTCATTCCCAATCTATTTTTTTCACCTCATTATTATCACGAATATGTAGATACTTTTGCCACCAAAACCAATCTTTCTGTTTTTGGAACAAAATGTAAACAATTTTTAGGAAACCTTTGGTATTAACTACCCTTGAATTCAATTTTGGTGGCATCTGAGGCCACACAGTTACATAGTAAATAACGAATCAAGGAAATTTCATCAACAATTTTCAAAACAAACGCAAGTGCAGGTTGCCAGATTAATGACTAACAAGAGCGAGTGTTATATATAAAAGCAACGGTATGCGGCAAAAGGAACATTTTCCATATTAAAAGAGTTTTTGTTCTAACACCTGGATATTGATAGAATAAATCATATATCAGAATATAGCACCTCAGGTACACCTCATGTGCTTTATTCAGTGTTAAATGCTAACAATGGAAGTTTGAATGCCATTTCACCTGACATTTGTTCCCATACTACTGAAAGCAGCAGATAGCTCACCTCAGATCTTACAAATAAAATAAACCGTTTGAAATTACACTTTAGAACTGTGCTTCGGTGCAAACCAACACATATCAGTGATTTAGCATGTACATTTAATAATGTTAAAGAGGTTAAATATGTTTTAATTAGATTATAAACCTTACCATTTCCTGAGTAAGTGCATATTTTGTGCTTCTGAATGGCTGTATTTAAATTTCTGTGGTGTTTTTTTCTGGTATAAACAACCAAGTTGCTTATCACTGCAAATATCGCTGCGTAGCTTGTTGTGACCTGCATACCTAATGTTTACATACATACTATTTGCTAATTAATAACCTCATGTGGAACTCTGAATCTGCATCTCATTATAGATTCTGTTACTGTCCACCGGAGGTCGCATTTCTTTCATGGACGCATCCTTTGAGAGCCTTCCTGACTGAATGAATGACATATGCTGTTTTCAATGAAAACAACCCTGGGTGCTGAAATATGATTGCTGACATCCCAAGATAGAAATGATTTGCGGGAGTTAGCCAGGGAAGCAACATAACTGAAGAGCGAGTGGGTTGGAGGGTGAGATGTGAGACACTTGGGATGTCTGTAATTGGCTTAACCTGCCAGTGGGACCAAACCAAAACAAAGACAGACGCTCCAGCACATTACAGACATTTTCAAAGCAGAAAAACTGACTTCAGCATTGCTTTACAGATAAACAAGAATGTTTACTTGGCATATTTCTTAAATATTTGCAAACATATTATGGTATTTGTATGCTTTAGAAGAGTCAAAAACTTACATACAGCACTATTAATACTAAGTGTCCCAATAACATTGGTAAACATGAGGTAGATTCCCCACTGTGTGCCCTGTTGTTTTCTCGTAGTGCCCTCTGCTGACTAGCTTTGAGATGACAGCGTCTCATATTACCTGCTTTATCCAACAGTAATAGCTCTGCATGAGGGGCACAGCAGCTTGATGAATAATGCATTAATATGGGCTTCCCCTTTGTCCATTCACTGATGTTCGCTGGATGATCCCCATACATCAACTGAACACCTTCCAGCCTTTGTCCATGGTGTACTTCTGTTCCAACATGAGTATTGATTTCTGAGGAGTTCTTTTGTGGCTGTAGCAAAGGGAGATATACTCCACCTGTGGACTCTTCGTGAAGCTTTGGGAAGTGTTCTGTGTGTCTCTGTGTAGTCATTTCAGAGAGAATGAGCCTGCCTTCTCCTTGTGTCAGCTCTATGGATGCCAGTCCAGAGTGGCCTCTGTCTTTTGCTAGCAGTGAGACTTTCCAGTTGCCCTGAGAGCACAGAGACGGGCAAGAGGACTCTACATGCAGAGAGGAACATGCTGGAGGATTTTTATCAGGCTTCTGGAATTGTAACATGAATTGAGTTTTAGGTTATGTTCATATGCATTAATATGTAATTAATGGTCAACATCTAGTTGTAAAGGACCTCAGGTTGGTAATCAAACTCAGATTACAATTAATTATTTAGCAGATGCTTTGGTATTTCTTTATTTAGATGGTCGTGTTTAAACATTTTGTTGACTATAAGTTATGAAACTAATTCTCAGAGTTTAAGCAGACGGTCTGCTTAATATCTGCTGATAATAAGGTCTGGCCCTATCCAGTTTGGCGCACTAGGTAAGATTTCAGGTGGTGCCACTTCACATCGCAGTAAATTCCACTGCTGGTGTACATATAGTCATAAGAAACTAAATAGCTTTTTTAACGACTACTACAAGCTGGGAAAACGTCAGATAAATATGCCAATGCAATTAACGTTATTACACCTAATGCTGCTGAATAGATCTAATATTTACACATTTTCTTGAGGAAGGAGTGATGAGGTTACATTACTATTTTCCATAACATCTATGCCCTTCCATAACATTAGCTGACATTAAAACTAACAGAAGCACTATAGCTATTTATTGATTAGCAACAATGTTATGCCATACCTGTCAGCGTTGGGATGTAAAAAATATGGGACAACAAATAGCTTCAAATGATAGATAACATATCAAAGAGGGGTTGTGATTAGGCGATATTCTCATTATTTAATACTACTACTACTTATTAGGCTATGCACTATGCAGTTAGTTAATGTGGGTGTATTCTTTTATAAATCATGAATAGTGAAAGTTAGACTTTTTCAATGGGGAGTGGGGGGGGGGTTGTGATTAGGCTATATTATCATTATTTAATGCTACTACTACTACTTATTAGGCTTCACACTATGCTGTTAAATTAATGTGGGTGTATTCTTTTATAAGTCATAATACCAACTAGTTTCAAGAATAGTGAAAGTTAGACTTTTTTTTTCTTTCCCCATGGCGGACTTTTTTTTTTCTTTCTGCCGGCCCTGCTGATACTACACCATTCAGATATTAAACTGACTATGAGAAACTTTGAAAGTACATTCCAACTAACATCAACTCTAATCTTGCAGTCTATTAATACTCTAATGAGAATTAGTTGATACGTAGTTGCAATATAACATATATTCAACAAAAGGTTTTAAAGGTCAATAAGATAGGTTGATATGAAAGTGTCTGGTGCATATGGAGAGTTAATTTATACTTTTTCAAAACTGATTAATATGGACAATGACAAATGAAATGTGTATTCCAAATTTGTAAAATGTGACTTGATGGGGTGTTGGCACATGTCATTAATATGAATGAGAATTTATGCATGCATATGACAACTGTCGTTAATTGTCATTCACTCAGTTATGCCATTTTAAATGCAAAAACTATTTTAAACTGTTTGGGAGGTATAATCTAATACCTCATAGCCTGCCCGTGGCTTTGTCATGACAACTTGACATTTCCAAAACGGCATAATACATTTACAAACACAATCTTGTCAAAAATCTAGCATAAACATTATTGTCATGAGGTTATTATAATTGGGTCATGAATGTAATGACAGTGTTGTTAATATTTTTTTTTTTAGCTCAACTACAGTTTACCAAATTGAGTTTTGTTTTGTATTGACAATTGCACTGATATATTTTAATGACAAATACATTTTGTTCCACAAGTTATCAGGAATAAAATAATGGCAAAATGACCTCATGATGATCTTGGTTTAAGACAGATTTATGACAAAGACAAAAACAGGTTTGGATGTCTTTGGTCATGTCAAGTTATCGTAACAAAAACATTTTAATGTCACGTTGGCATTTGAAATTGTAGAACTGAGCTAGTAAAACTTATCAGTTGCCATAGGCATGCATAGATGTGATGACAGTCTTATAAACACCATACTCAAATAAAATGTTACCATTAAAATAACCAGTAAGCAGGTTATTAAAGACTGTAACCCCCACCCATTAGATATTACTTGTGCTGCATTAACAAAATAAAAGTGTACCTTATTGTAAAGACATATCTTCGCATAATTTACCATTCTGTATATTCTTACCTCTGGTATCACTGTTAGGTGTACCACTGCATAATTTGAGTCTGGTGAATCTTCTGCCTGAACAGTCAAGGTCAATGTGATGGCCTTCCCTGTCTGAGTAGTATGAGGGGTCCTTATCTCAACCTCTCTCTTCACAGAGCCCCTTGTACCAATAAACAGCCTGAAAATTGAATAACTGTCATGGACACATCTGTATAATATAAAAGTATACCATGTAAAGTTCATATAAGCTGTGGTTTTGATCATGTTCATGGATGAGCTTAAGTATTAAAAACGTATTATCATGTCATTTCATCAATGAAAGCAGCAAAGCTGTTATTATGCCACAGTCCTACACTTCAGTTCTTCGGGTCATTGTCACCAGGGGAGGAAGCAGGGCTTTGTTATTGTATTAAATACATATTAAGGTTCTGTTACAGTCTAAGGCCCTGTCCACATGAACATAGGTATTTTCAAAAGCACTTGTCCACACGAAAACATTGTCAGAGGACTGAAACGTCCTGAAAACTTTTTCCAAATCTCTGGGTATGGTGTGGACTTCAGCTTGGGTGCTGTTTTCTCCTTTCTGATTGGCCTACATGGCTGGGTTTACACCAAACATGGAAGATGGAAATGAGGCAAATTCCGCACATTCGCAGCAAACGCATTGCATGTTTCATGTCAATCGTGCATGGGACGGAAATCGGCTCGTTCTCTTGAATGCACTCATTTGTATGCAATTAACTTGTGCAAAAACTTCCCAAAAGTGTCATTATTGCCACCTGTTGGTTCGGCATACCCTTAACATGCATTCCAGTACCTTTTTGCATTTTCATTTGGATGGAGATTTTTTAAAAACAAAAGCAGGGAAAACCCTGTTTATAAAATACCTGCGTACACGTAATGTAATAAACATACATTATATTACCTTTGGTGTTTCCCTGTTACTATAAAACCGTAGGACACAGACAATGTCAGATTAAAAGCAACAGTTGTTTTTTTTTTGGGTCTGGATTAGAATTTTCTTCAAAACATTAGTGATAATGATGAAAGTACGTGTCTGTAAGTCAGCAAAATATACTGTATAACAGAGTTCTAGTGGTATTTGGATATTTTAATGAACAAAATCGTATCTATTGTGTCTTCAACTGAACTAACAAACATTATTGTAGGTCTGTTACATTAGTAGAACTTGTGATGTAATTGTGATATTATAACAGGCTATTTTTTTTTTACCGTTCTCACCTTTGTTGGTCTTGGTGGGTGAGAAATCCATGGTCATCTTCTGCTAAAAGACTGAAGTGACGGTTTGGACCATGATTAAATATCTCAAACAGCACATTCGAGCTGTGACCTGGGAGAAGTTGTGGAGCAGAGTGCACCTGGGGATGAAAGTTACGTTCAGTTTAGAAGGTTTGTTTTATTATTTACATTTTTTTTGTCACGTCATTATTCTACATTTACTGTAATTCTACTCATACTTGTATCTGTACATGTGTTGGCTGAATCATCTCAGTGGAAACTCTTTCAAGCAGATTCCCCTTTCTGTCTTTTCCAGACAGACGCAAGCTAAATGGCATCCTGGGAACTGAATCCATGTAACCCACTAGCTCCTCTCCAGACCAACGAGAAGATGAGGAGTTTAACAACACTTTCTGCAGGCTCTCCCCTTTTGGCCCTAATAGGGTCACGTGACTGAATGAGGCCTCCTCATTGGGTGAGAGGCCTGTCACTGCAACAATCAAAAATGCTGGAATTCCTGTGAAAATAAGTGATTGTAGGAATTATTCAGTGTATACATCCCGAAAACAGTGATAACATGAACAAAATGAATTTGGATTTACTGCAGGTGGCTAAAAGAACAATGAGAAGACCTGCTATGGGGCTGCCCTCAATTTTCCTCAATCCTGGATGCGTCTCATTGGCTTCTCGTGCAAAATAGTACAGAAAGTCCAAACTGCTGTCACCTAGGGGGAATATCAGTTAATGCAAACTTTGGAAAAAAATAACATTTGAAATACAAAATATGATAAGACTGGGATTTTCTCTCAGAATCTTTACCTAAGGCATTAAATGTAATTGGTCCAATGGCTTTGACTGTAAGCTGCCATACACCTATGTCTAGTGGAGGCAGCAGGCTTATTCGATATAGACCTTTAGATGAGTCCATTACTGCCAGAGGTCCATCTTTACCAAAAAGAGATTGGTGAACACCTGAGGGGGAAAAAAAGATAATATGGGTCATCCAAAGTAATGAGGATCTCTAAGGTAAGCGATTCACTATGGAGAGACTGGAAAGAGATAGAAGGTGAAGTTCAACAACTGTTCAAAAACAGACAAAATTCTCCTCACGTCATCGACACTAATATAACATGTTCACCTGAGGAAAGAAAATGTTACTGGTGGTCTAGCTTGTGCGGAAAAAACTGCAGTGGTGCAGTGGGTAGCACGTTCGCCTCACAGCAAGAAGGTCGCTGGGTTGCTGGTTCGATCGTTGGCTCAGTTGGTGTTTCTGTGTGGAGTTTGCATGTTCTCCCTGCGTTCGCGTGGGTATCCTACGGGTGCTCCAATTTCCCCAACAGTACAAAGACATGCGGTACAGGTGAATTGGGTAGGCTAAATTGTCCGTAGTGTATGAGTGTTTGTGTGGATGTTTCCTAGAGATGGGTTGCGGCTGGAAGGGCATCCGCTGCGTAAAAACTTGCTGGATAAGTTGGCGGTTCATTCCGCTGTGGCGACCCCGGATTAATAAAGGGACTAAGCCGACAAGAAAATGAATGAATGAATGAATGAATAGTATTGCAACAGACAACATTACTGTCTTATATAAATGTTATTGAAGTGCCTAAATAAGATGATGTTTTTATGAAGAGTCACTAGCTACAGCGCATCCGGAAAGTATTCATAGCGCTTCACTTTTTCCATATTTTTTATATTACAGCCTTATTCCAAAATTGATTAAATTAATTTATTTTCTCAAAATTCTACACACAATACCCCATAATGACAATGTGAACAAAGATTTTTTTGAAATTGTTGCAAATTTATTAAAAATAAAACCCCTGAAAAATCACATGTACATAAGTATTCACAGCCTTTGCCTAATACTTTGTTTATGCACCTTTGGCAGCAATTACAGCCTCAAGTCTTTTTGAATATGATGCCACAAGCTTGGCACACCTGTCTTTGGGAATTTTTGCCCCTTCCTCTTTGCAGTACCTCTCAGGCTATATCAGGTCGGATGGGAAGCGACGGTGTACAGCCGTTTTCAGAAATCTCCAGATATGTTCAATAGGATTTAGGTCTGGGCTCTAGCTGAGCCAGTTAAGGACATTCACCGAGTTGTTGTAAAGCCACTCCATTGATATTTTGGCAGTTTACTTTGGGTCATTGTCCTGCTGGAAGACGAACCGTCACCCCAGTCTGAGGTCAAGAGCACTCTGATGCAGGATTTCATTTAGGATGTTTCTGTACATTGCTGCATTCATCTTTCCCTCTATCCTGACCAGTCTTCCAGTTTCTGCTGCTGAAAAACATCCCCACAAAATGACGCTGTCACCACCATGCTTCACTGTAGGGATTGTATTAGCGTGGTGATAAGCGGTGCCTGGCATCACTCCAAAGAGTTCAATTTTAGCCTCAGCAGACCAGAGAATTTAGTTTCTTATGGTCTGAGAGTCCTTCAGATGCCTTTAGGCAAATTCCAGGCGGGAGTGGCTACTGTCTGGAAACTCTACCGTACAGTCCTGATTGGTGGATTGCTGCACAGATGGTTGTCCTTCTGTAAGGTTCTCCTCTCTCCAAAGAGGAACGCTGGAGTTCAGACAGAGTGACCATCTAGTTCTTGATCACCTCCCGTACTGGGAGCCCTTCTCCCCTGATCACTTAGCTTAGATGGCCGGCCAGCTCTAGGAAGAGCCCTGGTGGTTCCAAACATCTTCCACTTACGCATTATGGAGGTCACTGTGCTCTTTGGAACTTTCAGAGCAGCAGAAAATTTTTGTAAACTTCCCCAGCCTTGTACCTGCCTTGAGGTTTACAGACAATTCCTTTGTCTTCATGCTTGGTTTGTGCTTTTACATGCACTGTCAACCCTGGGACCTTATATAGACAGGTGTATGCCTTTTCAAATCATGTCCAACAAGTAAACCCCAATTAAGCTGCTGAAACATTTCAAGAATAATCAGTGGAAACAGAATGTCCCTGAGCTGAGGTGAATACTTATGGACATGTTAATAAATTTGCAAATTTGTTTTTGTAAATTTGCTTTTTTCACTTTGTCATTCTGGGGTATTGCGTGTAGAATTTTGAGGAAATAAATTAATTGAATCCAATTTGGAATGAGGCTGTAACCTAAAAAATGTGGAAAAAATAAAGAGCTATGAATACTTTCCGGATGCACTGTATGTTTCCATCAAAAGTTTAGATTTATGCACAAAATTAAAATATTGCAAAACATTTAACAATAGAGCCCAATTTCCATCCAAAGGGTCCTCTTTGGGAGCGCAGCTGCTCAAGATAATAATAATGAATTGCTTTGATGATAGACTTTTGGTAAGGGGTTTTAGAATGACCTAAACAACATTTCACATAGTCTGCTGGTTTGACCAGTAATGCCATGCCCCAGCACTTGTTTTTGTTTTCACATGATCTTCACAGATTTATCTAAGCTATCACAAAGTCACATTGCTTTTTTGATGCACATACTGGAATATTCTGTAAATGTGGTATGTCTGAGTGTTATGTCTATCTTTATATATGTATAATAGTCTATGCACAGTTTTTGTTTTTGAATAGAACTCTAAAATCTAGACTTTACTAGAACTTCTATGTTAAGCAGCTTTGACACAATCTACTTTGTAAAAGCGCTATACAAATACATTTGAATTAAACTGAATAAAAGTTTATTTGCATCTTGGCATTACAATTTTTTATGCAATATTCCAGAATGTGCATAAAATAGGAGGGTATTTGATTTTTAGTTAAAAAGGTAAGTGATGGCTATCATGTTACTTGGAATAGTGTGTGTACCTGATGGGCTGACAAGCTCACAATCTGTGAGCTGACCAGTAATGTGCAGCATCACTTTTGTCACAGCTCTGTCCACTCTGAAGGAGTTTGATGAATTCGATTCAACATTTGTGTGAAACAGTGTCACCTATATAGAGAAAGAAACACAATGCATGACAGAACTTAAATATAGATAGATGCTGCCTTTTGGTCCTTTAGTTTCAATACTGTTGACTGTACCTTGCTGGAGGTGGTGGTATCTTCAACAATGGCGGACGCTTTATGAATGTCTTTGTTTGAAGTGAAGATGGTCATTCCTCCAGACAAAGATGAAAGAGAAGAATACAGAGAGAATCTACCAGGAGATAAAGTTTCTCTTCTTTTCATTTTTCTCATCCCCTTTCCTCCTCCTCCAATGTTGGGATCTTCAGTGAGCAAGAAGTTCACCTAGTAATTGTAGCCTACTCAGATTAGATGCATGAAAACAGTGTTCCTAAACCTAAAGCTGCCCAACCTTATAAATAGTAGACTATTAAAGTAAAATATGCAGCACATGTCTCTTTTCACTCAGGAAAGTTTGGGACTTACATGATGTTAAATTAACAACACATTTAATAGGAATAAAATACAGAAAAAGGCCTACTTTATCAATGTAACTAGACTCAACTATTTCTATCAAAATGTTTAGTGAATTTATAATTGCTTTTTTAAAATACTTTGCAGGTGGTGATTTACCTTTGTTTGCTTCTCCAGTATAAGAGCCTGGACTGCACTTTGCAGATGACGATCTTTAGGAGAAGCATCGGTGAACACAAATATCTCTGACAACGGTGGGCTATGGGTTAGAGCCAACTGACACACAAACACATTCATACACATGAAAAACACACAGAAAAGCTCTTTAAATGCACAGTATTGCCATTTGTAGAAATCAACTGATTTTATTTAAATAAACCTTGGCATTTTATCTATACAGGGTGGGCCATTTATATGGATACACCTTAATAAACTTATTGGGAATATTACAAGAAAAAAACATTGGTGTGCTTGGTTTTAACAAAACTTTTTTTTTCATGAGTTATTTACAAGCCCCCTCACATATACTAATGTGCCACAAAGAGGATGTTAATATCAACAACCATTCCCATTTTATTAAAGTGTATCCATATAAACGACCCACCCTGTAGATTATACAAGTAAATATTTGAAGAGTTCAGATGCAAACACCTATAAGTGCTGTCTGAAATTTCCATCTAAAATGAATCTTTTTCTCACCCTACTTTTCATGTTGCGTTATTTTACTTTAAAAACCATGAAAAGAACTTATTCTTTGCCATAAAAGTGATATTAGGGAACCTACACACAGGAGCCTAATAAAAATGCTAATTTTGGAAGAAAATTTCAGATGATATTTAGAGGTTTTTGCATCTGAACTCTTCATTTACACCCATATACAGTAGTGTATATTTGGCAGAATACTGTATAAGGTGGCACATAAAAATTACATTTAAGGTCAAAGCATAGATTCTGGAGAAGCCTAATCCTAATACTTTTAATCATTATTTTAAACATATATAAACTTCAGTCTTTGAGCTGTTCCTGCAATTTTTTTTAGCACAATTGGGCTACTTTTAATTACTTGCCACTATTTTTTTCCTCTGTAAGTTAAAAAGTTTGACATATTGCATCCATGATATTAATATGGATGTGTTGAAATATTTCACTCTGCCATTTTTATACCCAAATTGATGATGTAATGATATAAACTGTGATAGGATGATGAAACTAAATAACCATACTTTTGTGAGGTGCACAGGCTCTAGAGGTGAGAGAGTGTGTGGTGTGCTTATTTCCATTTCAATGTTAAGGACTTTACAGGATTGATGCTGAATAAAAAACTAATGAAGTATATGTAATTACAGAAGAAAGTCTGTCAATTTATTAACCTATTGGATGTTTGTTTGAGATTTTTAAAATATCTTTAATTTAAAATTAATTTCCACTAGAGTTGTTCTGCATTTGACCGCATTCATTGTGTTTTTAACTAGAGGCACATGGCAGTCATATGAGAGAAATAATTCTAAGGGTGCTGCCTAGATGATTGTGTAAGATGATTGTGTTATGATATTCTTCATAATTACTGATGTATAGTTATCTTGAAAGAAAACAACTGTGTATAATGTATACAGTAATGTAAAATATGTATTTTACGTATTGGTTTTTATATTATTGAGTTAGTTTTGATTGGCTATTGGGGTAGTTTTGTTTGGAAAATGTGGTAACCCACCCTGTGTTCTTGTGACAATTAATCCAAAATCCCTCCACCTCCCTGTCTATTCCTCCAATGTTATTACTGCAATGTTTCAATTTCATGATTTCATTCTAATTGTGCTTGACATTTTTAGGGAAATGTATATTTTTTTTTTTACTTAAAATGATTTACCAATTTACAAAGAAATACAAAGTAATGCTACTCATCCCAAAATTCTGATTAGTCGTTGACAAAGGTGGAGGATTCCTTTTAGTTATATCAGTAGTACATTTGTTAAAATAGATCTCAGATTAGTGGCAGCACGGTGGCGATGAGCGTAGCAAAATCCCCTTACAGCAAGAAGGCAGCTTGTTTGAGCCCCGGCTGGGTCAGTTGGCCTTTCTGTGTGGAGTTTGCATGTTCTCCCTGTGTTTGCGTGGGTTTGCTCCGGTTTTCCCCACAAGCCAAAGACATGCGGTACAGGTGAATTGAATAAAGTAAATTGGCCATGGTGTTTGTGAGTGTGTGGGTGTTTTCCCAGGGATGGGTTGCAGCTGGAAGGGCATCCACTGTGTAAAACATGTGCTGAATAAGTTGGTGGTTAATTCCGCTGTGGCGACCCACGATTAATAAAGGAGCTTAGCTGAAAAGAAAAGGAATGAATGAATAAATGATCTCAGATAAAAGATTTGTCTTACCTGAAGTGCAGAGAGACACATCTCTGGCTCATCCCCACCGCCAAGAGCTGTCAAATTCTCCAAATTTTGCATGAACCGATCAGGGTCATCTGTTTCCATCACCGGCCCAAAACCTGAGTTGTAATAAACTTCATCATCAAAGTGACTTAAGTACCTTTAAAACAGATTAGGGTTTTTTCAAAGGTGTGATGTGTTTGTATCAGGGCAGAAGATGGGTCTAACCAGGATCATGAAAAGGCACCAGAACGAATGTGCCAGGAAGACTAGTACGTCTGCTTTTTCCACGGGCTTGTATAATGGAGAAGGCTCTGAGACGGGCAGCTGTGATCTCTTCAAACATGCTACCAGTGGTGTCCATGACAAAAACCAATGCTGGGGGCTGCTGGACACTGAAGAGCCTGGAAACAGAAATGCAAAATGGAGAGCGACCAACCTTTAAACAAGCACTCAATATCAGCACACATGCAGACCCTTTCACTATAGGAAAGTTAAGGTGTGTGTCCATACTCGAAAGTGTTTATGCATTGTCATTGCAAATAATTGGGAAATAATTTAACTTACACTTAAAAACACTCTTAAAAGAAAATGCCACTGATTTAATTTATATTTGTTTTGTTAATTTGTTTGAGTAGTGTTTATAACCAAAATCTTTACTCTACACGACCTGACAAAAGTCCTGTTGCCATTCCAAGTTTTAGAAACAACAAATAATAATGTGACTTTTAGTTAGTAGAAGTGGCTTACATGAAAGACAAAGGCCTCTAGATTACGCTTATTTTACCAAAATAAAATTTAATCATGCCTCGATTTTTAATTATTTAATTAAGACAGTAAGGTTTGACTTTGCCTAGACAAAAGTCTTGTCACTTAACAGAAATAATGCAAGTTTAGAATATAAAGTCATGATGCAGTGGAAGAAGAATTAATAGTGTGTATGACCCCCGTGAGCTTGGAAGTCTGCATCCATACATCTTTGCATTTTGGAATGCCAAAGAAAGTGTTCTTGCAGGACTCCCAGAGTTTTTTTGGATTCATCTTCAATGTCTCCTCCTTTTTTATTCCAGACATACTCAATAATGTTCATTTCTGGTGACTGGGCTGGCCAATCCTGGAGCACATTGGCCTTTTTTGTCTTTTTAGGAACTTTGATGTGGAGGCTGAAGTATGAGAAGGAGCGCTATCCTGTGCTTTGTAATGTAATTGGCAGCACAGATGTCTTGATACCTTGCTGTTGATGTTGTCATCCACTCTGAGGATCTACACGCCCTCATACTGAATGTATCCCCAAATCCAGATTTTTTTTGCTTCACCAAACTAGACTAAACTTTTTGGTTTTAAATCTTGGGTCCATGCAGTTCTAATAGGTCTTCTGCAGTATTTGTGATGTTTGGGATGCAGTTCAACAGATGATTCATCGGAAAAATCTACCTTTAACCACTTTTCCAAATGATCAATTAGAAGTCAAGTTATTATATGTTGCTCTTACAACTGGGATCGACGACAAGACTTTTGTCAGGTAGTGTACTTGCACTATATTTTTTGGCAAGTAATGGTATTTTAACTGGAGTATGATTTTCCAAAACATGTAAAACTCGAAGTAAGAGACTAAGTGAATCAAAAGCTCGATTTTTATAAAAAATAACCAGCAATCTGTGAGTGTATGTGAATCACTCCCAGTGCTATGGACAGCAGAAGAGAAGGGCCAAACTGCATGCAGAAATACCAGGACATGCAGTCATTTTTCTTCAGACTGGTTAACTGTCAAATAAACAACACGTAGCTGTTGTAAAGCATCTTTTGTTCCCCAAGTCTTTGTTTCATGGCTCCAGTTTGCCTGGACAAGAGCATGTTCAGGCTCCACAATGTGAACCATTTCAGTGGAAAAGAGTTAATGGTGTCTAAAGAAATTTCAGTCTTGCCTCATATATCACTGTAAGCTGTATTTAACTTAAATGAAAGTGACCTCTGACCTGAGGAAGCTTTCTGGCCCCACCCTATGGCGGAGGTCTTGGAGGACTCTGAGGGTTGCTGTGGAAGCCAGATGAGCAGCTTCTTTATGGAGGAAGTGATGAGGGGAAAACAACGGAGATGTGCTGTCCTTGTTTATTCCTCCCTCAGCTCCCTGGTGACGACTACTGTCCAGAATCCCACCGTGGCTGCACTTGCCTTTAATAAACAATACACTGCTTTTTACTTTTCTTCTTAATAAATCAATAGAATGAATGAACATCGCAAGCAATTAACAATTAACATGAACAATTCGGCAGATGTAATACAAAAAGTAATAAGATACATATAACATATACACACACACACTTGTACAGCTATCTTTACAGGGACTTATCTTAGACCTAATGCTTTTTATATTCTTCAAACTGTATATTTGAACCCCCTACCCCAACCCTAACCCTAAACCCAGTCCTCCCTGAAAACATTCAACATTATTACATTTTCAAAAACATAGTTATTAATTACATTTTCGTTATTCTGTGGGATTTATAAGCAGTTTTTGCCATAGAGAACCAAATAAAGGTAAAAAATTACTGTTATTGCTATACTTGTGGGGACATTTGGTTTGATTTGATGCCAGTACCTGGTGGTTTGACAGGATAGGTGCTGAAATAGCCCGTAGTCAGTAAAGGTTTTGTCTGATGAATCATTTCCTTCAGCAGATTGTTGTAACAGCTATATCTGTAGCATTCAGCACATGTAGGGGTGTCCGCTGAGGACAACCAAATAAAGCAGAAGATTTATTGTTAACTGTTTGATTTATGGTTGCTTTATTACGTACTGTAAAACAACTCACCTGAGGCTACAGGAACTGAAGGCTCTTCTGGGTGCAGAAGGTGGAGGTACAATGTTTGCTGACCCATCTCTACCCAATTACTATGACTGTAGAAGTCCTAAGATCAAACATAAGCACACGCAGACATGCAAACATATTTTTTATTTCTAACAATAATAATTATTGTTAAATATAAATTTCTAAATTGCTATAATAGTTGAAGACCTAACTGTAAATGTAGCTGTAATTTTATATAATTTCAAATTAAGTTATATATTTACAGTTGAAAAGGCAAATATGCCATTGAATAATAGAGTTGTAATCTGTTTGTATTTTAACTGTGATTATGTTGTTTTTATGTGACATTTTGGCAGTTCGTTCTGCTGTGGTGACCCGATATGCAACATTTTGGTCTTTATTTTTGATTTATAGTAGAACTAGAAACAGGAATTGATGGAATATGGCACCACCATGAGACGAAGCTTAGACCACGGGTGCACAATCTTGTTCCTGAAAATCTACCTTCTTGCAGATTTTAGTTGCAACCCATATCAAACACATCTGCCTGTAGTTATCATGTGCTGTTCAGGTCCTATTTATTTGGTTCATGTGTGTTTGATCAGGGTTGGAGCTGAACTCTATAGAAAGGTAGATCCCCAGGAACAGGGTTGAGTACATTGGACTCGAATTCAGGTCAACTGAAGCAGAGTGGGGCTATACATTGGAGGGCTTTACTCAAGGTTATGGCTCTGGCAAACTAGATAACTATAAGTGAGCTATTCATTGTTAGAATTCTCCTAAACCGTGTGAACAGTAGCTTTGTTTCCATCTAGCAAAATGTAAATTAGATTTACACTTGAGGTCAAAATTATAATCCTTTCTTTGATTTTTTTTTCTTTTTCAAATATATCCCAAATGATATTTAAAATAGCAATAATTTTTTTATGGTATGAAGAAGCTCTTTTTTATTTTAGCTAGAATAAAAAAAGTTGTTATTTTTTTAAAAATCACTTTAAGGCCAATATTATTATTGACCTTAAGCATTTTTTTGATTGTCTGCAGAACAAACCACTTGGCCAGTTTACCTAGTTAATCCAGTTATGCCTTTAAAGGGGTGGTCCAGAGTGTACTTTTAAGGCTTTGTTGTGTTTACGGGGTACAAAGCAATGTGTGCTCATGCTTCATTTGTAAAAAATCTGGTTATTTTTTCATATATCTTACTTTGATTATATACAGGTACCCAGCTAACATTAAAATAGCTGTCATATTTCCTATTTCCTCTGAAAAGTTCGCCATCATGAGGGTCTGATTGGTCAGCTAACATAATGTGTTGTGATTCACAGATCAGCTCGACATCACCAGGAAGCATCTTTGTTATAACATTACAGCGCCTCTGGACACCACAACTTCACTGCATTTGGGTTATGTACATAACCTTAAGGGTTTAAGACATCATTAACCCGGATGTATTTTTGTGGTCCCCAAACTTCGTTCACTGTAGGCTTCGCTAAGCTAACTCTATAAAAGCCAATAGCTGCGTCCCAAATGGCACACTATACACTATGCACTCATGCACTATGTACTTATGCACTTACACACTCAACAGGATAGTATATGTATGTAGTGTTGTCCCAAATGGCACACTAATGTTTTTTTACTAAGCGGAAATTCAAACCGTTTCCCTGATGAGGTTTGACGGTTGCCAAATCAGTGAAATAAACGGCCGAATTATCAAGTATTACCTGCCGTGAGTGTTGCCACATTCACCATCAGGAGGCGCTATAATCACTCTCGTAGGAGAATTTTGCTTTCACCATCCAAAATAAATAAAGTTATTCAACATGTGCGTCCGATAGCTCCGTCCCTTCCGCTACGTAAGCAAACCTGCGGTCGTTGAGCGCGTGAAGTGTCCATCATTCCACACTCCATTTTAGCGGCTGAAAGAGTGCATCATCCGGGTAATTAAAGTGCACTTATTATTTTTAGAGTTTTCAATGTAAACACACCACTTACACTATTTATACTACAAAATGGCGTAGAATAGTGCATAAGTATGCAATTTGGGACGCAGCTAATGTCTTCCTTTGCATTGAACTTTGAGCATCTTACATTTAGAGATGTTGTTTATGTTCACACAGCTACATTACACATCAACTAAAGTTTAAAATATGATATCGAGTGGGCCATTCTTATAAACGGCACTTTAAACTGAATACTATCTTGAACAATATCTAGTTAAATATTAAGTACTTGCATCATAGCAGAGATATTGTAAAATAAATCAGTTATTAGAAATTAGCTATTAAAACTATATAGTTTGGAAATGTGTCAAAAAAGCTATTCTTTCTGCTAAATATAAATGTGTGTGCGTGTGTGTGTGTGGAGGGGGGGGGGTGGTACAGGGGGGCTAATTATTCAGAAGGAAAAAAGTAAAACACTTCAAAAAATATTTGTGATTAAACTACATTTTCCATCCAGTGAGTCAAAGAAAACAAAATTGTCACTCCCTGGTAAACTGGTGTCAAATATCAAAAAGAAAACTGGAATTTGCTGCCATTAGGGAAGCCATTGTAGGCATTTTGTCTTATATAATAAATTATTTGCATCTCAGACAGTAAAGATGAAATGCAAAAGATTGTGGGGTAGCATTTGGAGAGATGATACTGCTCTTTTGGAATGCAGTCATTTAAGTTTTGGAAGATACAGGGTTTCTGCAGGTTTCATCAAGTCAAATTTAAGACTTTTTAAGACCCTTTTAAGACCATTAAGAATAAAATTTTAGACTTATACAGGGTTAAAGACAATTGATATTTTTTTTAATGGCCCAGTATTATCATGAAAAATCGTGTAATTGGTTTTAGATTTCCACCTTTATTGGGGAATTTACTTTAGGGAATTTGCTGTAAAAATGTCTAACAGCTGTTGTAAATTGTATCTGCAATAAAACAAAACTTAAATATTAAAAATGATACTTCATTGAGATGTATTGTTGGTCATTGGATGGATGTTGGCCTGATTGAATAGCTTTACTTTGATAAAACAAAATTATAACCTGCTTAAAATGATTTAAGACCTACAACACAATATTTCAGTGGATTTAAGACTTTTGAAGACCCAGCCTGGAGGTAAAACGAAACACTTTGATGATCAGCCAAGGAATTAGAATGAGCAAAACAACTCTGCAGATATTGTGTAATGTGGTCAGTTCTACTGGTTTATCCATTAATGCTTTCCCATCACATTCTATTTCATCAAAATTAATTTAATCAGACTCTTTGATGTGCATGCTAGAATTTATTCTGTAAATGTATGTGTTTTCATTATTATTTAATCACATTTTTCTTATCGAATAAAAAGTTTATCCTACTCAGTTTTGTGCATACATTTTATGAGCATTTTCCATTTTTTGTGCTGTTCCAAAATGCACATAAAATATGTGGCTGGAAAAGTATACATTTCTAATTTGTACAGATTACAGAAAAACTCAAGGCATGTTGAAGCATTTTTTTCCAAATGTTATTTACAGAGCATTGACTAAAATCCAAATTTTTTTTAAATTTTTTTTTTTAACAAAAAAATAACAATGTTATCTCATGGGTTTTCAATATGTGATCCCATAGGTTTCACACAAATATGTTCCAAAACACATTTTTGCTCATTAAATTCTATAGCACATGAAATTCATAAATTTTCTAATAGGGATAATACAGTATATTGTTAATTTTGATGCAATAAACCATATTTTCATATGTTTTTAACTGTTAAAAAGGTCTTACTCCGTAAAGCTAATTATGGTTTTTAACTGTAAATTCTACAGATATCTCATGTTTTGTGGAATACGGATTTATTCTGTAGCATTTATATGGTATCTTTTTTACAGTGTAGCTAATGAGGCTCTGGGCTCTAACAAAGCTACCTGGCTTCACCAGTGATGTAAGTTGAAGTGGGACTATTCTAAACCATCTTCAAAAACATGTGACATTTCTTGTGACATTTGTGGTACATTACATTTACACCTCACCCATACCAAAAGCGTTGTTACATATATGTTTTAGCTAACCTGTAATGAGTGGAATAGCTGTCCCAAGCTACGTCTGGCCCCCTGGTACTCTTTAGCCTGGGTCAGCAGTATCGTCTGAGCCCAGAACTCCCGCAGCATCTGTATGGCTCCATCCACTCTCTCAGAGTCAAAGTGGTAGACTGGATCAGAACGCGTGGAGCTCAGGAAGTCCATAGCCACGTTAGCACTTGCTACTTCACCCACAGCATGCCAAAACCCCCGACCGAGTCCAGTATACTGAAACAAACAGATTTGCGTTCGGATAGAACATTTTTTTGCCTACTTTACAGACACGTTGTTTGTTCATAAATTGTGGGAACTGTTAATAGGCTTAATGGTTTTTATACTGTACAAACTGTATTTTCTATTGCCCTACAAATCTTTCCAAAGATACCTAAACTATGAATGTAGACCAAATTATTTAGCAACTGTTACTGTTTTGGTTTGAGAAGGCCAAGAGTGCCTCTGATGGTGAGGGAGAGAAGGACACGATAGTCTTGGAAGATTCTTTGCAGTTATCTCATTTTACATAATATCTTTATCAAATTTGGAGTAAAAACTCATGAGATGTTTGGCTGTCAATACATATTTTATAGATTATTACTAGAATGATGTCACATGTTTGTATAGGTAAAAAATTAATATTACTTTCACATTACTTTAGCATCTAAAGCTATTCATTTTTTTGACCATTAAACATCTATATCTGGGTGACGCAGTGGCTTAGTAGATAGTGCTGTCAATTCACAGCAAGAATGTCGCTGGTTCGAGCCTTGGCTGGGTCAGTTGGCGTTTCGGTGTGGAGTTTGCCTGTTCTCCCTGTGTTTGCGTGGGTTTTCTACAGGTTCTCCGGTTTCCCCCACAATCTAAAGACATGTGGTACAGGTGAATTGGGTAGGCTAAATTGTCCGTAGTGTATAAGTGTGAATGAGTGTGTGTAAATGTTTCCCAGAGATAAGTTGCGGCTGGAAGGGCATCCGCTGCGAAAAAATGTGCTAGATAAGTTGGCGATTTATTCCGTGGTGGCGACCCTGGATTAATGATGTAACTAAGCCGAAAAGAAAATGAATAAATGAATGAAACATCTAAATTTAGATGTCCCATGGTTAAGCTCAATGATCCAAGGATACCTAATTTGTGTTTGTAGCTCACTGTGGTCAAGAACTGTTGCCATTTTAATTTGGGTAGGTCTACCCATCCCTATCACTGTGGCTGAGCTCCAGAGATGCAGCCGGTAGAAAGTTGCAGAAAGTCACCCATCACTGCAGCCCTCTACCAGTTAGAGCTTTATGGCAAAGTGGTCCAACATATAAAAACCTGCATGCAGTTTGCTAAATAAAACACCTGAAGGACTCCAAGGCGGTGAGAAGTAAGCTTCTCTGGTCTGATGAGACCAAGGTAGAACTTGTATGGCCTTAATTCTAAATGATATATGTGTGGAGATAACGATGCACTGATTATCGACTGTCCAAACAGTGAAGCATGTTGGTTGCAGCATCATGCTGTGGAGATGTTTTTCAGATGCAGGGACAGGACACGACTGGTTGGAATCAAGGGAAAGATGAATGCGGTCAAGACTGGGCCTAAGGTTTACATTCCAACAAGACAATCAGCCTAAGCAAGTGACTGTTCTTGAATGGCCCAGCCAAAGCCCTGAACTAAACTTAATTGAGCATTTCTGGAGAGACTTAAAATGGCTGTCCACTAACTGTTACCATCCAACCCAACAGAACTGGAGAGGATCTGCAAGGAGGAATGGCAGAGGATCCCCAAATCCAGGTGTGAAAATCTTGTTGCATCTTTTCCAAGAAGACTCATGGCTCTATTAAAAGAGTGCTTCTAGTAAATACGGAGCAAAGGGTCTGAATACTTAGGACCATGTGATATTCCAGTTTGTTTTTCTGTTTGTAAATTAATGAGAGAGAAAAAAGAACAATATAGCAAAGAATAAACAATTTATTTTTAATACACATGCACAAACATATACAGTTGAAGTCAGAATTATTTTTCCCCCCTTTGATTTTTTTTCTTTTGAAAATATTTTCCAAACAATGTTTAACAGATCAAGGACATTTTCACAGTTTGTCTGATAATATTGTTTCTTCTGGAGAAAGTCTTATTTGTTTTATTTTAGCTAAAATAAAAGCAGTTTTTAATTTTTTAAAAACCATATTAAGCTCAAAATTGTTAGCCCATTTAAGCTATTTTTTGTCGATAGTCTACAGAACAAATCATCATTATACCATAACTTGCTCAATTACCTTAACCTGCCTAGTTAACTTAATTAAACTAGTTAAGCCCTTAAATGTGACTTTAAGCTGTATAGAGTTGAGATGAGTTATTAAAACTATTATGTTTAGAAATGTGTTGAAAAGAGATTGGGGAAAAATTAAACAGGGGGGCTAATAATTCTGACTTCAACTGTATATGTAATCTTGTTGTTGAGATTCTTGCATGTTATTAAACACACTAAGCAATGATCTGATGACGGTGAGTAATGCACTATAAAAAGGGGAAATGCAACTTCAAAACTGTCTGTGGTCCAGTTCACAATTTTCTCACTTCCAACTTTTATTCAGACCCTCGGCAATGAGCTAATGCATATTTTCCTGTCAAATACCCAGTCAGAATGTTCTATTTTGGGCATAGTAAGGTGATTATAAGACACAAAATACAGCAAAAAAATATTTGTGCTAGTGTATTTTATAGCTTTTAACTCTCACTGCTTAGTGAAAGGCAACAATTTATTTGCCAAGGGCTAACTAAATAATTTAGTTGTTTAATGGTAAATTCAACTGCATATGAAATAGCTAATAAATAAATTTATAAATAAATACATACATAAATATTTACTTACTTGCTTACTAGATGAATCAATTGCAGTGAGCAGCAAAAAAGCAAGAACTAAAAACTTGACCAGAATAATACAATACCTACCAGCTCCTCATAATCTACATCGTGTTGACTTTCCATCATTTTGCTCACAGTTTCCATTGTGATGTTGAGTATAGCTTGCTCCGTCATGTGCTGGTGTGTATATGAATCCCAGGACAATGTTAATACGCGTGACCAGAAGTTGGGCAGAAAAGCTTGACATATTGGCAGATAGATTAATAGGACCACGGCACACAGGTAGGTCAAAGCCAAAGCCATCATTCCACACCGGTCAAAACACCTGAAGTGTCATAGAAAGATGCATCACACCTGCAAAGGTCAAACCGTGATGAGACACTGCTTTTATAAGTCTTATACAAGCTGTTGAAGTCTACAGGATGTGGTGAACTGTTTTATCTAAGACACACACCACACTATTGTATCTTTTGCAGGTACAGACAGACAGACACACACACACACACACACACACACACATATATAATGAAAATTGGTGTTTACTTTGTTTAACAAGCAAGAGTATTTCCTTTTATTTATTTTTTTGTTTGGAGAAAGTCTGATTTCTTTTAGTTGGACAGCTGTAAATAACTATAATACTTAAAACATTTATTAAATAAAAAAAGGTCAATATTATTACCTTGTTTTATGATTTTCCTTCCCCAGGCATTCAGTGATTTTTTGACTTTAACACTTTAACAGCCCTATATATACAGTTCAGGTCAAAATTATTCCACCCCTTAGAATTTTTTTCTTTTTCAAATATTTTTCAAATGATGTTTGATAGAGCAAGGAAATTTTCACAGTATGTCTGATAGTATTTTTTTCTTCTTGGAGAAAGTCTTATTTGTTTTTTTTTTTCGGCTAGAATAAAAGCAGTTTTGATTTCATTTTAAGGTCAAAATGATTAGCCCCTGTAAGCTATATATTTTTTTAAATGTCTACAGAACAAAACACTGTTAAACAATAACTTGCCTAATTACTCAAACCTGCCTAGTTAACATTATTAACCTAGTTAAGCCTTTAAATGTCACTTTAAGCTGTATAGAAGTGTCTTAAAAATATCTAGTGAAATATTATTTACTATCATCATGGCAAAGAAAAAATAAATCAGTTAATAGAGATTAATTATTAACACTATTGTGTTTAGAAATGTGTTGAAAAAAAATCTACTCTCTGTTAAACAGAAATTGGGGAAAAATAAACGGGGGGCTAATAATTCAGGGGGTTTAAAAATTCTGACTATAATTGTGTGTGCGTGTGTATGTGTATTAGGGCTGCAAAATACACAATATGTCATTTCATTATCATCAATATCACAATGTGCAAAGCCACAATAATAAAAAAAATAATTATATGTAATATATAAGGGCGCAGTGGGTAGTGCTGTTGCCTCACAGCAAGATGGTCGCTGGTTCAATCCTCGGCTTAGTTGGCGTTTCTGTGTGGAGTTTGTATGTTCTCCCTGCGTTCGCATGGGTTTCCTCCGGGTGCTCCGGTTTCCCCCACAGTACAAAGACATGCGGTACAGGTGAATTGGGTAGGCTAAATTGTCCGTAGTGTATGAGTGTGTGTGGATGTTTCCCAGAGATGAGTTGCAGCTGGAAGGGCATCCGCTGCGTAAAAATGTGTTGGATAAGTTGGCGGTCCATTCTGCTGTGGCGACCCCGGATTAATAAAGGGACTAAACCGAAAAGAATATCAATGAATGAATGTAATATATAATTATAATTGACCAGCATTCAATCATATTATACATTAAAATATTCAATTATATACACAATTATTGAAGGCCTGGTGGGACTGTGAGCAGTGTGACTGTGACAGTTGTAAACATCTCGGGACTGGATATTATGATGTTTGGAGGTGTAACAAAGATTAATGTGGTTGAGTAAAATTTTTTTTTTATTGAATTTTGTGTCACTTTATTTTGATGGTCCGTTTGTTGAATTTAAGTTACATTGCATCTACATGCCAACTAATTGTCATTAGATCATATGTAGACTGTTAGGTTAGGGGTAGGGTTGGGATTAGGATTAGTGTAAGTTGACATGTACTTGCAAAGTTTCTTATAGTCAGTTAAATGTCCGTTGAAGGAGCAGTAAAATAGATATTAGGCAGACAGTTTACTAATGCTCAGATGGACCATCAGAATAAAGTGTTACCGAATTTTGTCATTTTCAGAAAACATCACCTATATCACGTCTTTCTTAATTTTTTCTTTACCTTCTATCTTTTCTAAAATATTTTTAAATCAAATGTTCCATGTAATTTTCAGTATTAATACAGTACATACTGTAACCATGCATTTAAATAACATTTGATTGTTTTATTTTCATATCTGAGTTGGGTGTGGCTTCATGTCCCTATGCATTGTTTTAGTTGCTTTTTTCTCCTGACATAATTCAAAATTGAACAAAAGTGCTCATATCAACACACATTTCATACATAAGCTCAAACAGGTATACAAAACAGGTATTTTTCTTACCTCTACTGGCTTCTTTCCTTTTGTGGTCTCAGACTAGCTTTTTTCAGCTTGTATTTTCATGCACCAGTTGACAGATCAAAGCTCCAATCAGCAATCAGAAAAGCACATGGTGTGGTTTTTACCCCAAGAAAGAGATGCTGTAAGCATTTTGTCTCCTCACCACATTATCTGCAGTCTTTTGAATAACAGAAAGCTGGAAGACGAGTTTTAAGATTGTAGTTTTTACGAATATTACCGCAGGTACTTCTCAGTTAAGTAAGCTAAAGAAACACGCCTGATTAAGATGGATATCCACGAGACATGTATCCTCATATCCTTATGACCCCACTATTGCATGTGCTTCCCTCCTTGTCTTCTTTCTCCACACTCTTCTCTTTTTTTTCTCCCTCACTTGCCCCATTTTATCATGCTGCACTGACTCTACACAATAGTGCTGCATATATTAAGGGCAACTGTGTCCCCCTCTCCTGCCCGTCAGTTCTGTCTTTTCCTTGACATGAAAACACACACCATTTTCACTTCCCCCAGAGCTTCTATTGTGACTTCAGGGTGAAAGGCTTCAGATGTGTTGCTAACCAACCTCCCTCCTGGCATTAGACTTTAGACCTAAGTTTAGGAGGGTTGGAGGGATAAAATGTATTGTATTTTGGATCTTTTGTAGTTTGTGTGTAGTCTGTGGCTGAATTTTTTACTATACCTTATAGTTCACTAAGGGCACCTATAATATTTCTTCATTAAAGGGCACCTATAATGCCCCTTTTTCCAAGATGTAAAATAACTCTGAGAAGTCTCTAGAGTGTAAAATACCAAACAAAGTAAGTTTTAAACTCTTTGAAACTGCCCGTTTTAGGCTTTGTTTTGAACCGTGCCATTTTAGCTACTGTTGCTTTAAATTCAAATGAGATTGTGGCAGATTTAAATGTTCTATGCTAATGAGGCAGAGATGTCACTATGCCCCTTCTGATGACACATACAGTTAAAGTCAGAATTATTAGCCCTCTTTGAATTTTTTTTCTTTTTAAAATATTTCCCAAATGATGTTTAACAGAGCAAGGAAATTTTCACATTAAGTCTGATAATATTTTTTCTAATAGAGAAAGTCTTATTTGTTTTATTTCGAATAGAATAAAAGCAGTTTTTAATTTTTTAAAACTATCTCAATGTCAAAATTATTAGCCCCTTTAAGCTATATATTTTTCCGATAGTCTACAGAACAAACCATCACTATACAATAACTTGCCTAATTACCCTAACCTGCCTAGTTAACCTAATTAACCTAGTTAAGCCTTTAACTTTCACTTTAAGCTGTACAGAAGTGTCTTGAAACATATCTAGTAAATTATTATTTACTGTCATCATGGCAAAGATTAAAAAAATCAGTTAGAAATGAGTTATTTAAACTATTATGTTTATAAATGTGTCGAAAAAAATATACTACCTGTTAAACAGAAATTGGGGAAAAATAAACAGGGGGGTTAATAATTCTGACTTCAAATGTTCATAGGGAGAATGTCAAAGTGCTTCTGCAGACTGTTTTTATAATTAGTGAATACAAAAGAAAATTAATGTATACATTATTATTATTACAAGCTGACTGTTGCTGACTGAAGCTGTTTATTTACAGACGGTTGCCACACAACTCTTATAAAAGTGAGTCTTGCATAATAGACTGACTTTCAAGCGGCTGCCATTTTTAAAAGCGAAATCAATGCTGCAGTGGGAAAAAACCCGGAAGTATTGCCTGTTACACAGGAACGTTGTGAACCTGCCTGTATAGCTTATCAGGGAAGAGAAAGCGACACAAATTTATATCACTTCATTATTATAATGATCATTTATATCATCATTATTATATATGTGGTTATTTTACCGCCTTCCGAGTGAACCAAAGGTCTGTTCTGAGTGGATAGTGAAAATAAAAAAGGATATTGGATCTCATTTTCAGCTAAGTTAAGGGAAAAAGTAGTTAGCTAACATTCTCCCAATCACATGTTTCTGTCAGGGTTTTTGGTTAATTTTTCATGTAATGTTTTTTTATTCACCACTAGATGTCACCATTTCAACTTTTCATTTTTTTTGGTTACCTGTAATCACCGAGATCAGTTTCACATGTGCCTTGTTTGTTGTTTGTATAAAAGTAACCCCTTTTCTTCTGTTCTTTGCTCAGTTATTGTTGACCCATGCCTGTCACCTACAGAGAGGTTTTCCTTCTTGTTATTTAAGCTAGTTCTCTTGTATCTAATATTCCATGGAGTGTTTTGGATTTTTTTCTGTTCAGAAGTTTTTGCCTGTCTGAGTTGATGTACCTTTTGAAACCTGAAGTTTCCTGTTTTTTTCATCTTCCATTGAAGATTGTTTTTTTGTTGCTAATAAAACTCCTCAAATCTGATAGTGTCTTATTGCTGGTTTCCTCAACTACTAGTGGCTCAGTAGTAAGGAGTCCACACTCACACGCCAGGGACCTGGGTTCAATCCCCAAGCCTGACAGTTTCAGATACTATTTATCAAGCTCAAATTAACGAACTGATTCCTTCTCTATATTAGACATGTCATGACACTGAATTTCAGTACTGAGTAAAAGAAGCACAGCTGTCTCCTTTAAAAAAAACATAGCTAATTAGAGAAAACAAGAGGCTTGAATTTTAGTTTTTTTATGCTATTTATGATAACGCTTTTATTGAGCATTAATACTTATATATGTGTTTTCCCTCTGCCTCGCTACAATATTATATATATATATTTTTTTCCCTCTGCCTTGCTACAATATATATATATATATATATATATATATATTTTCCCTCGCTACAATATATATATATATATATATATATATATATATATATATATATATATATAAAATATTGTAGCGAGGCAGAGGGAAAACAGACACAGTTGCGTTAATTTACAGACGGCGGGTGCTTTATTTACAAAGTGGGTGAGGTGAAATACGGGTCTTTTCTTAAGGGTGATGCTCTGGTGCTCCGGGAAGTAGGTGAAGGACAGTGAGTAGTCGGGTGTTGGATCGTCACGAGCTGGAGTCTGCTGTGGCAGAGACAGAGAGACACAAGCATTAGCGCAGGGAGTCATTAGTGGAATGAAGCTCGTCTTCCTCTTGCGTGGGGCTGGCTTATATGCCTCCCTGCCTGATGAGGTCCAGCTGTGAACGATCCGGTGTTGATGATGGTCCAGCTGGGGCGGATTTGCGACCAGGGCGACGTGGCATGCGTGTGCTCGCTACTATATATATATATATATATAAATAAACTTTTTTTTGTTTTTAGATAAAAGGTCTTAATGTAAACAACTTATATAAAAATACATCACATAATGTAAAAAAGCTGTCATTAAATAAAAATGTCAATAACTCAATTTTGACAATGTCAGACAGAACCTTTTAATGCTAAGGTGACCAATAGCCTAAGATAGAATTCTTAGAACTGTTTTGTGTGTGTGCGTTTGTGCATGCATGTTTCCGCTTTAATAATTCCCTTACAGCATGATTATTAGAGATGCTCTACCTCAGTGAAAGCACTGCCCTTTTCTCTGTTCTGTTTAGTGTACTGACTTTGTAACAGCATATTGGATGCAAACCAAAAGAAACTAAATGATCTTGTGGTGTGTAAAGACATATTGATCAGCAGTCATGGTTAGTGTGCTTCTCCTTGCATGTAAGTACTGAAATGTAAAAATCTATACCTGACCTAATCAATATATTAAATCTACACAGTGCTGTAGGAGGAATTTTTATCAATTTATTTTCCTTTTTTTAAGATATGTCAGTGAATCTTTTCATTCCGACTCAAGGTATGTTTAAACTATAAACAACCCTGCAGTTTATGTAACATTATCAGGATGAGTAAATAGTTCTTTCTTTCACAGGTCAAAACATTCAACGAGCTAAGATTTTCAGTCAAAACAAAGAAGTGCCAGAAGGGGGAAAACTGGAGGTTAAGTGCAGTGCGTTTGGTCTGGCAACAAAGGCAGTTTATATCTATCTGTGTACAGACGGTATCGCTGTAGATGTGCAATATGGACAAGATGTCTCCTTTAAAATAGAACGTGTGGAAATAAACCAATCTGGCAATTACAGCTGTGTGTTTTCAGAAGAGAAGTTGGAGATAACTAAAGTTATGGGATATGGTCAAAATAATATCTTCATCAATGTGACCGGTAGGATATTCTGACATTTCTGAATAAATTTGTGAGCCTGAACTACAAAACCAGCATTAAGTTACACACATATTTGTACACTATAAAAAACATATGATCAATTAGTCACGACAACATATCTTTTTAGTTAATTGTAACTTATTAAACAAAGTTGGTCGTGTTCTAATTTATTGTATGTTATGCAAGCTGTTTTAAGACATTTTAATATAATATTAGCCGAAGCTTGGCTGGTTTTAGCTGGTTGACCAGCCTGGTTTTAGAGGGGTTTTGGCCAGGCTGGTTTTCAGCCATTTCCAGCCTGGTCTTAGCTGGTCAGGCTGGAAAATGACAAGCTAAAACCAGCTTGACCAGTCTGGTTTAAGCTGGACACAGCTGGTTTTGGCTGGACTTCCAGCCTGGTTAGGCCGGTCAAGCTGGTTTTAGCTGGTCATCTCCCAGCCTGACCAGCTAAGACCCGGCTGGAAGTAGCTGTAAACCAGCCTGGAAATGGCCAAAACCCCTCTAAGACCAGGCTTGCCAATCAGCTAAAACCAGCCTATGCTGGTTTAAGATGTTTTTTTAGCAGAGAAATGACTCATAAGGATACAGTTTTACTCAATTGGTTTGACTCAATTCTTAAAACAGAAATTACATTCTCAAAATTTTAAGATCATTTGCCAAAACAATATTACAGTTTAGCGCAACACTATAGCTCACTTGCAAAAGCTCATATCTCTCCAAAAACAGTTCACTCATTTGTCAAAACTACATTTCCTTCCACTGTAAAAATATACTGTACAGTACTTTGAATGATTGACACAGTAGATTCACTTTTATTTAGTGTAATCCACTTCAAACTAACAGCAATATACAAACTATTGTGTGAAATCACCTTTCTAATGAGACAGAATTCTTCAGTACCTGTTTTAAATTATTAATATTAACCATGCATTTTCTCTTCCTGTCCACAGAATCTCTGATCAACACATATATTCATGTGGAGAAGTCTGAGGTGTTACAGGGAAGTGATGCTGAGTTTATCTGTTCAACATCAAGTCCTTTAAACAAAACACAGTCCAAGAACATGATTTTGGCTTACCTCATTAAAAATGAAAAGCCTGTTAAAGTCAACATTTGGAACACCGAGGAGATGAAGACGACGTTCACCCTTAGAGACGTCAGGATGGAAGATGCTGGAATGTACAGTTGTGCTGTGTTATTAAACATGCTTCCTCACCATGAAAGAAGATTTAAGCAAAATAATAAAGTCAACTTTCAGATAGCTGGTAAGACAAACAAAACTTTTTGAACTCTTTTAATAAGTCAAAAAGTACTTTGATTAAAGGGGTGGTCCACTACGATATTATATTTTAAACTTCAGTTGATGTGTAATGTAGCTGTGTGAACATAAACAGCATCTCTGAATGTAAAATATTCAAAGTTTAATGCAAAGGGAGACCTTGATTTGTACAGAGTTAGCTTAGCAACGCCTACAATTAACGAATTTTGGGGACTACAAAAAATACTTCCGCCCCCTGTGAGATCACAAAAGTTCGTTATTGCGCATCCCACACTGCGCAGGTAAAGGCCGTGGCCAGAGGCGCTGTAACGTTACTGCAGAGAGAGAAATGCCATCCTGCTGTTTCCACAGAGCTGTTCTGTTTCTGTTGTTGGGCTTCCAAATGACACGACCCAAACACAGAAGTGCTTACAGTTCAATATTAATTATGTTCCAGAGAACTATAAAATACATAGCAAGCATGATTTGACAAAACACAGCTTCCAGAATCTCTCCCAGTTCAGTGCTGGATTCAGTTAAAATCTCCTCAAAGATGGAGCAAGGAGACGCTGTGAACTCTG